GCTATACATCCATTGGATCAAGATAAACTACACCTTTTCATTATGTATTTATGATAACATAATTTCATTGATTTTTATGTTATTGTTTTTGATAACTGTATCATGTGCAATACAATTCATTAACATCAGCTACCTTGTATATGCTTACTTAACCATTTCGCACCGTTCCTCGCCAGTTTTTAACAAGAAACCCCAGCATGTTCCCCCAGTCTATATAATAACAATAATTCATTATGACACATAATAAACTTGGTGCCTCACCACAGCAGCGCTAATTTTAAAATTTTCTAACACGCCTGTAACAGTGTTTACCGTAACACCCAGGCAGTACTGATGGGGCGGCCCAGCGGTGATAAAACAATTATCCCCTAGTCAGGAATAACATAACCCCAACCGTATGTTTTTCTTTACTGCTAATATTTTAACCATCGGGCTAGTTTTTTTTTCTCTCTCTCTCTCTCCTGTTTGTGTTTTAGGAATAAAGAAGGTAGAGAATAAAGGAAAGGAGAGACCAAGGGTAGTGGCAGTGGCGTACTTAAGGTGGGGCGGAGGACACGAATCGCCCCGGGTGTCAATATTTTTAAGTAAAAATATATAGGTACCTGGGTGGCAAAACTGGAAACCCCCTCTTATTAAAAATGTACCAACTAATATGAAAAGAGTACAGAAAATTCGCCCAGGGCGCCAAAAAAAAAAACGAGTCAGTCCTTATTAACAATTTACTTGTATGGGAGTATGGGAAGACAATATTAATTATCCGCACCGGGAGCCGAAAATTTTAGTAACGCCATTCGTCAAGGGATATAAGTGTTTATCTAAAGAGATTCTGTCTATCCATGAAACAATAAGTAAAGTGATACAGTAATTAGAATACAATACACCGGTCAGAGGTTAATGTTAAACGCTAGCTGTTAACATTAAGATACAACAATGGTATAAGTGGGCCAAGAGTTACCCTACATTGCGGTACCAGAATCTATGATCAAAGACACATTATGCGGAGACTTTTAAAACAGATGAGCCGATGCAGCCAGTAATTAACGAGCTGCATGAAAAGTCGCCGTGGCTGGGCATCGCTGGTGTAAACCGACTTTTAAAAAACATCTGCAATGTTGATAAGGTTATTAATGAGATATTTTTAAAAGGATACACGCACCGCAAAGGTTGTCTTAGATGTTAAAATAGTGTTGATAAAATACATTTAGGTGAATGTTGGTAAAACATATGTAGGTGAAGTTTAGTGTTGGGGATGTGAATTTCTCGTCAGGTGTAGGCTAGTACGGGTTGTTTTGTATCTACTTCTATGTTAGCTGCCTCGCAATAAATTCCCTTTCTCGTTTTTAATATATCTCTTAGGTGTTTATAAATATAAACTAGGTCGATGACTAAGGTAGTGTAAACGATACCAGTAAAAACATTGATTCGATACGCCCTACCGTATTTCTAATGCTGTCATCGGGCCTCAAGACAGTAAGGATCAGGGCTAGGGTAGGTCAACGACACCAGCAAAAAGGATTCAATACTTTCTATAGTAATCCTCAAAGCCATAAATACGAATACTATTTTTATGCTGAATTTTCTTAAAATGTCATCAAAGAAAATATTACTTGAGCCGACGAGGGACCCAGATTTCGAATGAGCCATAACTGGGTAAAAAAAACAGCACCACGGTTAAATAATTTAAAATAAACGAGAGTAAAATTCTGGGGGCCGAAACAAAGCCAAAAAAAGGATAGCGGGAACGTCGCGTGTGAAGGACAATGCGAATTTCGGACGGACTGTCTGGGGGGAAGTCTCTCGCCCGTCTAGAGCGGTTAATGAAATCCAAACAGCCCTCCGCATACCCCGCGTCAGCCGGGGGACATCCAAGCCGGGGACGAAAATTAATATTGCCACGTTTGGCTTGGTGTTTCTGCAGAAATTCGCCCGCCTCCTAAATAGCTTTTCGTCTTCTTTAATTAGCAGCTTATAGGTCGGTGATCTCTCAAATTGACGTCTTGAGAAGCGCAGCGTCGTTGCCCCCCCCCCCCCCCCCTTTTTGTTTTTAATATGTGCAACGTATGAGTAGCCCAGTCTTAGTTTATTTTTTTTATTTTTCCAAATAAATTGAAATCATCACTAGGGCATTTATATGAAAACAAAGAACAACTCGGAATAGAAGGACTAAATGTGTGTTCACATTAAAGTTGCTCATTACTAAAATAGTTTGTGTTTAAAGACCTTAGACTTCTTCTTCTTCCTCGTTCTTAATTATTAGTGTTGAATGGGGATCGAGATTTATCTGCCAGTGGGTTTGAACTCGAGACTTTGTTCGAATTTATCAACCATGAGCTTTTTGCCGACTCGACCACGCCTTCAACACAATTAAGCGTTACGTGTCAACTGGTTATGCGCCATTGAGGCCATTGACTCCGATTTCAGCCTGCTTTTCTTTTTGGATTTGCTTCCATAGCCTTTGCCCAACCAAGAACAAGCTACAAGGCAGCAGTTGTTTGATTTTTGGAGTTGTCTCTCCTAGAAGAGTGGCTGTCCCCAGCTAACGAGCCTCATCTGCCCGAGGGTTCGAACTCGAGACTTTTCGGTTTAGCAACCATGAGCTTTACCGACTCGACCACGTCGACCCCTGACCTTAGACTATAATGACTAAATTTGATTTTCGTCTCTAATGCTGGAAACTCAGGTGTTACATTGATTTTGCTAAAGCCGGTGAAATTAAAATTGCTGGGCTTTTTGTGACACTTAATTAGCAAGAAAAAAGAAAGAAAAAAAAAACAGGAATAAGATCCAGTTTTTTCTAACAGGACTAGAGAGGCTCTGTATGATGGAGGTCGCTGTTTTTCTTGATGCTACTTCAGAAGTACATATGTGAAGAGCAATAAAATAGTTTTTTTTTTTATTCCTTGTTGTTTATACAATTATTTTCTACTGTATACATTTAGGGGTATTGTCAACAACTGTAAGTAGTTAAACAAAGCAGCCATCATCATACTGGAAGTGCATGTGTTAAGAGCATTACAATTGTATTTTATTCTGTTTCTTGCTTATAATATTATTTTCCACAGTATACATTTTAGGAGCATTGTCAACAAAAACAACTGTAAGTAAGTAGTTAAACAAAGCAACCATCATCATACTAGTAAAATAGTAAAATTAGTAAAAACTTGAAGGAAATTTTGATACTCTTTTGTTTGTTTGGGGTTTTTTTCTTGAGGAGAGTAAAAAGAGTCATAGTAAAAAGAATTTTTTTAAATCATCATAATGAACAGTAATTTCCAGCATCTGCCTTTAGGGTTTGACTTTTGGAGTATTATCAGAAGAGATAAGCAATGTGAATTGAACAGGTAATGTTAAAAGACACTAAAACAACAGTTAGTGTATGATGAGTACTGTAACGGCACAAATCAAAAGCTGATTTTGCTTTACATATATTTATTCAATCTTCTATTTTTAAAGGATTACCTTTTCCTACAATTATTTATGGACTAAATGTAGGTTTACGAGTAGGATTAAGTGTTTGCAGTTTCTGTTGCTTAATTGCAAAGTATAATGCTGAAAGAAATAGCTATTTCTGGTTAAGACGTTAGAGGATATAAAAAATCTTTTAAATGTGAAAAAATAGAACGAACATGGTAGTTATTACTAGGTCTGTTTTATTTTTAATATTTATAATATATACTTGTAAAGGTGATTTATGTATAAGTGACTTTAAACATGTATTAACATGATAGAAACAGGGATTAAGTTAGAGTTAAGTTAGAGTTAACCATTGAACTATGTATCTATAAAACTAATATTAAGTGTGTTGACTAATTCATAAATGGTGTCACATTCCTAGGAGGTGGTGGAATTGGAATTATGTGACAAGGGGGCTTCAGGAAATGTGACTCACGCTTGCATTTGAAAAAGTAATGCAAGTGCAAGGAACTAAATTTTAGCCGTTATTTCATGTTTTTAAAAAGACTTGTTTTAGAAATTGATCGATACACAAAATGTTGACAAAGTTCTGTAAGCCTATATTATTATAAAGAAATCAACATTCTAAAATCAAAAGCTCCAACATTGAGAATGGTGGTAGGCTCCAGTCTAAAATCATGGAGATCATCACTTTTTGCGATGATGAGGAGGGGGGGGGGGGGGGGGTAAACTCATTTTAATTTTAAAAGAAGACCTCTTTTTAACTTTTAAAATAGGAATATCTGCTTGATTTAATAATAACAATGTCAACATACAGATACTTATAGCTGCTAAGGGCCTAGGAATAGTTAAATAAAAAATTTAAGCTGGAATACAGTCTGCTAGATCTGGAGTCGCGTTGTCTAGTTTTGAGTCACCGATAGAATTTAGACTAGATCTAGGCATATAGATCTAATCTATATGTAGATCTACACTAGCAATAATTTATAGAACTGTGAATTAGCAGCTGAACTAGATTTTCTAAATCTAGAATTCTAAAACCTCTACTCTCTAGAATCTGCTATTAGTCTAGCTAGTCAGTCTCCCTAGTCTAGAATCGAAGATTATTATTTATTTTAATTTTTAATACTTAGGGCCTAATACTTGACTTGTAACTTGTAGAATTATTTATTATTATCATATCATGACTTCATCTTAAAATTTAAAATACGATTAAGACTGATTATTACTGATTAAGATCAAGATTTAGATTCTAGACTCTACTTTAAAATTAGTAAATTAGTTCCAGGGCTAGGTAGGGGCCTTTTTTTATGGCCTATGGAATAGATAGAGGAATCGAGAATCTACACGTTTGCCGTACTGAATGGAAACCTGAGTGCCAGAAGTTCTATGCTAGATCTAGATCTAGATTAGATCTTGAGATTCTAGATCTAGATCTAGACTAGAATCTACCTAGATTCTAGGTCGAGTGAAAACTAAAAATAAAACAGCCTAGCTTCTCTAGTCTTGAACTTCAAAGGAAGAGTTTAAAAAAGTATACGAAACGAACCAATCAACAAAAAATGATCGAAAATGTGCCGACTTACCTAGCAAACGAAAAGTTTCCTGTGTACTTAAGTATAAATTTAAATAGGCGTTAGAAAAAGTTATATAACCAAAGAGGAAAACAATCCTCGGAAGACTAGCAAGAAGCATTTTCCATGAGAATGCGCAACTTATTCATCCAAGTTCCGAACACATTCTGTCCACCATAATAACACAGCTCGTAGCATCCGAGTTACAGTACTACTGCTGCGCGACCCCAATCGGGGTCGATCCAGCCCACAAACACACTTCGCGAGGAGTTTAGCGAGCGATGATTGGCTAGAAATTCACTGGGGGAAACAAAGCATAGACCTTCAATGTTTACAATAAGAGTTGGGATTTACGTCAGTAAATTACAGCGCTGTTACAAAGTGGCGAAAAATGATAATTGCATTAAGAATACAGAACTTAAATTAGATACTTTTTGTGAGACGTATTGTAGATCTAAGTGTTGTTAACGCTTCATCAACACTTACTGTCTCTCTCAGTCTTCTCGGTGTCAAGTAGAAGATCTAGATCCGTGGGCAACTAAATAATAAATAAGAATGTTTTTGTCACTTGTTTTTATCCTATTTTTTTTTCTTACATTAAGTATAAAAAATCACTTCTATACTTTTAACAAAGGTGTTTATTTAAATAGAGCTAATGATCCTTTATCATTTTATAACGTCTTGTGCCGAGGTTATAATACCGTCATTCTGATTAATGTACTGGTTATTTCCCTTACAATAGCTTAAAATAGATCAAGAGACTCGTTAAATAATCTTCCAGCGATTTCGTAGCCTCGGTAGCGCAGTAGGTAGCGCGTCAGTCTCATAATCATACAAAAATCCGAGCGATCTGAAGGTCGTGAGTTCGATCCTCACCCGGGGCAAAATTTTTTTTTTTTTTAAGACGAGGGTTTTCAGTTCATAATTTATTTTTAAAAAGGTTGGAAAAAATGTATGCCCGGATTTTTTTATGCCCCATGATATAAAAATCGGATTACGTAAAATGCTATATATTCTATTAGCCTGTATACAAATATCTGTTCTTAATATTTCCTAAAGAATACTTGGCGGGTCTCAAGAGGTATAGAGTCTATCACTATAAGTCTATTTTCTTTTCTTTCCTCGACGAATCATATGCATTGTTTCATTCCCTATCTTGTCTCCCTACGTTAGGATTCAAAATCTCAACTGCCAACTTACCTCGATTGTAGGAAAAAAGTCGCATGGGGAAAAAAAAGCATAAATACTCTAATGATGAAGGCGTATTAGGACATACAGTGTTTTTTTTTTCCTGTTTTTTTTTTTTTTTTTTTTTGAAAAACGGTGAACACTCATATGATAACCGAAAGTTTCATTAAGATGCCATTGAAAACAGAACTCGTAACTAGAGCCCCAGGGCAGTATCCTTGATTGACTAGACGGAAGTCGGGCCCTGATTTCGCCTTCATATTACAAGAATACATAGTAGTTAGAGTTTCTTCCAGGCATCTCTTGGGGGGGGGGGGGGGACGAAGAAAGTCTACCGCCCCCCTCCGGACGAGATGGAATTTATATAGTATACTTTTACTAGTGTCAGCCCCCCCCCCCCCCCCCCGGAAAATGTAGACCGCCCCCCCCCCCCTCCGAAAATATCAAGTGCACCCCCGCCCCGGAGAAAAAAAGACTTTTTTTCTCCGGGGGAGCCAGAGACGTAGCGAGGGGGGGGGGGGGTTTGGGGGGCTGACACTTGTTAAAGTATATAGGCCTATTTTCTATATAAATGGAATACTGTTTACAATTTCGCAAGCAAGCTGGGGAGCGGACAATATCGGGGGGGGGGGGGGGTAAGCACAAACTTCTTATAAACGTGTAGGTCCCTAAATATTTCTCAGATAAATATTGTAAGTTTTGTCCATCTTGGCCACATGGTTGTTACGCCACTGCGCCTCGTTCTCCAAAAAGATGCTTTAAAGTTAAATAAACGCTCATTTTCATTATACCTTATACTCATTTCTTTATTTTAGCTATTTTTTACCAATCTCCAAAAAAACATTTTTTTAACAATAAAGACTGAGCGATCTTTGACTAAACTTTACGAGGGGGGGGGGGGAGGCGGACACTAGTAAAAGTTTTATTTTCTATAACAATTCCATTTAGTTCTTGGGGGGGGGGGGGGGGAGTGAGAGGCTCGAAGAAAAGCCTGAAAGAAACACTTGCTTACTTCATCGCGTGTTTGTGGTAAGAGATAATGGTAAGGGGAGGTAATCAAGAAAATACTTTAAGCAACAAATATGGTGGGTTTCCATAAATATTTACAACGAACCGACCCGCGGCGTATCATACACCGCTATTTAGTTGTTTTATGTTCTACTTTTCAGTAATTCATAATTTGTGAATTCGACAGTACCAACGCTGCCACTGAAAATATTTGCTTTAAAACACTATCAGTAGCTCGTTAAAGACGATAACCCTCCCCCTCCTTTCCCCCACCCCTACACCCCTCCCCCCGTGAAAGTAAACTCCTCTTAGTTACCTCCCCTAAATTTAAAATCGTTTCAAACTAAATTATCTGCCCCTAATAACCGTCACTAAACCCGGCTCCACGAATGTAAACATAGCGTGAACCACAGCTCACCAGACCATGTAGGGGTGGGGGTGGTAGGGAGCGCGCTTACAGCTTGTTTTCTAGCGTCTCACAGAAGAGAAATATATATAGATCGGCGCCACCCTATCCTCTTTATAACACAGTAGGCCTATAACAAAATGATAAACAACTCGAGTCAATTTGTTAAATATTGTATGTCAAACAATGGGCATAAAAACTACAAACACGGACGTTTAAATCTGGAGGGGAAAAAAAGTTTGTTTCCCCGAAATTCTTCTAGGCTTGTTCTGTGTTCTGTGTTTCTTTGGCTGATTCCCTTTACTAAGTAGAGTTACATACAAACTTAACTTACGAGATTTTCATGTAAAATTTAGAAAATTTAATATTTTAAGAATTTATGCCATATTTTGCAAATGTAGATATTTTGAGATTTTTAGCGCAATTTCCATTCTGGAGAATTGCGTTTATTAACCCGTCATTTCTGGATGGATGGATGGATGAATGTGTGTCCGCAGCTTTAAGTCGTATCTCCTCCTCAACAAAGCAATATCGAGGACTAGTTCCAAAAGCAATTATGTTAAGCAAGTTACGAGGATAAACATAGGCCATAAAAATTCCGGGTTTCTTTCATGGATTTCCCGGAAAAGCCAAAAAACCTCGAAAAAATGCAGTTTTTTTGGCCCATATCTCGGCATCCAGACCACTTAGCGACTTGAAACATGTACCAATCGATTCCTGCCATAATTTTGAACAATATTGCCGAAGAAAGTTTTCAAAAATATCCTTTCGTTCGGTCACAATTTTTTTTTAATTAATTAAAATTTGGACTGAATTAGTAGGCATTTTTATCCAACCACACCACACGCGTCATCACGTTCAATAGCTGCGCCATCACGTTCAATGGCTGCGTAATCACGTTCAGTAGCTAGGCGCGCAATGGTTTTTAGTCATGTAACTCTATTGTAAATAAAACATGTATTTTAACCAATGGTTTTACTAACCCTGCTCTTGATTTACGATACGACAGAGCTATTTTTAGATAACATAAGGAAATTGCGCTTAAATGTCACTAGACTTTTTAATTAACTTGTTTTCTTTGAGGCTGCATCTCTATTTGCAGTAATTTACAAGCAGGGGTCGTCTATAAATTACGTCACTCCGGGGGGACGCTCGGACTTTACGGATGATGTGCGACGAGTTAAAATAGATGGATGCGTTAAAAAAGTGTTATGTTATAGTTGTCCATTTTAAAAAGTAACTTTAAACAGAATACAAGCAGCTATTTCGAATATTTTGAAGACATTTCTTTTGATAAAGCTTTAAAAAGTGTTGCGCAAACAAACCAATACATTATTCCTGCACTGATATAGATCTAAATGATTCTAAAAATAGTAGACTAGATCTTTTCTAGATATAATAGTAATATTTTAGTAATTGTATTGTACTACAGATACTGCTTAGTCCATTTTACGTTTTTCGTTAGCAAACGCCGGCAGACGGTTTTTAGTTTTAATATTTTCTCCTAACATGGCGTCCGTCTGTTGATTATTTATGAAAAGAGCTCTTTCAATATAAATATAGTGTAGATCTAATAGCTTTATAGTTTCTCGATCTAATTTTAAAGATTAAACAATATAATCTTTTAAAAATTTAAGTAAAGGTAATCCATCTGTAATAATTTAACGTTCAGTTATAAATTGTGGTTTATTGCCGTGATTTTGAAGTTGATTCTGACTGATCTGGGTAATCTATCGTTTTAGGTACGTAAAATCGCCCGCGACTAGTAATGTGAAAGACAGGTGACTCCTTGAATTTTAATAATTATTTCACATTTTGAGGAGGATTTATGTTCTGAAAAATACAAAAATGATTCCTTGTTTCATTTATGTACCTGTTTTTAAACAACTGAATTAAAACTTTTCAGTAATAAATGAAGACTAGCGATGTTTCCAACAGATGCAACCATGCTCATTTACTATAGCAGCCATCTTGTTTAAGTTCTGTTTTTGCAAACTTATAGCGGAATATAGCGCAAGATTCAGGGGAAGGCAACTCTATTTTACAAATGGCGGCTGTTTATATAGGAAATCTTGCTCGCAAACACTGCTGTTTAAAGTTAATTTCTGGCCTATATTGATATATTTAGCCATTGATTTAGGTTTATTATTCATTTATCTATAATATTTGACACAAATATATCACAATATACTTCTATTAAAGCCTTGACAGTGAGGTAACTTTTTCGCACATTTCTAGCCGCGGGCGATTTTACGTACCCAAAACGATAGATTACCCTGATCTGATTCCCCCTGAGTGATTGGAGTGCTTGAGCAACGGACTTTTTGAGATTTTTTTTAGAATAATAATTTTAATTAGATCTAAGCCTAATTTTTAGATGTTTACTAGAATAGTCTAGATCTATTTCTGTTCTTTAAACACTTCACTACTAGATCTACTTTACTTTTACTTTTTACACTTTAAAAATGGAGAAACTACCGCCTTCATTCATTGGTACTCTGCCCTAACTCTGCACATGCATGTGTTTACAAACAAACCGCAGAACCCTAACCCTAACTAATCCTAGCACACCTATTAGTATTAAGGCAAGGTCATCAGGCATGTGCAGAACTATTGAGTTTCATATTATCCGCCGAAACATCTTTTTCCAAGTAGTCACTTTGTTGACTTTAACCAACCCGTGATTTGACTGTAACTAAAAATAAATAGATCTAGATCTAGATCTGAAAATCTGCATTCAAAGTTTGTGTCCAGCTTTAAAGTTTAGGATTGCCTATTTATTTAATTAAGTTACAATGTAACTACTTATGAGCAATGGGCTCAAATTATCCCTTTACTGACTTTATAGCTGCGCAATGGGATCAAATTAATTGCCATTTTGGCTTTTACTTTTAACCTTATTCTTCTGACAAAACTATCCATGTGGTAGAGCAGTTGCGCTTCGGACGATGCGTTCATAGTATAGTTATGGATTTATAGTATATCGAGTTAAGAGTTCTATTCTATAACTACTATAAGTAAAGTATTAAAAAAATTTTAAAATCTATTTGAATAGCCTAGATGAAAAGAAAAACCAGGTAATTGTAGCTCTATGTGCATCTTCTGGCTAGAATCGACCTTAAGGTCCAGTGATGAAACTTTGCATATTGAAGATGGCGTGTGTGTAGGCAATAGAAATATTTTCAAATACATATTTAAAAAAAAGATCATATTAAAAGTTTCATTTTTAAATAATTTGTAAACAATTTTTCAAAATAATTTTTGGTAGGTTAGATTTAGGTCTAAGTTTTTGGAGGGCAATAAGAAAAAACAGTACACAACACAACCGAGTATATAGATCTAGATCTAATTGTTAATAGGTATAAATGTTATAGATCTAGAATAGATTCTAGATCTATAGGCCTACTATAGACTAATATTATAGTAATAAAAAGTAATAATGGTATTCTAGAGGCTAGGCCCCTATTAATTAATTAAAGCAAAAAGATGTGACAATATTAAAATAATTAAATAACAGTAAGCCTAATTACACTACGCCACGCCTCATGAAACCACCAAACCATAAAAAGACACATTTTTTAATGCACCAACAACACTACACCCGCCAGATAACTCCCAAACAGACATGCAACACTTTACACACCACTATTTGGACACTGTACTGTACACTGGAATGGAGAATGGTTAGGGTCAGAGAGGGTTAGAGTGACTCAGTGAGTGGGATTGGTTAGGGTAGAGGAGAGTAGGGGATAATAAAACAGAGAAGGATAGAATGTATTAGCAGTAGAACAGAATAGTGCTTTGTCATAGTTCAAAAATTTAAAAAGTAGTTCTGTATATTTTAATTGAAAAATTTAATTACATTTCTTAGAAATAGTAGTTGCTAAAAATAGAAATAAGTAATCACATAAATTAACATCTATTCAAACTCACAGACTCTGCTTGAAATTACTTCCCTTATGTATCAAATTACATTTATATATGTAATTATGATGCCACTGTTTTCTCTTGTATTTTTAAGCACCTGACTTATCAAGATGACAACAGCTGCTAGACCAACATGGGATACAGCCAAAGGAGGCCGTGGTAAAGGAGAGGGTGATCTTAGTGTTCTCTCAAAACAATATTCAAGTAGAGATCTTCCATCCCACACCAAATCAAAATACAGGTGATTATAAGTTTTTTACTTCTACAATTTACAATAGTAAAGTATGCCTTTCAATTCAATGTCATTCTATCATGCACATTCCAATGTATGAGTTCTTATGGATTATTAAATACATACATTTCTTTCTAGCTAGATGTTTTTAATATCAAGTTTATTTTTATTTTAGACAAGAAGGTCAAGGCACACAAGAAGAACTTAGAAATCGTGACTTTCGTCGTGAATTAGAGGAAAGAGAAAGATCTTCACGGGAGAAGCGGGACAGAGGAAGAGGTTGATTGTCTTTTTAAAAAAAAAAAGAACTTGTATTCTCTATCTTTAATTGTTTATCTTTTATTTTTCCTTATTTTAAATACTTTGAATTCTTAGTTTGTTGAAAATTTCAGATTCTGGTAGCAGCAGTAGTAAAAGACCAAGAATTGAACAGATACCAGCAGCTAACCTTGATGCAGATGACCCTGTTGATGATGATGTAAAACATAACATTTTTTTCAGTTCTAAAATAAGATAATTTGTGTGTTCTTGTGAAAATGTTAAAGTTAAAGAAATTAAAAACTTGAGCAAAAATTAATTCATATAATTGATTATGATCTAATTTATTTCATTTTAATTTTTAATTATGATTGCTAAAATGAACTTTTTAAATATCACTTGTTTTATTATTATTAGGCCTATTATTGTTTTAACTGAGACATTATTTCAATTCCTTTTCAACAAATAAAAGGAAGATGAAGAGGATTCTGATGATGAAGATGACACAGCTGAATTATTAGCAGAGCTACAAAGAATAAAGAAAGAGAGAATAGAAGAAAAAGCAAAAATGGCAAGTTCAGAATACTTTCAAGAGATTTATTATCCGTTTAAATTGCATTATGTGTGTAGATTATTGTTATAAACCTGGTTAAAGACAAGAATGATGCTCACAGTTTTCAGAATGCCACCAGCTTTCATTTGGTACTTTATTCTATTTACTCTATTCATTTTGCAGATTCAAATTTTTTAATCATTAATCTTGATAGTGATATCACAAGAGCTCTAACTCTAAGTTGTATTTACTTCTTGCTGCATTTTCATTTAGATCTAGTCTATTTTTGTATTTTTTAGAGAAAAAATTGTGAAAAAGTAGGCCTATTTAACATAGCAGAACTGCCTTCAGCTGCAGAATCAAAACAATAACATTTGTGTGTTAAATAATTTACCAAAAAATAAAGTGGTTGTAGTATTATTAATCTATCATCCATGATTGGGTAGGGACATATACATGCACTTGTTTTCATTGAGCATAATTTTCCTCTGAAGTGTTTTTTCCTCAAGAAAAGATGTTCATTGTTTTTTTTTCTTAGTTTAAAAAGTTCTTTGAAAGTTAAAATTAGGTGTATGAAATCCTCTCAACATTTCTGAGCACTAAACTGTTTTTGTGGTTACAGGAAGCTGAAAGAAAAGCAGAAGAAGAAAGGATTCGAACTGAAAATATTCTCATGGGTAACCCATTAATGCAGCCAGAAAAGCAATCAGCCACAGACTTTAAGGTTAAAAGGAGGTTAGTCCGTTTGTATTATTTCTTCTGATCTAATGTTGAGGGTTTTTTTTTAAACCAAAAGAAAAACCTGCCAAAATTTTATGTCAAATTTTAATTGAATTGTTTCAAAAACACAAATAGGAAAATATGGAAGCACATAAAACTTTTTCCTGTTGATGGTTGGGGCCAAGGCAACAATAGTAACTTTAAAAAATGTACCCATTTTATGCTAAAATCAGTTGTACTTGATTACTATTCTCAAGGAAGTTATATAAAACTTACGTTTTATTTCTTTAGAAAATTGCTTTCATGATTGAAAAGCAATGACCCCCTTGGTTTTAACTGGTTAGAATAATGTACATTAGTTTGTACATTTAAAATGTGTTGTATTTGAAAATTTGAGCAATAGCTTATTGGAAAAGTAGACTTTTTTAATGTTCATGCTACCATAAGCATGCAGCTTAAGTTATTCTAGATTGTTGTGACTATTGAAACTCACAAATTGTCTTTCTCAAATATTTTTAACAGATGGGATGATGATGTTGTTTTCAAGAACTGTGCCAAAGGTGATGAAACAAGAACTTCAAGGGGTTTTATAAACGACACATTACGTTCAGAATTTCATAAAAAGTTTATGGAGAAATATGTAAAATAGCACTTTAAGTTTTGCTTTTGATTACAGTCAATAAAATGTATTATGAAATATATTCATTTTTGTATATTATTATATGGGATTATATAGGATTCAGACAAAAAAAGGCAGACAAACCATAAGGCTGACATTAGAAAGGCAGACTGGACATAAGGCAGACAAGTTTTATAAAACAACAATCTAAAATAATAGACATGCTTAGTAGTTATTAAAAACAATCAGTAGTGACCAAACTTCGCAATATTTAAGTGTTGACCTTTTGTGTTTAGGACACTCCTGTAATCTCCAGTTTCTTGGACCAGATTGTTCACATTATAAGGATAGCAACTAACACTGTCTCTTCCCTTGGATGTTCGACCTCTGTCTTTGTTCTTTGATGGTACTCTAGAGGGGAGATCTGTAGTGACCCATATTTTGTGATATTAGGAGTTTTATGTTTGTCGCCCTTATAGTCTGTTGGCATTTTGCCCAGTGAGCCTTTTTACTTTCTCGTATATACGAAGTATAAAGTCTTGTAATCTTGCAAAAAAAAAAAAATAGAGATTTTTGCAAATCTTGACATTTTAGGGCTCCCCGAGTCGGAAAAACGTAGTTTTGCAATCTTGCCCATATGTGTGTCTGTGTGTAAACACGATAACTTAAGTACCGTTACAGCTAGTTTGATGAAATTTCATATATAAGTATTATATCAAAATCGTAGATCCGTATCAATTTTTTAAGCGATTTCCGATAACCGGAAGTTGAACTTTTCCTATTTTGAATTTTTCAAAAGCCTATAACTTGAGTACTATTTCAGATAGATAAATGAAATTTCACAAGTAAGTAAAAGTTCTAATTCTCTGCCTTCTACCAAATTTTGAGTAATTTCCGTTGACCGGAAGTAGTAATTTATGCTATTTCCGATTTCTCAAAAAAAAACGCATTTTATTTGGCTTTCACTTGGTGTGCAATTCTTTTTCATACGAGATTCTATTCTATTATAAAAAGTTTAAGTAATTAAAAATGGATTAAAAATATTGTCTGTCTCGAGTTGCCATCCCCCGTAGTGTTATATTAGAATATTCGAGAAAGTTTAGGGGAGATCACTCCTGGTTTATTTATGTCTGCCTTTTGTCCTACACCCGATAATATTTAGCTTCTTTGATCACATTATTAGTTATAAACTTCTTGTGTAACATAAAGTATCCATTTTCTAAAACAATAAGTATAAATTATGTGGGAAGGGAGGCTTCTTAGATTAGTTTCAATGAGATTAGGTTTTTTTTTAAATATAATTTACTTTTTTTATTATTTGTTAACTTTTACTTACAATTTATAAATGATTGTTCATTCACATGAAGTAAGTTCAATTTTTATTTAGTTATTATTAACCTCATTGAATTGCACTAGGACAAATTTTTTTAAAGTATTTGGTTTGTGCAAAAAAAGCATATCATGTGTACAAACAATAGTTTTACAGAAAATGAACAATAACTAGTTTCCGATAAAAACCTTTTTTTTTAATTCTTGAATATTAAGAGAATTCATATGACTCCCTTCTTGATCCTATCTGTGAAATATTGCAATCAATTTTTGCCCAGTTCTACCAAAACAGTTATTTCATTTCTTTTGAAATGTATACATGATGTATACATGATGACGATTTGTGAATCTATAAATATTAAGGGTTAATTTTGATATCAGTTGGTACAAATTATTTATTTGAAGATTTTTAGTCTTATGAAGATATATAGATCAAACTAATGATCAGTTAGTTCTTGTTCATTCACTTATTCATTATTAAAACAACAAACAGGTTTAAAATAAAAACAAAATGAATAAACTGTTTTTTAAAAAAAAATTTTAATATTATGCACCAAAAAAGTTGAATATAAAAAATCTACAAAATTTCTTCTAATACACAATGAATTGTATTGCTGAAATAAAGGCAGTCACTAATGGCATTAAGATTCAAGTTTTCAGGCTATCCACTCTGAGCTATATAGGCCTACATCTATATGGGTAATTTCAGGTGGAAAATGTGCTTAAATTAAACATTTATAGTTCATTAATAAACATGTAAACACAGTACTAAATCAGTCATGATTGTTCACTTATTTGCTTAATTTTTATCCAACTATATTCATGTAACATTCACCACCACAGAGTTCTTTAAAACAGCGCCACCCATTCTACCTATTAGTTCTTAACTATGAACAATTACAATATAAAAAAATCTTAATGATAGTTACTTTATAATTTTGACTTGTAAATTGAAATGAATAGTAAATACCATGGGAAAATATGACAATACACACCAACAAATTTATCCCAAATGACAGTCCAAATTCAGATAACAACTCTTCAAAATGTCTGTAAAATCCCATGCTTTTTGAGTATGTAATATATAGGCCTATTTCACCTCTGCTAAATACAGCAGAACATTTTCATCAAAAATAAGCAACAGTAAACTACTTTTTTCCATATTTTGAAAGCTGAAAAAAATTGTAAATTTTAAGAAAAATATTATACATGGAATAGCCATACACATGACAGAAATATGTAGTCAATGTAGAAAAAAATGTACTCTTTTCAAAATATGGTGTATAAATTTGACAACTTTTACAATAAAAAAGACACTTTTGTTTATATTTTAACAAATTGAGGTATAACAATTCATTATAACAAAACAAATTTATTTTCTTGACTTCAGTGCATAACATTTACTATTATGCTAAAAATATACACATGACAGAAATATGTACTCCATGTAGAAAAAAATGTACTCTTTTCAAAATATGGTGTATAAATTTGACAACTTTTACAATAAAAAAGACACTTTTTATTTATATTTTAATAAATTGAGGTACAACAATTTTAACAAAACAAATTTATTTTCTTGACTTCAGTGCATAACATTTACTATTACTATTATGCTAAAAAAATTAAAATAACAAAATTGTACTATTCTAAGTTTTAGTATAAAAGTAAAATTATAAGCTATTTTACTATAAAAATAAACTGTGAAATAAATCAAGATTTTAATAACAATGGTATACTAGATTAAAATATATTGAAAATAGAATATAAAATCATGACCATTATGTTATGGTATATGTCGAAGGTACAAGACACTTGAGATCTTTCATACTGCCAATAATTATATTTTACAGTAAAAAAAAAACTTCTTTTGCATATCAACTTTAATAGTACAGGCTGCTTATGGCAACAGATGCATGACAGTTTAGTGATATGTCCGTCTGGTGCTAGAGCCTTGCCTGACTTGGCAGCTTGTGTGCCCTGATGGCTACCAGAGCTATACCATTGGGAGTGTAAACTCCTGCTAGATTCAACTAAGCTGGAAGAACTCCATGGATAGGGATCAGATGAAAGCTAGCATCTTGGTCCTCCAGGTTGGTGGTTAAACTTTGGGCATAAAACCTTCTTTCATTAAAAAAAACAACCAAAGGCTACAGAAACACTATACTTTATCATATAAAACAAAATCACACCTTCTTTGATCAATAAGCCAGCAAGAATAATACATACCGTAATTAATTTCCAAAAATTAAAGCTATAGCTACACTAAATAGTACTAATAACAACAGAGCAATTTTTTAAGCATTTATGTTGTGAGCCTGGTTATATAAAGCCAAGTGGTTCTTTAAACATCACTATGCTCTCTAAGAAAAACTAGGTAACTAATTTAAGTCCTAGTAATAAAGAACTGCTAGATCGGCGATTAGCCATTAAAACTTTTACAACTAATTTGTTAAATAAAATTAGCAGTATACCTCAGAAGACATCTGGTCAAGTTATTTTAACACAAATTTTACAAAAAAGATTGGCAAGTTTTTCCTAATCAACTGATCAAAATTTAATTTAGATTTTGTTCTGCTTAAATTATTTATATTTCAAATTATAATTGGTGGCAATAAACATTACATTAATACATTTTTTTATAACAGATTTGTTAAGAGACAATAAATGTAATAACTTGTGACAATTAGTATTAGAACATAGATTTACCACTAGTCAATAAATCAGGATTGTATATGCTGAAAAAATTACCATAACTTGATCTGCACTAGGGCAATAAATTGCTGTAATATTTAAAATATAAGATATCACAAACTGTTGCTAGACTAAAAATATTGGAATAGCAATGGATATATGGAATACATAAATCCTATGGTTTACATTCACAGTGAGATCTGAACTTCAGTATTCCTATAGAGTATTTAAAAAATAGAACTAAAAAGTCATCAATTGTGATATTTAAATGAAATTGCTTATGCAATTACCTATTTACACATTGAGCTCGAATCCCTGCAAGAAATATTATTGAGCAACTTTCAAAACTATAATTCCTTACAGAAGGTGGTTACTTAAAAAATAATGTATTACTACAATTAATATACATAATATACATGTTAAGTACACTTTTTTAAAAACATTTTTTAAAATTGTACTGTCATTGAGAAATTTTCAGCCAACTATTCATATAACAATTTATTCCCCTTATAACAAGCTAATCTCATTTGTAGGTTTTTGTTGAGTTCTTTCAGATTTCTTAAAAACAATGTATTTTTTAATGCACCAACAACACTACACCCGCCAGATAACTCCCAAACAGACATGCAACACTTTACACACCACTATTTGGACACTGTACTGTACACTGAAATGGAGAATGGTTAGGGTCAGAGAGGGTTAGAGTGACTCAGTGAGTAGGGTTGGTTAGGGTAGAGGAGAGTAGGGGATAATAAAACAGAGAAGGGTAGAATGTATTAGCAGTAGAACAGAATAGTGCTTTGCCATAGTAGTTAAAAAATTTAAAAAGTAGTTCTGTATATTTTAATTGAAAAATTTAATTACATTTCTTAGAAATAGTAGTTGCTAAAAATAGAAATAAATAATCACATAAATTAACATCCATTTCAAACTCAGACTGTTTGAAATTACTTCCCTTATGTATCAAATGACATTTATATATATGTAATTATGATGCCACTGTTTTCTCTTGTATTTTTAAGCACCTGACTTATCAAGATGACAACAGCTGCTAGACCAACATGGGATACAGCCAAAGGAGGCCGTGGTAAAGGAGAGGGTGATCTTAGTGTTCTCTCAAAACAATATTCAAGTAGAGATCTTCCATCCCACACCAAATCAAAATACAGGTGATTATAAGTTTTATTTTTTCTAAAATTTACAATAGCAGTGTCTTGTTTAAATTAAAGTATGCCTTTCAATTCAATGTCATTCTATCATGCACATTCCAATGTATGAGTTCTTATGGATTATTAAATACATACATTTCTTTCTAGCTAGATGTTTTTAATATCAAGTTTATTTTTATTTTAGACAAGAAGGTCAAGGCACACAAGAAGAACTTAGAAATCGTGACTTTCGTCGTGAATTAGAGGAAAGAGAAAGATCTTCACGAGAGAAGCGGGACAGAGGAAGAGGTTGATTGTCTTTTTAAAAAAAAAAAGAACTTGTATTCTCTATCTTTAATTGTTTATCTTTTATTTTTCCTTATTTTAAATACTTTGAATTCTTAGTTTGTTGAAAATTTCAGATTCTGGTAGCAGCAGTAGTAAAAGACCAAGAATTGAACAGATACCAGCAGCTAACCTTGATGCAGATGACCCTGTTGATGATGATGTAAAACATAACATTTTTTTCAGTTCTAAAATAAGATAATTTGTGTGTTCTTGTGAAAATGTTAAAGTTAAAGAAATTAAAAACTTGAGCAATAATTAATTCATATAATTGATTATGATCTAATTTATTTCATTTTAATTTTTAATAATGATTGCTAAAATGAACTTTTTTTCTCAATTACAAAAAAAAATTGTGTTTAAATATCACTTGTTTTATTATTATTAGGCCTATTATTGTTTTAACTGAGACATTATTTCAATTCCTTTTCAACAAATAAAAGGAAGATGAAGAGGATTCTGATGATGAAGATGACACAGCTGAATTATTAGCAGAGCTACAAAGAATAAAGAAAGAGAGAATAGAAGAAAAAGCAAAAATGGCAAGTTCAGAATACTTTCAAGAGACTTATTATCCGTTTAAATTTCATTATGTGTGTAGATTATTGTTATAAACCTGGTTTAAGACAAGAATGATGCTCGCAGTTTTCAGAATGCCACCAGTGTTCATTGATACTTTATTCTATTTATTCTATTCATTTGCAGATTCAAATTTTTTAATCATTAATCTTGATAGTGATATCACAAGAGCTCTAACTCTTAAGTTGTATTTACTTCTTGCTGCATTTTCATTTAGATCTGTTTTTGTATTTTTTAGAGAAAAAATTGTGAAAAAGTAAGCCTATTTAGAACTGTCTTCAGCTGCAGAATCAAAACAATAACATTTGTGTGTTAAATAAATTACCAAAAAATAAAGTGGTTATAGTATTAATCTATCAGCCATGATTGGGTAGGGACATAAACATGCACTTGTTTTCATTGAGCATAATTTACCTCTGAAGTGTTTTTTCCTCAAGAAAAGATGTTCATTGTTTTTTTTTTCTTAGTTTAAAAAGTTCTTTTAAAGTTAAAATTAGGTGTATGAAATCCTCTCAACATTTCTGAGCACTAAACTGTTTTTGTGGTTACAGGAAGCTGAAAGAAAAGCAGAAGAAGAAAGGATTCGAACTGAAAATATTCTTATGGGTAACCCATTAATGCAGCCAGAAAAGCAATCAGCCACAGACTTTAAGGTTAAAAGGAGGTTAGTCCGTTTGTATTATTTCTTCTGATCTAATGTTGAGTTGTTTTTTTTTAAATCAAAAGAAAAACCTGCCAAAATTTTATGTCAAATTGTAATTGCATTGTTTCAAAAACTGGTTAAAATAATGGAGACAAGCAAAGTTTGTACATTTAAATGAGTTGTACTTAAAAATTTGAGCAATAGCTTACTAGAAAAGTATAAATAGGTAATACTGTAACATCAGTTGCTATTATTTTAAAATCTTAAGACCTTTTTTTTAAGGTTCATGCTACCATGCATGCAACTAAAATTATTCCAGATGGAAACTCACACATTTTCTTTCTCAACTATTTTTAACAGATGGGATGATGATGTTGTGTTCAAGAATTGTGCCAAAGGTGATGAATCAAGAACTTCAAGGGGTTTTATAAACGACACATTACGTTCAGAGTTTCATAAAAAGTTTATGGAGAAATATGTAAAATAACACTCTCAATTTTGCTTTTGATTAAAGTTTTTAAAATGTACTATTAAATTCATTCATTTTTGTACATCATTATATGTGGAGATTATGTTTAGCTTATTTGGTTATATTTGTAACCAACAACTTAGGTGTAAAAAAAGATTTTATCAAACAGTAAGTGTAAATTGTCAGAATGTCTTAATGAGTGAGTTAAGGCAAGGGTAGGGAGTGCTTGTTAGATTAGTCTCACTGATGTTTAGTACTTTTAAAAAAAAACTTTTTATTATATGTAATCTTTCACATAAAAATAATTCAATGATAGTTCCTTTATGTGAAGTAAGTTAAATTGTATTTAGTTATTCTTTACCTCATTAGATTAAGACATATTCACATAAATTAGGTGTGACCAAAAGAAGCATACAACATGTGTAAACAATTGTTTTACATAAAATAAATGATTCATTTCCAATAAAATTATTTTTAAAACCCATACTCAAAAGTATTTATTTAACTCAATTCTTGATGCTGTTGTTCTTGGTGTAATGTTTAAATAAATTGTTCACCCAGATGTTATTTCCAAATCTTTCAAAAATATCCTTGATGACAATGTGTTAGTCTATATAAATGTAGGCTTTATTTTCATATAATAATATTAAATGACATCGAGTTGCAAGAATCCTATCATTATTGTTGATGTGGATAAAAATTGTGGTTTTTTTTTATTTTGCCATCAAAGTGGCAGTAAAAACAATTTTTAATAACTTAAACCTGAAAATAATACAGAAATTTAATATTTTTAGAATCAGTGGTATAAAATTAAAAGTTGTAAATCCAGAGAACTTGAAAACTTTTGAGTTTAAGGCTACATTTTTATTTATTTTCAACTAGCCTAAGTTATAACCTGAAGTTTCACTTTCATAAGACAAACATTAATTGTCAGTACAGGAACTCATTAATCAATTTTCTGAAAACCCCACTTCATAGTAATTTCTTCTAAAACTTTGCAGATTTTTTAAATAAAATTATTTTAATTAAACCACCTAAGTGACTTGACTTAGTTCTGCCATTTTTGCTTATATTTGTGATAAAATGCAAACAAATTGTTTTGCATTTTTTTTACATTGTGTTTGGTTTCCAAAAATACTAAAGACATAAAATACATACAAGCTTTAGTAAAGTCCACAAAAATACAAAAATAAAACAGTCTATTCTTGGTTGGGTCCATTAAATACTACAAGTACAGTACAAGTGTATTGATTTAAAGATTTCTATTTATAGTTTTGGAAGATATAGAACTAGTGATCAGTTTTTTTTTCAATAACAAGTGGATCAAGCCTTTCAGTTTTTGTTTGGGTTTAGATATATCTGTATGGAAGGGGGTGGGGGGGGGGGGGGGGCTCCTAAAATCTTGCCTATAGCCCCACAATACATTAATTAAGAGCAGAGTAATTAAAATATTTGTAGCATTAAAATTACACATGCAAAAAAATTAGTCAACTTTGATAGATAGGCCTACATATTTTTCAAAATATCTTTGTGTGGAGGGGGTGAATTGTTAACAAAACATCTGGGATGACAGTTTACAGGCGACAACGAAAAGAGCAAGCAGAACATCTTATTATCTCCACTTAGTTTGAATCGTTTAAAAACTAAATTATCTGCCCCTAATAGCCATCACTACAATTGTAAACAGCTCACCAGACTGGTGGGGGTGGTAGTGATATGGTCTGTTGAGCTTACGTCTTTGTGTCTCGCATGGTCCCAATGAAGAGAATTATATATATAGATTATTCACCATTGAGTACTATATATAGATTACCTCCCTACCCATAATGCATTCTTTATAAACTTATCATCCTGGTTTGCATGCATGTAGGATGTTATTTTATACTATAAAATAGTCACTCTTAGTATTTGAAAAAAAAATTAATTAATGTTGACAGGGGATGGGATGAAAATGATTATTTTATTTTTAATAAAACTAAATATCACTTCATTTATTTATTATTAAAATTCCTAAAAACAAAGAGTTGAGGTATAGAGTAAAAACAATACAATCAACTATAAAAATAAGTTCTAATAGGCAAAAACAAGTTTTTTTATGTAAATATTCTCATCTAATAATACATAATGATTTAGTTAATTAAAATAAAAGCAGTCACTCATTAAAATCTTAGTGTTCAGGTTCAAGTCTTCAGGCTATCATTACTATCATAACTAAGTTAATTCTGGTGAACAATGTGCTTAAATTAAACATAAGTACTTAGGGTTGCCAGGTGTCCAGTTTTTAACTGGACAGTCCAGTATTTGAGCAGACTGTCCAGGATAAAATAAATATAAATACTGGACAAGTATATGAATAATACTGTTACCCCCCTTCTTCTGCTTTGCGGCATACCTGAGAATGGAAGGATGGAAAGGTGTCCAGTATTTTCGGAAAAGGTATCTGGCAACCCTATAAGTACTTTATTAACAATTTTGTTTATTCCTCTATCATACAAGTATAGAAACACAATTTTAAAAAGTGTGATGACTAGCAATTTAAACTAAAATTGATCTGCCCCAAAAAAAAATTTACTTGGCAATATAAATGTAAAATTCACCACCACAAAGCTGTTTCAAGCAGTGCCACCTGTTCAAGCAACTGGTTCTTTACCATGAATAATCACAAAAGAATCTAATCTCAATGGCAGCTGCTTTATAATTTCAATATTGTACAATTAGAAATTGATAATAGTACCACTATACGAAAATGTACTGTTATTTTGTTCTCTGATTCCCTCATAGGTAAAAAAAAAAACAACTTTTTAACCATCATGTTTATACCAAAAGACAGTCCAAATACTCACACACAACAACCTGCTTATCACCTTAACAATGTTTGTAAAGTGAAAAGTACACTATTAATACATAACATATAGGCCTACGTCAATAATGCTATAAACATTTTCAGGTTATATGAGCAACAGCAAAATATCTACCTTCCTCTCCATTTGGTAATTTGTTTTGTTATGTATTTTAGGGGTTATTCATTTTTTATAATATCCCTTTTAGATGAACATTTTTTTAAAATTAGTGGGGCGAATAGTGAAGTGAATACATGCTTTTCCAAAGGTATCTAAGTCGGGACAGTAGGATGTCCTTAAGTCCACCCAGCTCAAATGGGTACCTGACTCAAGAAAAGTAAAGGCAGCTGAGCACAGTGCTGACCACACTATCCCTTTAAATGTTTAAAAATATTGACATTTTACAATTTTAAATGCACTTGAAACAAACACCACAAAATGTTACAATCATATATATATATATATATATATATATATATATATATATATATATATATATATATATATATATATATATATATATATATATATATATATATCTCAGTCCAAAAATATATTTAACACTTCAACAATTTGCAAATAGAATTTAAAAAATTTAAAAAATGAAAATTTCTATACAAAAGTGGTCATCAGGTAACATTTTCTGTGGAAATCCAATAAACAATTATGAAAAAAAAAACTACTAATTTCAGGATCAGAGCTATTCCATAAACGACATCACACTCCGGAAGGTCGAGTAGAGGGTTTCAAACAGAGTGATGACACATTCTTGCAACAATTTATAGGGTAGATATTTAAACGCTATGATGGTTTTAGCAAACTTGATCACAGTTGTCTTATTTTTACTTTTTACACACAGAATAAGTTTTATGTTTGCACTTTGATGTTAAATGTAACATGTGGACATCTGCATAGACCCGAAGGCCCCCCCCCCCAGTCCACATGTGTCCACAAAAATCTATTTTTACCCCCCCCCCCCATCTGTGTGGACGTCCTAAATGGATAATTTTTTTCATAGAATATCATGCTTTTGTTTACTTTATTTTACTTTAATTATTCCTCATTTTCTTTTATTTAGGGCTTGTAAGACCTTGTTTTTAAAATACAGTTTAAAATTGTTACTATTATTATTGCAATCAATACACTAAAATTTAAAATGGCACAATTTTAATATTATTAGTTTTATTTTTTAGTGAAAATTATATAACTAACTATTTAACTATAAAATACATTTTTATAAAATACAACAAGGTGTCAAAAACAATAGTATACAAAATGAAAATTATTTTGTAAACAGGATATAAAATCATGACCATTATATTAAAGTCAATGTCAATTAATTGTAAAAAAAACTGTTCTATTATATGTTTTTTATCAAAAGGTAGCTGGTTGGTTATAGCAAAAGATGCACAATAATTAACTAACACTACTACTTTGGCATTTAAAATAAAACCTACAAATAAGCCAACAATAATCAAATGTTACCCAAAAATTCTACCTATATCCACCACCAATTAAAGGTCACTAACATCACTATTATTAAATTCTCAAAGCAAATTTTTAAAAATGTGTTCAATTATGCTGATTCTTAACACATCAAAGCAATATAAGGTACCTTATTTTATTCCAATCCGGATCTTCAACACATAGTAAAACCTGTTTTACTCTATGGAGCCGAGACATTGAGAATAACTGTTATAAATAAGAAGAAAATACAATCATTTATAAACGCATGCCTCAAAAAGATCCTGCAAATTCGCTGGCCTAAAACCATAAGAAATTATGTTCTATGGCAACGGACAAATCAACTGCTAGTTGAAGTAGAGATCCTCCAGAGAAAATGGAAATGGATTGGCCACACACTCAGGAAGCCTGTATCCAGCATAACAAGACAGGCCCTCACCTGGAATGCACAAGGCAGGAGGAAGAGAGGCAGACCAAGAAAGACCTGGAGGTGTGACCTGGAAGAAGACACCAAGAAGATTGGATACACCTGGGGACGGTTGGAGAGACTAGCCCTGGACAGAGACGTCTGGAAAGCTCTTGTCAGCGGCCTATGTCCCAGTAGGGACGACAGGCAAACATGACATGAACCCATCTTGGAGGGAAAACTTCAAAATTAAACATCTGCCTTTCTGAGTGTTATTGGATGGACAAAAGCTATGGAAGCATATCCAAAAAAATTAGCAGGCTGAAGTCGAAGTCAATATGGCACATAACATAATACTTAATTATGTTTGGAGGAGATCCCCCCCACAATATAACAATTAAGAATGGGAAGAATACAGTTGAATGCTTTTAATAAACAATCTGCTTTTGAAATCACAATACACATCTTTCAATGTTAGTAGAAGATATATTGTTTTATGTAAAATGTATTGTGTTTAGTGGTCGGCGGCAAGCACATAGTTGCTAAGCCGAAAGTCTCGAGTTCGAATCCTCGGGCAGAGGAGGCTCATAAGCTGGGGACCGCAACACAACTGGAAGATAAAACTCTGAAATCAAACAGGAGTGGGGCCCCTTAGGTGATAGGACTACCAACTCTGGTATCCTTTCCGCAGCACCTGTGACACTGCTGATTCAAAGTTGTACGGGTAATGTATTTATAGCTGTGTGGAGAAAGGGGGCCTGATACATGGGCTACATCCGGCTCTCCTCAATTTAAGGCCCAGGCTTTATGCTTGGATTTTCCAATGTGCGATCATCTAATGTTCAAATAGACTATAGAGCCATATTGTATTATGTTTAGTGCACAGATGGTGAAATTTGGGTAAAATAAAATAATTTTTTTACATACATATTACTATTAATACACAATTGAAAAAAAGAAAATTTAAACATGCATTAATCTTATCTCAACGTTAAAAATACATCAAAACAAAATGGAGCATAAAAAGTGGGTCTAGCTTGTACAACCAAGTGCAATCCAAACATTGGCCCCTATACACACCACTCAAGGAAAAAACTATACAGGGCACCCGCAGATCTGTTTAAATCCTCCAACATAAATTCAATTAAGAACACAGAAGATTTTTTGTGAATATATTTGTATAAGTTATTTGAATTTATCAAAAAAAGGACATACAATTTTAACTGCTTTACTCCTAAATTTACAATACTATATCTTATTGGCAAAAAAAAATTAAAGAAAATTATTTCACATTAGGAGGGTCTTGTGGAATACCATAAGCTTTGGGACCTGCAAAACTGAAACCGACAAAGAACCAGGTTTCCCTCTGCCTCAACTCAATATTCACAGTATATGATGTTGGAATAGTTAAATGCAATTTATTCCCTTCCTTGGTAAAAATTTTTATATTTACTCTGGCTCCACTAACATCAACTGTTCCACTAAACAATGCCAAGTGTTCTCTCATTTTTGGATTATCCCAGTTATCATGTTCTGTCATAGGGAAGGTGTCTGAGTGAACCATATCTTGTGGGAATCCACCTTTTGCTAAGTAAAATAGTGTTTTGGCTTCAGCTTTATTATGTTTTAATTTATAAACTTCTTGCCATTTGTTACAGACATCCTGGAGCTTTTCAACAGAACAAATAGCAAATTTTTTTCTTTCCTCCAGAGGGAAGTTGTACATAACAAAATACATAAAAGGTTCAATGTATGCAGTTTTGTCAAGTGGCTGTTCATAATCATACAATGTTTTGCTCCAATTTAACACTTTTTCAAAGGATGTTATGGTTTTTACTTTTCTTTTACTCACTATCATCATTGTTACTGCATTAAGGATAGCTAAAATGTATTTATCAGTACAGTGACTTGAAGAAACATTAGGTAGCATTAGGCTGTATATATTTTTTAAAGTACTATTTTCTAAAGTTCCATATGATCGCTTGTGTAATAGGAAAGTTAGAGACATTGCTCCATTTGCCAGGGCCACTCTCCATCGATACATACTAGCTTTAGGCTCAGGCATTTTGTTAATAGTTTCTTTATCATATTTAATTCCATAATACATATGGAAAGTGGTCATCAGAGAAATCAATTGATCTAAATTTTTGTTAAAAGTTACTGTATAATCTGCATAATCAAATGGAATATCATGTCTTATTTGTAAATATTCTTCATCTAAGACTCTCATTGTCTGTATGTAACTATCTTCTAAACCCATTAAAAAGTCTTTATCTTGATCTTTAAGAAAAATTAAAGACGGATCATCAAAACGCTTATGAATTAAACACCTAGATAGATGACTACGATCTATGAAGGCTTCATTTTTCTCTAATAACTGCAGTAACATTATTTGTGTCTTTAGCTCACTAAAATATCCAGATACACTGCTTTCATTATGAAAGGATAATTTTTCAGATTTACTTTGCTCATTTTTAAAACAGTATATGGCATTCCTGGCAAGTTCAATGACTTGTTCAACATCACTCAAAGGATATTTGCCATTCACACCCACAGTTTGAAGTTTTTCTTGAAGTTGGTATTTATAAACTTGTCCATAAGTGTCCCATAAGAATGGATGTTGAGGATATTTGTCAACTGCTATTTCAGCATATCTTTCTGCTTTTGGCCAATTTTGTAAATAAATATAAAAACGGCTTATTTGCTGAGCAGTAAATGGGTCTTTATTTTTTTCAAAGAGTTCACAAAGAAGTTGTGCTGAATTTTCTTTACTTTCTCTGTTAACTTCTGTGACAAAGGAAGAAAACATTTCTTTACTGCCATCAGATTGATTGAAGTATCTTTTAAGCATGATGTCCGCAATGATGTCTTGTAGAGTGTGTAAGTCTGATGTCTCATGTTTAAAAGCAATAGAATTTATTAGTTCTCTCATTATAATTATTTCATTTTTCTTGTTCTTATGTGTAAGTATATTTATAGCCATTTCTTTATGATATACTCTAAGTGAAATTCTTGCATCACCAGCTTTTTTCTTAGAGAAAGGCAAAATATTAAGCAGAACTTCAGCTGCTTGACTTAAATTTGCTTCCCAGTTTGTGCTTCTTCTATTACTTGCAGTATTTAAGGACGTCTTAAAAAGATCATCAAAACAAGAGACAGGAATAGCTCTAAACTGTGGGTCATATTTGTTTAAAAAGGCAATGTAGAAAAGAAGAGTTAATTCTCTTTCATCTTTTATACCATTAACAAATTCATTAATAATATCAACAACAGATCTTGGGAGGATAAAGTCATTCATTAAAAAACTGAAGGAATATAAAAATTTTGGATCAATTTCATCATTATTTTTATCATATGCATTTTTTATTTCAATATACTTGATTTTAAACAGCTCTTGTTCTTCTTTAGTTAATTTCTGCCTTATTTTAATTTGAAAAGGAAAAACTTGAGAAGGTAATATTATTTTACGAATACAAACTATCATAGTGCAAAATAATTTGGGCTGTTCTTTGCTTTGTTTCCATATTTCTTTATATTTGTCTTCTAGATTTTGTTTTAACTGACGATGGTTATCTTTATCCTCATCCTTATTTTTATTGTCAACCAAAATCAACAAAGGCAGAGGGGATGAGCTTGGTTCAGAATATTTCCATATTTTTGCAAGCTGACTGCAAGTTTGCTTGGAGATACGTTTTACTACACAACACCTGAAGCTTTTCCTAAGTTCCCAGAGAACCTTTTTCGCAGATGTTGTGGCACCAGATCCAGGTTGGTGAAATATAACAACTGTTGAAACCTTTCCATCATCCTTTGTGCTTTCTGTTAAAGCTTTATTAACTTTGTCCATAAGCACATCATCATGTGACCTCTTAATAACTTGATCAAACCTAAAGTTCAACCAATCCACTTCTCCTCCTTTGTAAAAGCTAACCATAGCATTTTTGCTGTAGCTAGTTTCTTCATCCAAATCTGGATCTGCTGCAGAAACCAGCTCAATATCTTCCCAACATTTTAATTCTTTGTCAGGTATTTTTGTAAGAGCACCAGCAGCTTGGGGTATCATGCATTCTCCTATTTCTTCATGTGGTATAAACTGTGATATTGTAGAGTTTATCTGTTCCCATGTCATTCCCACTACACATCTATCATGCACATCCCCTTCATCAAGTCTTTTCCGCTGTACCATTTCTTTTTTCCATGTTTCTACAATGTTTTCTGACTCAGCAATAAGAACCCATTGTTTGGAAAAGTTGGTTAATATTTCTTCAAATCCTTCAATCATAGTATCATACAATTTAGAAAATAAACACACTATTACAAGGATACGTTCTTTTGGTCGACCTTCAATAAAATGATTTAAACATCGTTGAAATGTGGAGCGAATAGACTTATTCCATTCAGTGGGAAGTGTTTCCACAAATAAGGTAGCTTCATGTCCATTGCAAAAAACCCATGGTAATCTGGGATGCGAAGCAAGACTTTCAATAAATTTGGAGCTCTCTTGATTGTTTTCATGCTTGAAATTTTCCAATGTTACACTAGTCATGATCTCATTTTGGCTTAATTGGCTAAAAATTCCTTTAGTAGACCCACTAGGATCAAAATCAAAAACAGCTTCTGCATGTACATTACTAATAAACTCAACATTTTTAATAATTGTTGTGCTATTGGATGGATCCAAAGGACTAAGGATAAAAAATGGATAAATTGAGTCTTCCAATGTCTCACTACCACCAGTAACAAGGTCCTTCAATTTATCTCTCAAATTTTCAGCGGTAGGAGATAAAATACTTTCATCGCCTTGCCTCATCTTCTGAGCCTTACTAACATGTTCTTGGAAATTACCTAAATTATCTACCCTAAATAATTTTGGTTTACCATCAAAAAAGTAGAAATGTCCAACTTTTCTACATTTGGTTTCAGTATTTGAGCATGCTTTTAGCTTTTTTAATTTTGGTGTGATAAGAAGATCATTTAAAATTCTATATGATGGGACAATGTCAATCTCTATAACAAACTTTTCACTTGTTTTTCCTAATTCCCTAACAGATATAAAGACTGGATCTAGAATAACTAATTGGAGTTTAGCCACTATATCTTCAGGAAAGCAAATTTTAATAAAATATTTAATAGTTTCTGATACATCTTCTTTTCTAGCTGCCATACCAATTACTTTTCCAGAATTAGGATCTATACCAAAGTAAATTGTACCATTTTGTCTATCATTGGCACAACATGAGGAAAATTGAATAGTTTTTGATGCTACTTCCTCTACTACTAAATCTGTTTTTTCTTGGTTTCCTATAAGATAAAAATTTCTTATAGGATTCAGCTTATTATAAATTTTGTTAGATATATCAACATTACAGTTATATTTATAGAAAAAAGAGTCTTCCACTTTGCTTCCAAATTTTCGCAAACTTTCATTTTTCTTTTGAGATAATGTCTCTGATTCATTGAGTTGTTTAATCTCAGAAATTTTAAGAGTAAGCGTTTTGAGGATTCCTAATGGGGCTTGTGTTAACTTTTCTATTTCTTCTTCTTTGCATTGTAATAGACCTTCTCCATTCAACATTGCCTTACATAGAATTTCAGGTAAATTTGTTTTTTGCTTCTTTTGGTGAAAAAACTGTTCCAGGTAGGCTTTTAAAGTTTCAGGATCAAAATTAAGAAACTCCTGGTAGCTAACTAAAAATAAAAAAATAGATCAAAATTAACACAATACCAAAGTTAAAAGAAAAAAAAACCTATAATTAAAATGTATTAAAATACATAGGTTACTTTTGAGGTTACATTTTTACTGCAGTAAGAAAACTTATTCAAATACTCAAGAATTGCACACGGTAGCAAAGTGGTGTACATATTATATAAATTGCGCTGATGAGTTTTACTCTTTGGTCATAATAATACATACCATAATCACTGTATGATGTTGTTTCATTATCTGAAGTTGAACAACTTTTTCTTGTAGTTAGGGGGATTAAGTTCATTATGAACCTGAAATACAAAAAGGCAAAATAATACTAAATTTACACAAATGTCTACATTTTGAACATACTTTAGTTATACAAAACAAACTTTAGACATTCTTAAAGTAAACAAAAAAGTAGAATTGTTAAATCCATTAGAAAACGTGAAGTTTTGGCAAGTTAGCAGATACAATAGATCTAACGCTACTGCCTGTCACCAACAAGCCAAGTTTAAGAAGCTGAAAGATAATGAGTAAAAAAAAAAAAGAAGTATCATAGGAACAGAAATTGTACCAAAATTTCTTGTTACAAATATGTGTTCTTAGCTTGTTAGTTCAGATCCTGCTTTATTAGCCTATGGGCTCATTCCAACCATGCAATGTTTTTTAACACGTTTTTCTTAACTCAGCTTCGCGTTTGTGGGTTTGTTGTTAAAATTGACAACGAAAATTAGCCCACTTCTGATTGCTCTAGAGATCTGAAATTCGGCATGCAGACTATTTTCGCCTAACAATTTCAGATGCAATCATAAAAACTAGCAATTAGAGACCTAAATTAGCTTAATTAAATTACGCCCCAAGGACCCTAAAATTGAGGACATGATTTCTAAAGCAAAAATAAATTATCAATCCAGATTTATCAAAACAAAATTAAGAGGTTTTATAAGTGGCGGAGTGGTCTAGCGGTAGAGAGTTTTCACCAACAAGCCAAGTTTAAGAAGCTGAAAGATAATGAGTAAAAAAAAAAAAGAAGTATCATAGGAACAGAAATTGTACCAAAATTTCTTGTTACAAATATGTGTTCTTAGCTTGTTAGTTCAGATCCTGCTTTATTAGCCTATGGGCTCATTCCAACCATGCAATGTTTTTTAACACGTTTTTCTTAACTCAGCTTCGCGTTTGTGGGTTTGTTGTTAAAATTGACAACGAAAATTAGCCCACTTCTGATTGCTCTAGAGATCTGAAATTCGGCATGCAGACTATTTTCGCCTAACAATTTCAGATGCAATCATAAAAACTAGCAATTAGAGACCTAAATTAGCTTAATTAAATTACGCCCCAAGGACCCTAAAATTGAGGACATGATTTCTAAAGCAAAAATAAATTATCAATCCAGATTTATCAAAACAAAATTAAGAGGTTTTATAAGTGGCGGAGTGGTCTAGCGGTAGAGAGTTGGACTGCTAACCCGTTAGTCTCGAGTTCGAATCCGGGTTTAAGTCAGTAGACCGTCCCTGAGTCCACCCAACTCTGATGGGTACCTAAATTTTTATGTATTTAAAAACACTTAGTCAAGTCATACTTTATTAAGTCATTAGTCATTGATGACAAAAAACGTGGGTCGGGCAGATGGGTCAGGAAATTTGATGGTGAACGTACCCACGTTTTTTGTCATCAAATGTATGAACAGTCATCACAAGAACCTGCACAGCTCGATGAAGCACAAAATCTACGAGCAGTCATTGGTAGATCCCATAGGGTTGGAAGAAAAATTTATTTTCTACTTTTTAGTCCACAAGAAAAACGTGGTTTTTTAAAAAGTTTTTTTAAGTATTTTTACAATAATATAATTAAATTATTTCTAAATATTACGTACTTGGATTTTTTTTTTGCATCCATCAGACTTGCTGTTTTCAACTGTTACATTGCCAAAGACTTTGCAAATGAACTGTGATAACAGTTTATTGTTCCAATCAAATCTACCTTTTACATGTTGTTTAACAGTCTCCATCACATCACAAAGCTTTGTTTTACCTGGCTGATTTGTATAATTATCTATGAGTACTTTCCTTACTTGACTTTCAAACACACGTGGATCACCTAATAAAAAAAAGATCACTATTAAATTTGTTGATGTGTTTAAGTTTGTTTTAACCTAGATAAGAGAATCAGGGGATGGTGTGGTCTGATGGTAGAGCTCACAAGTCTTGAGTTTGGATCCCAAGCAAGAGACTTGGGCCCACCCAGCTCTGATGGGTACCTGATTCAAGTTAGGGAAACTAATGTGGCTTGGAATAGGGCAGACCACACTATCCTCCTGAATACAAAGTGTAACAATATGAAAATCACCAACTTAACCAATTCGAGCACATTAAGAACTTCTACTAAAGTTAAGTTAAAAGTTGCCTGAGTCTTCACATGAAATAAAGCAATGCTAAATACTTTCTATAGAGATATTTTTAAAAGCCTTAAGAGATTCAACTGATAAGTGAAAAATAAATGTACAATATCTTATTTTAAAAATGTGCTTCATTATATAATCCACCATCTATATATATAATTCTCTTCTGGGAGACGTTAGAAAACAAGCTGTAAGCGTGCCGAGCAGTCCCCTCTTTTCCTCTCTAAGCATATCGCAACCACCCCACCCCCCACATGGTCTGGTGAGCTGTAGTTCACGCTAAATGTTTACATCGTAGAGCCGGGTTTAGTGACGGCTATTAGAGGCAGATAATTTAGTTTAAAACTATTTTATACTTAGGGGAAGTAACTAAGTGGAGGCTGCTTTCATGTGGGTGGTGGAGGGGGGGGGTAGGGGTTGGGGAAAGGAGGGTTTTAGTGTTTTAAAGCAAATATTTTCAGTGGCAGCATTGGTACTGTCGAATTCACAAATTATGAATTACTGAAAAGTAGAAAATAAAACAACTAAATAGCGGCGTATGAAACTTTGGCGAGTTGATTAGAATACTCCGGGGGGGGGGGGGGTTATGTACAACAATCTTTTTTTTTTAAATTTCGCAAGTGTGGCGCCTGGTAGGGTGCGATTCTGCTCTATATACGGTATATTTAAGAAAATGAAAGTCAGATGCGGTTCGTCACCTTTCATCAGAGTGCAATAAAAAAAATTGCGCAATGGAAAATAAACGCAATTCTCCAGAATGGAAATTGCGCTAAAAAGCGCAAACAGAAAAAAGCGCAAACAGATTTACGCACGCAGAAGCATGCTCAAAGAGAAAAAGGCGCAAACAGAAATTTGCGCACATAGAAAAAGAGGAACGTGCACACACAGAAAACACCCAAATAAAAATTTGCGCACACAGAAAACTACACACAAATCGCTCACCAATGAAGATTATGGCAATGTGCGTGTGTTGTGTGCATGCATGTTTCTGTTTGCACATTTTTCTGTGTGCGTATTTTTCTGTTTGCGCATATTTTTCTGGTTGCACATATTTTTGTGCGCTTTTTACGATGCGCTTTTTCCGTTGCGCATCTTTCTGAGAACCGGTGACATTAATCTCTTTTATTAAACATAATCTGAGCTGAAATATTTTTTGGTAGAAGTTTGAACAATTTTTTAAAAAAGGGAAAAATTGAAATAAGTCGCATATTTTTAGTTGGAATTTGATAATAAATTAATTTAGATCTAGATTTCTATTTAGTCTTTACAATTTAGAGTACAAATCATACTACGTTCCGCGTTTTAGTTCCATTTGTGCGCAGATTTGCAATTCCTTGTATAAATACAAAATACATCGATTAAATAATTAATGATTGAACATAATGAATTTAAAATCAAATTATTCTATGAACTATTTCTAATTACCTTAATCCAATGCCTTTTTCAACTTAGAAAAAATACGGTCAGTATTTTTTTTAAAGGGGATCGTCACCCAAAAAAAAAAAAAAAACAGTGGAAACCCGTGCTTTAACATTTTTAACTGCTTGTGTTTACATACACAACTTTTTTAGTTTATTCCAAGATGGAGGCCACTGTTACACAAAATATTGATCCAGTTGATCTTAAAGTGGGTATTGTATTTATTTAAGTTAAAAGATCGTTAATGTGAAGTAATTAATAACCAAACATCTTTATTACTAGGCCCATAGGTAATCTATCGTTTTAGGTATGTAAAATCTGCCAAGACTAGTTATTGTGAAAAGTGAAAAAAGTAGTAAGTAAGGGCAAGGGTGACTCACTAGAAAATAAATTTTTAAAATCATTAGGCCTAAAATTGGGTTGTCGACATCGGGTGAGTTAGCGGTAAAAACATGACCCGAAATCTAAAAAAAAAATTCACCGTGGTGGCCCATGATGACGTTGTCGGTGCAAGCGGAGAGGGGGGAGACACTTTTTTTTTAAAACCAAGAACGAGGCGTTGCAAGGAATTAATGATAATGAAAATCAAGGACTGGTAGGCCTATAGCCATGATGTCGAATTTAATGAGTGATGCTTGCTGGGTCTATCATTAAACGATTGCTTGACGATGGGAGTCTCGTCAAGCTCAGATTACATTAACAGTGAACTATTGGGATGCTGTCATGCACAAAGTAACAGCTACAGATTGTAGCACTTGAAACATCGAGTGCATCCCTTTCATTATGAATCTTTGAAATACAAGTTAGGGATAGTCCAATAACTACTAATACTTGAAGAACTGCTAGAATATATTAGCTTTTCTTACTAAATCTAGAATTTACCCAAATTTCAAATTAAACATGACTACTGAATGATAGACATCCATATTTAATCCATTAGGCACTAATTTTGAAGTTTTTAGTTTGTTTTAAACTAAAATTACTTAATTTAATATTAATTGACACTCACTGCCATGGACAACACACCTCTCCATGATAACTCTTTTAAGTGGCCATGTACCCAGAGTTCCTCACTAGTGATCATCAAATAGCGGTCACGTGGTTTTTAAAAAAATAAAAAATTTGGTTGTCATTCAAAAGTCTTATTTTAAAAAGTGCATGCAATATTTGATTTATTTCTTCATATAATGATAAACCTAATAGTTCTACAACACCGCTCACCAGACCATGTGTGTGGGGGTGGGGGTGGGGGGGTGGTAGCGATAGAGAGGAAGAGAGGGGACTGCAAGGCGCGCTTGCAGCTTGTTTTTTAACGTCTCCCAGAAGAGAATTATATATATAGATAGTCTGACAAAAATCACAAAATCAGGTTATCAAAACCACATTTATTTTATTAACACTGTACATGTTTTTTAAAATATTTAATGAAAACCTGGAGACTTTCCCTACTGGGGTCCATAGATCAGGGCTGTTAACTTATTACAGTGAATTAGGCGTCATCCTTAACAAAACACAATTTAGAAATATAAAATTTAAAAATTCTCAAATGCAGCAAACTTTATTTGTGAAAATATGTTTCTTCTGTTGTAACCTTGCAACTTTTTCTCACATCCGATGATATCCCTATAAATTTACAAATTTTGAATACATATTTTACCAGGACCAATCATAATTCAAAACTTTAAATTTTAGAATTTTGAAGGCTTATACAACGAACAACTGAGGCGAGGACATGTAAATGAAAAAACCCAGTTTGATTATGCTTGGTGCCTTGTCAGGAGTCGATACATTGCTGATATGCATAAAGGCATTGCTTTGCTTGAAGGTAAATTAATGCGTTTCAGCACACGTTACCATAAAAATATTTACTATACTAGGATAAAATCATTTTAGACAAATGATGTAAAACTTGAGTAGAAAAAAGAACCACCATTGCTAAAAAAAAAGAGATGACAGTACATTTAATACATTGTGTAGTAGAGACCTTGTTTTTGGTATTTCTTTTACATTGGGATGTCTTGTAAATATTTTTATAATCACCCATTAATTATTTAATAGCTTAGTTATCTTATGTCAATTGCAGATTTGTTACGTAGTGCTAAAGATGACTTAAGCAAAAGAGACTATCTGTATTATATAGCAGTTGGATTTGTGAGGATAAAGGTAAACACTTATGATTTTGTGAAATATGTTATTTACACTACAATCGGTTGAATAGCTAGGCCATTGCTTGTTGTAGCCGTTATAAAAGCATGTTGCTTCATTTTAAGAACATGGTGTGATACTGGTGTTATAGTAGTATTACAGGTTAGCATGTTTTTCTATACAAAAGATAAACAAAGCTGGATAACAGTTTCTTTTTTTACAGAGAGCTTGTTATGTGTTAAAAACAATATCCTGCAATGTATTAATAGTTTATGTTGCAAGCACTAATATGATATGTTTGATATAAAGCTGTAGCAGTCAGGCACAAAAATGTGCATATTGAGCATTTTGCCTTTACTGCACTATCGACAACAGTAAATGAAAAGATACCCTCAAATTTGGTTCCTTCTGTCTGGCATCATTTGCACCACCTTAGCTACACTACTGACTGTAGAATTGAATACAGGTTACAAAAAATGAATTTAAATTATCATACTTTCTAAAGAGCATAAATTGCTTTTTAACAGTTTAGTAAACCGGAAACAAAGTGACAATGACATATTTAAATTGTGCACTAGAGTAAATGCATTTTTGATAATGTAATCTATTAAATAATTTAAAAAGTTAATGATGTCTTGTAGAATATTTATGTATTACTGATTATATAAATATATATGTGCAGGGGTGTTTTATCCTAACAGCTTATAATTTGTTTTAATTTTAAGAATATCCATTACAAATACTTTGTTACTTCTTTTTCTGAATATTTACTTTCTGAAAGTTTTAAGCTTTATTCCCATATTTAATAGGGCAAAGGTATTTTACCTTGAATGATTTTTAAACAACTCAAAATAGTTAGATTTATTTTGTTAATAAATAAAGACTGCACAGAACATTTTGTATTATGTCTTGATATTGCTTGTTTTAGGAATATGAAAAGGCTCTTGAATGCACAGAAGCTATTTGTAAAATAGAACCAAACAACAGACAAGCCTTACAGCTGCATAATTATGTCAAAGACAAAATGAAAAAAGGTTAGTTGAATGTGAAAAGTATCTGTCACATCAGTAATTGATGACCACCTTCATTTCTAAAATATTAGTTCTAAAATATAAATGAATATTAAATTTGCTGTTATTATTTTTGAAATATCATACATTATCAGCCTGTTAGCAAAATGAATTGAGGTAATGGTATGATAAAATATATAGGCCCACTGGTAACTCAGAACTTATTTTAAAAAAAACAAAAACAACATCAGTTTTCACTGATTGGCAGATATATTAGTTTAACAACTATATCAATTCACTAGTAGGGCTGCTTTTCTACCTGGGCAAATGGGAAAAAAATGTATTAGTATTCTCAAACATCCCTAAGAGTACCCATGTCCCACATCTAACTAAACTGATGTGTAATCTTCCTCCCATACCTCAGATGGCTTGATTGGCATGGCTATCGTAGGTGGTGCTGTACTGGCTGTTGGAGGAATCATTGGAGCTACTATAGCTGCCATGAAGAGGAAACCTAAAGATTAAAATTGTTCTGGAAATAAAATGATGTTGGAACAATCCAATGATACACTTTAAAAAGTTTTTGCTCTGACAATTTTATTAACAGTATTTGATAATTAATTCAACAAAATGTTTTTGAACCTGAGATCCCTAAAAAATTCTTTATTAAAGTTATGTATTTACTAAGTGGGTAAAAAAGCTGTTATCATTTTTCTATCTACAATAAACCCCATTGACATCTAATTTAACCAATGTAAAGTGTACATTAAAGCTTCCTAATTATTTCTATTGTTTTCTTGCCAATTTTTTTCCAATGACGTACCATCTACTACATAACATTATTGAAATCTCATTTTTAAGACTTTAATTTCGACCTTTTCTCAATGGACATCAAGTTCACCAGAATCCTTCCATCGTTGCTGTTGATATGGATAAAAATCGTGTTTTTTTTTTCAATTTTGCCTTCATAGCAGCAGTAAAAAAAACTATAGCTTGAAAACATTTTAAGAAATTAATAGTTCATTTTGAAAATTACAAATATAGAGAACTTGAAAATAATATTTTGTGTTTAAGACTACATTTCTGGTAATTTTCATCAAGCCTAAATTATAAACTGAAGTTGCCAAGTCTCACGTTGGTAAGGCAAGCATTGAATTAAACCGCTGCACAGGAACTCTGTGATTGATCTTCTGAAAACCCCACTTTCTAATAATTTAAACTCAAAACTTTTCCGATAAATTTTTTTAAGAAAATTATACTTATTTTTACCACATTATGCTATATTTCAGTGACAAAATGTAAACAACACATTGTTGTTTTTTCCTTTACTTTTGATTAGTTACCAAAAATGCAAAATTCATCAAATTTTTAGTTAAGTCAGACAAGAAATAAACAGTCAGGCTGTTTCAACCATATTTATTTTGATAACTTTGTATATGATTTTTAAAATGTTTAATGGGCCTTTCAAATACTTTCGAGACTATTCTCGTTTGGGTCTATTGTGTTTTATATGAGAAGTTAAATAAATATTGCTGTGTTTTTTTCCATAAAATTTTATCAATCATTCCAAAACAATCTCCTATGTTTACCCAGGTGAAGGTTAGCGAACTTAAAACATAAGGCACGTTAATTAAAAAATATGATTGGTGCTGATATATGTCAAATGCTTTTCTTATACCTACGCATTTTCTTAAGTTTTTCTTTTTGCTCATTGTCCTCAGATGGCTTGTTAGGCATCGCAATAGTAGGTGGGGCTGCACTGGCTTTGGGAGGTATCTTAGGCATCACTATAGCAGCATTAAAAAAATGAAGTGGAGGGATGAAACACAAATACTCAAGCTCTTTTTCAGTAGTTCCTATTTATATTTTCTTTGACTTTTTGTTGACCAGATTATTTTACAAAATCACATGTATTAGAAAGTAGTAAATGTTGAAGCAAAATGTGAATTTTTCATGGAGTAAGATTATATAGACCTAGTAAACAAAGCTGGAAAATTTTTGATAAATATAATTCTGTAAAGAATTTTTTCCTCTTTTATTTATAGTTGCAAACTTAAAAGGCTGTGGAAATGTTATAATATCCCCATGTTTGTACATTTTATATCGCTTTGGTATGTGATGGATGAAAAGAAATGTTGAGTGTAAGAGAGACCTATTAAAAATGCAATGAGCTTAAAATTTGTTAATTATAAATTTTCTATTATCTAATTAAGAAAAAATTTGTGAGGTTAATTACTAGTGAAGACTGATGAAGTAGAGTTCAATTTCTTTGGCCATAGCTTTTTTTTAGAAACTTCACCAGTAAAAATATCTGGTCCTCCTAACTTTGCAGACAGTGATGGTCTTTAATCTGAATCTCTGTGACAACGCCAATCTTATATGCATTTATGATTTATCCTTTGTAAGACTAATCTCACTGTATTTTAATTAGGTGTGGAATATGTTGGATGTAGATTTTAAGATGTATTGCTAATGTGCTTCTTATAAGGAAACACTAATAAATATGTAAATAGACCCAAACACATTTAATTTTTTATTTACAATATTTGTGTTTTAATAACATGAGTTTTAACTCATTTTCAAAATAATGGTTAATTTCAACATGAATTTTTTACAGTAGGCACAGACTATTCAAAATGTACATTTTTACATGGCAATAGAAAAAGAAGTAATGCAAATAACAGTTTAATCAACTAATTTTATGAGGTAGATGAATTTAGTTCATCTATTTCCCTGACTATGGCTACCTTTAGAGAACTTTTATTATGTGCTCATGCTGTCCCACAACTGCATTGAGACACTATTGTTCATGGTAAAGTAAAAAAAAAGGCTCACATTTCAACAAGGTATTTAGTTCAAATGTACTATCAAATCTAAAACAGGTATGTATGCAAAATTACAGATTACTGTCAAAAGGTTATTATATAAGCTAGTTGCGGAACATTAAAAACTCAAATTTTTAATTGGTGCTTAACTTCAAAAGTTTGAAGTGAAAATAAAAAATCACAGAAAACAATATATATTTATATCAAATGCATAGATCAGGACACCATCAGAAGAAATTATTCCAGAACAGAATTCTTTAAATGTTCACTGTAATAAGAGAGCCAGTCTTTGATACCTTTACCTAAAAGAAAAAAGTAATATGTTTATAAAATTTGAAACACATGCAATAAATTTTAAACTTATTTACTTTAACCGTTACTTAAGCCACTTACCACCAGTTTGTGAGATGTTGCTTTCTGAAATTAGTTTCTTGATGTTGTCTATTGAAGCTCTCAAGGCCTGGGAATCTTCTAAGTGTTGACTTAACACAGCATTAGCATACTTTACCTGTGGATTAAGGCACTAGCAATGTAACTCATAAATTATGTTAAATAACCCAAAACAACAGTCTTATTTTTGCAGACTTAATTTTCTTATTTAATAAACCTGAAACAGTAACAAATATCAAAAACTTCTAATTTTTCTAATGTCTTATACAATTTTTCATAAACAATTTTTAAATATAATTTTAGGAATAACTTTGAACTTTGAGATTTAAATTCAATTTCAAACCAATTGCCAAATGTGAAAACATGGTATTTTTAAAAATATATTTAAAAAAAAAAGATTTTTGAAATGTTAATTAATATTAGATTATAAATAGTGCTCCTAGTCCTACATTTTAAACTCTCTAGAACATTGAAGGTTATTGAGTTTGATGGCGATTTATCAAACTTATTTTAGCTGTATAAGAACAAATTTGGATTTAGTGTTTAACTATAGTAAAATTTAGCACAACTAGCAAGCATTCATAAATTTGAATATAATTACATGATTATGATTTCTCTTAATTGTCTTTATTCCAAAATAAGCAAGACAAAAAAACCCAGTAGCTAATTAAATGAGATCTAGCTGGTTTAAAGAATAAATATCTAAATCTTTTTAAAGTGGAGTAAATTAACATGATTAAAAGATGCTTTCCTTACTGAAATTATTCTCTTCTTTACTTCAGATATTCTTTTTTCTAAATCATTTTCAGCCTCTTTATCAAGCCGTGTTAGCTGACAAACATCCTCTGGTAAGATAACATTAGCTGGTATAGAGAACACATCCCGAAGTAAAAAAAACTGGAGAATACAAAATATTATATGACTAGCTTTTATATAAAAGTAATATAATATTTTATAAATGATTTTTGTGTTTTAATTTTTAAAAATGCTGTAAATTACAGTTTAGTAATATTTATAATAAATAGTAGTTTAATAAAATAACTCAACCTCCATAGCATCAAAAACCTCGCAAACATCTTTATCAATTAATTCACTGACAGCATGGCCGGCTTTTTTCAATTCCTCATCACTCATAACATTTGGATACTTGGAAAAGAAAGAAGTTTAAGAATGCAAAAAAAAAGTTTTAATAAATTGCTTTAATGCACAAATATGGTACATAGTAATTAATTTTTTAAGTAAAACTTATTTTATATGGTAATATTAATATGCATTTTTGAAAGCATTTTTTATTTTATTTTAAATAAAAAGGATAGGCAAAAAACATATATATATATATATATATATATATATATATATATATATATATATATATATATATATATATATATATATATATATATATATATATATAAAACACCTACTTTTTCTTTTAATGTTTTACAAAACACTTTGATTGCTTCTCTGTAAAAGTCACACACTGCATTAAACACTGAAAAGAACAAAAATTTCTGAAATAGTGGACTGTTATTTTTTAGCAGCACATCAAAAAGTCAAATCCTAGGCAACTTACTTCCATTAACCATGGTGATAGGAGTAAAACCAAAATGCTGTGTCTCATAGTCAAATTTATTATCGTTTTTATCAGTGTCTGCATCAGCTTTCAAATTGTCATTGTCACAATGACCTTCAACTTTTGGTATTTTATCCATTTATTGTCTTTACAGTAAGCTACAATCTGCAATAAATAAAAATCAAGCAACATTATAAAAGTTAATACTGTCACTTAAGTAGTCCTCAATGGATTGGATAACATCACTATCTGTGCCAGAGTTGTTTGAATTTTTATTTGGGCCAATTTTAATTGTTAATTTATTATAGTCCTTAGCTTAGAGAAACTTCTTTTAATTAAGGTAAATATTTCAAGTTACTGATAAATTTTAAATGATAAATTAAGCCTATTGCTTATTAACTACTACATGTGTACTGTACAGAGTACTTGAATGTATTTAACACAACTGTATAACTTAATAGTACTTTTGTCAAGTTTGAAGTGTGCTCACTGTACTGTGTAGGCATGCCCCCTATGCTGCTACTCACTCCACTTGTAGTGTAGTGTAGGCCTACTCACTTTTCTTTTTCAGTATGTATATCTCTATTTAATTATATTTACTTTCAAAGTACTAGATCTATGCAGATTAAGATTTAAGAATGTTCTGACTAAGCTCTACTCACTGGGTCATCACAGAGGCGTAGCGACCCCTCCTGGCACCTGGGGACAAACTTTCAATTTGGCGCCACCCCCACATATTGTTTTATTTTATATTTATAAATCAAAACTGCAGCTAAAATGAGCTTTTAATTTTTTTTCCAACCCATTTTGACGCCTCTAGGGTGGGCGCCCGGGGACATATGTGTACACTACAGCTCCCCTGTTACGCCTCTGGGTCATCATATGACATTATTGTCTACCACTACCACACAGTAATTCAGTAGTATAAAATTAAAATTATAAATAAAAACGTCAACTGGGTAACCACTAGACTAAGAGACTAATAGTGTAGATCTATAACTTATTAAATTAACACTTATTATCACTTAACCACTATAGAATCTACTATCTAGATAGTAGTAGTAGTCTAGTACTAGTGTCTAACTCTAACTAATCTAATACTAGATCTAGTAGTGACTAGTGACAATTTCACAATTTGACTTGTCATTTGACTAGAATCTAGATCTTGACTCTAGACTAGAGTCTAGACCTAGATCTAGAGACGATTCTAGATCTAGATCTGTAAAACTAAATCTAGTTCTAGATCTAGATTCTAGTAGATCTAGATCTATACTTCTAGATCTAGATTCTAGACTCTAGTCACACAGTGTGACACAGTACACACACAAACACTTTGAATCATGAAACACTCTGTCTGTCTACCTACAGTACAGTCACAGTGGTACACACTATATACTATATACTCTATTGACAATATTCACATTGTTACTATAATAGGCCAATATAATATATAGTTATATAGACTACATAAATTATAGATCTAGATTCTAGATCTAGATCTAGATTCTAAAAATCACAACAAACTTTTACAACACACATAGACTACTGGCACTACTGTGATTTGTTTGAAAATTTTTTACAGGCGCTTTCGCAAAACACCGTAAATTGCCGAATAGCACTGAATATCCCAATCCAAATTGACTGGAATTTAGACACCAAAAACAAATACGCCTACACTTCTATTTTAAGATATTTTTTTATTTTGATATACGAAGTCTAGATAATAATTTAATAGGCCTATTATTTGAAAAATCAATTGGTAGGCTAAAGGTAAAGACAGTAAGCCTAAAGTGTGGTTATTTTCTATAAAGTTTGGCCCTGTAACCTATTTTTTACCGCTAGGTCCTAGTCTACAAAAGACTTGAAAAGAGTCTGGCAGTAGGCCTAATACTAGTAACTTAGTAAGTAGTTAATTGCGTTTTGCAGAGAAATTTGACTGGAGTTAGTTAGGTTCTAGACTAGATCTAGTGTTCTAGATCTAGATGACAGTATCTAATTCTAATCTGTCGATCTATCTACTCTATAGAATTTAAAGTCAACTATAGTACTCTTCCGCGGATGATTAATTTAATAAGGGTACCGATATCCGATAATAGTAATTTTTAGTAATTTTTTAGTAGACTCGACTCGACTCTTCTTACTAGAGCAGTGTCAGTGGTTCCCAACCTTTTTCGAGTGGCGGCCCCCTTTTATAAAAAGTAAGTGACCCGCGACCCCCCATAGAATTAAAAAGCCGAAATTAGTATGGAAATTAATAAGCACTAAAATAAGATTTTCTAGTAGACTTTCAATATGAACTACTCTTGATAACTGTTTTATTTTAATAGCATGAGTAAAATTGCATACTATTCACTAACTAAACCTTCGTGGTTAAGTTTTTATTTTTAAAAAAAATTGTTAACACCAACCTATGTCATTATAATTATCTTAATTTTGTTTTTAATCGAAGAATAGAGTTGAAAATATAGTCTCGAAAAGTCAATCAATTTTACGTTTGGGTATGAATGGTGAATACTACACCAAAAATTTAAATTGTGTCTGCAGTTTTTCATCTTACACTTACACGGAATCATTCTGCAAATCAAAGAATTCATTTTGTAATTCATCGGGAATGCTGGCAACATCAAGGGAAGAAGAGAATGGGTAATGCGTAAATGCAGATTCTTCTTTTTTTCAGCTCAGAGAAATAGCAATGCAGTTCGTTTTCAAGAGATTCAAGATGCCCAGAAATCGCTTCTTTCAAAATTGTAATTATCTCACAATCAGATTCATCTACCACACCGCAGAGTTTCTCAAATTTACAATATTTCCAAGATTTGTTTTCTTTACCGATTTTGCAGCTTTGATAAAAATGCCCCGAGATTATCATGGAAAGTTATAATATTCGTTAATTTTCCCTGAAGCTTCAGGTTAAGCTTATCTTGATGTTCGAACACATCTGCTAGGTATGATACTCTCTCCAACCACTCAATGGCGTTTTAAGTATACCAAAAAGTCTTGTTTCCTTTGCAATCCCAAGAACAATTTGATTTCAGATTTCAATTCAAAAACACAATTTACAACATTTCGTTTGACAGCCAGCGTACTGTAGTGTAGAAGAGCAGAACCTCGTGATCTATATTATTTTTGCTCAGTTCTTTGAAGGCTCCAGATGTTATATAATTTACGACTTATACTAGCAATGGACTCTTGATGTTGATTGATTAGGGCAGTGCAGTGGCGGAACTAGAAAAAAAGGGCCACCCCGCAAAAAAAGTTTTTGGGCCCCATATATATATATATATATATATATATATATATATATATATATATATATATATATATATATATATATATATTAGGATCCTATATACGAAATACGTATATAGAATACTCAATACGGGCTTGACCGAAATTCAAAAAATAGTAATAATTCTTAGTTTTTATTTTAAATTAAAATATGTTAAAACATCACATAATTTGTGTGTGTGCTATTGGTCTGCTTTAAAATTCTCTGTTTTAATGTCTGAAATAGTTCTGCCTAATGTACATGTCGGTCAAAAGAATATGAAGCAGAAAAGCTTTGTATGTGTAATGGTTTCTCGCCTTATAATTATTTTTACGTTTTTAGTATTTATATTATTAGTTTTTAATAAATTTTCTTTTTATACTATGTCATTTTTATTACGTATTTTTAAAAAAATAATAATTAAGAGAAGTAATTGCTTTTTAATTTGTTTAGTGCAAATCTATTAAAAAATTTCTTAAGAGCACACATATTTAACTATTTAAAAAAGGGAAATAAGTCATGGGAGTGATTAGAACGTTTGCCTATCTTTCACACTACAAGTCATGTAGCCTATATATTTTTTCCTTACGAAACAGCATGTGTTAGCTACTGTAGAACATCACTACTGTATTATAGATCTGTTTTGTTTTTACTAGAAAATTATTTTTTAACTATAAAAAAATTGATTATGGTCAGCTCTGGGCCCCTAAACGGCCTGGGCCCCCCCCCGCATTGCGGGGTCTGGCGGCACTGTAGTTCCGCCCCTGGGGCAGTGGTGAGGGAGCTAATCTTTTCTGTTTTCTGAAAGCCCGATTTTGAGCTAAACATAGATGGCGCACCATCCGTACAAACCCCCACAGCCGTTCTAACCCATTTTAATCATCCAGTTTCAAAAAAGATATTTATTTTCTCCATGCTATCTTCACAAAAGAGCAACTCTTCTTTGCTATCATCCGCATGAATATAGACACAGACCAGCAACTGCAAACACGAACTCACGTCTGTTGATTTATCAAATTGAAAAGCAGACAATGGTGAAAGCTTAATTTCAATAAAAATGTGTTATTTAACATTTACGTACAGGCAGCGTTTGATAGATTTTCTCCTATTGTTTTTTTTTGTTTTTTTTTTGCTTGGCATTTTCTATCGCGACTTCATTTGATGCTTGCACTAATGCTGGTGAAAACGTCCTGTTCGATCCAGTCTCTGGCGTTTGCAACTAGCTTCTTATCGACGAAAGAACTCCATATATTTTTTGGTGTGTTCCGAATGACTCGTCTCAAATGACGTTTTAGTTTTGAAGATTTCATAGATTCGTGACTGAGAACAACTTTGTATAGTGCGCTTTGTTTCTTCTCTATTACATTTCCAGTTATGTTAATGAAGCCGAATTTCAAAAATTCTTCTAAATATTTATGTTTTGTTTCAAATTACTAAGGTTTAGTATACCAGTTTGCGACCCCCCAGAAAGAACTTCGCGACCCCCAGGGGGGTCGCGACCCCCACGTTGGGAACCCGTGTACTAGAGTCTAGAACTAGATTCTACATAAAAAATAAAAAAAATAGTGGTGTGTTGGGTTGTAGAGATCTAGATCTAGAAAAATTTAGTACTCCATTTAGTTAGTTAGTTATTATTAGTATTAGTTAGTATTGTAATCTCGACTAATTTTTTATGGCTAGGAATAGCCTTCGGAATAGGTTTATGCATATATAATAATAATTATATATGATGGTTACGGTAGGACCAGGGTTGGGGTTAGGCTTAGGGACAGGGTTAGCATTGACATTAGCCAGCCATGTGTGTATTAAACTATTAAAGTATTTACTGATTTTATCGAAATATTCTCCCTAATTAATAAATTTAAAATTATTATAATTAGGTCAATTTTCCAAATATTATGCTTACTTGACATAGTAAATATGAGTCAGGTACCCATCAGAGCTGAGTAGGCTCAGGGACATTCTTCTGAGTCAACTGACACAGACCCAACCAAGTCTAAGAATTCAAAGCATAATGCTTTTTTTAAAAAGGCAGTAGGCAGACTCGGGAGAGTAATAGATCTAGATATACATTGGCTGGTTTGGACTTTAGACCTTTCCCACTCTACCATCAATCATTTTATTTTTTGGAAACCAAATTCTTTCATGTAAACTTATTTTAATAAAAATGTTTAGATCTATATGCAAGCTGTTAATTGGCCCGAATAAAGTACTAAGAGTGTGAAATTTTAAAAAATTAGAACTATTAAAGGTGATATGTACATCTTGCAAGATGATTAACAAACTATCTCTGTCATTTTTGTTTTACAACCAGTAACTACAATAATAGATCACTTCCACCTACTGGTATTGATGCTTTTGTTGGACCTCCAGCTATTAACTTGAGGACATTTTTTGACAAGAAAGATGGGTGTTCATGGACTGTGGCAGCTGTTGCATTCTGCTGGACGTCCTGTATCACTTGAATCTTTAGAAGGAAAGGTTTTAGCAGTTGGTATCCTTGTTTACTTAAAGATCTAAGCAAAATTTTAAAGGAACCTATAGCATAAATTACAGGTGTTATAATGGTAAAAATTATGATTGTGGACTATTTAATTTTGTGTTTTCTTATTTATTTTGTCCGTGATATCTAACATTGGGATGAAAACCAGATAAATATGACTTAAAAGCTTTTAAAATTGTATCAAATAAAGTTTCTTCAATTTTAATTAGTTATAATGTAAGTACGCATACTATGATTTCTTAACTGACACAAGATGTTAGTATTTGGCTCCACCAAACTATGAAAGGAATGAGAGATAAGGATGGAAATCCTCTCCCTAATGCTCATTTACAGGTAAATGCTATATCATGATTTGTAATATGATAATTTCAAAATAACCTTACTTTTATTACTGTGTTAACACTTGCAGTTTATTAGAACAAACAATCTGTAGGGCAGATAAAGTAGAGCTCATCTGTTTCTCTGCCCAGTTATCATTACTTTCCCAAACTCAAAGCCAGGTACACACACAAGTTAGGTGGAGTCAGAGATGTTCTACTCAAGCCAAACTAGTGAACAGAAACTTTTCAATTAGTGGTGTTGTGCTCTTCCCTTGACCATGCTGTCCACTTTTAGTGGATATTAACTCTTAATCTTCTGTTTTACACACTAATTTAAACAATCATTTAGTAGTTTTGTCTAACTAATTTTAAAAGTAAAATCCAACCTTCAAGACTTAAATGTTTTCCTAAGATTGTTCTTTTGGTTTTAGTTAACTTAATTTGTTTTATATCTTGGTTTATAGGGCCTTTTTTCACGGGTTTGCAAGCTTTTGTTCTATAGAATCAAGCCTGTTTTTGTGTTTGATGGTGGAGTACCCATTCTTAAAAAACAGACTATGGTCAGTAATAAACATGTTTTTAAAACATCATTTTTTTAATAACTAATAGACCTAATTGATTTTAGTTGCTATATTACTTTGTACATTATTCTTTACCAAACTGCTGTAAAAACTATAGTATTTTATTTTCACTGTTTGAAAACAAATTTGTTTTATTAAGAAAAGCATTTAGCATGCTAATAGAATATAAAAAGTTAATATGCTTATATGTTGTTATAATATACCTTTTTTTCCAGTCCCTACTCTTTAATTTTATAAACCTTCACATTTTAGAGATATTTAATATTTATGAAAAATGTTTTTCATTTACATTATTAGGCTGCTAGAAGAGAAAGAAAGGCTGAAGCAGAAAGGGAGAGCAGTGAAATAGCTCAGAAATTACTTCGTAACCTTGTGAAAAGTAATGCAGTGAAAAAAGCTTTAGGAGAAACTGCGGCGCCAAAGCGAGTGCCTGGTGTTCGCAGGGGTCGTGATCAAGAAAGTGATATATTTCAACTAGCTCCACTGCCAGAATCAGAGGAAATCGGGTATAGCTTTAGAACTTTTTAATTTGAAGTTTGTTATGCCATCTGCATTTTGACTGACTGTGTTGAAAGTTATGTTAAGTTTTTATTGTTGTTTAACACAAACATTTGCACTAAATTAAAACTGGATTAAATAGGTTGTTTAATTAAATGTCAGCCCCATCTTAGGCAGAAGAGGGTATTTCAGCCAGTATTAAAATAAAAGAGACCACATTAGTTCACTTTTAGTGGGTCTTACGTAATTCTATAGACTTTAGGGGCCAAATAGATTTAATTTTAATTTATTATTTATAGTGACATTCTGTTCCCAGACTCGCAATTAACGCAGAAGAGTGGGAGAAGGACTTTGAACTGCAAGAAGCTTGGATCAAAGTAAGTACAATGAAAAAAGTAATCCTTAAGCTTAAAACATATTAAAACAAAATCTAGTCACAGTATATCAATAACTTAATTTTAGACTTATCGCTATATTAAGTAACATTACCTAATCACTCACAAGGACTCTGTTTCACCATAGAATTACTTAAGTGGAGTTTTTTTTTACAATTTCATATCTGTTTAAAAAATAATTATCTTTCAGGAAAGTTTATCTTCACTGTCGTCTGATGCCCAACCAGACTCTGAAGAGTTCAGGTCCCTGCCAATGGAAATCCAGCATGAAGTTTTAAATGAGCTGAAAGAGAGGAAGAAATACCACAGTCTCAGCAAGCTTATACAGATGCCTGAGGTGATTCTTATTTTATATTGTTTTATCAAAGCATGGTCAAGACATTTGTTATTTGTTTACTCAAATCCAGGTGGGGATATCATGGGAAATGTAGTTTTTGGTGACTTTCCTATTTACCTACCAAGATAGATAATTTATTACATTTGATACTTAGATAACTAATTAATACTGACCTAATTCTAGAAAAAGAACCATCATTTTATAGTTTTTGCCTAATAATAAATACTAATGGTTTTAAATCTGATGATTATGGATTTTTACAAAATGAAATACCATTTGTAATTAATTAAATCAAAACTGACTACTCAGAACTCTTAGAGCTTTTTGATTTATTTATTTCAAATACTTTGTGTAGCTTTAATTTTTATAGTGCATGGTGTTGCAAATTATGCATTATTCATTTGCAGGATTCTGACAGCTTTTCATCATATCAGCTAAAAAAGCTGATGCAGCAAAGTAAGCTAACAAATCGTATAGAAGAAGTTAGAAAAGAAATGGCTACCAAAACAGCAGGTGATGTTCCTCTGGGTGATGATTTGTATGGGGATGAGGTAGAAGCAAGGCGGATTGTGTCTGAAGATTCATCGCATTATGTTCTGATCAAGGGCCTCACAAAAAGAAAGCAAGAGGAGGAAGCAGAAAAATTTGAGTTGTATAACAAAGTGAAACTAGAGAAAATTGAAGAAGAGAATGATGAATATGAATACAATAAGAAGAAAATGTTACAAGATGAAAAGAAACAAAAACAACTGATAAAAGTTGTTTCAGCAGGCTCTGATGATAGCGATGTTGAAATTGTGATGAAAAAGAAATATAACAGAAAGCAGAGAAAGAGAAAATCTTCACAGAAGGAAGTTTATAAAGGCAGTATGAAAAGAAGAGAGGATCTATCAGAAACAGAAACAATGAAAACTTTGTCAAGTTCCAGTTTTCAAGTGGCTGCTCAATCAGATGAAATGGATTCTAGTTCTGAAGGTATGAGTAGCTCCACAAATTAAAATTTTTGTGTGATTTATTTTAAGAATTTTTGGAAACTTGTTTAGTCATTATAATGGCCTTAAACTTTTAAAAATTATTAAGCTAATTATACAAGATTAATCATTCAATTGTGCATCATATTAATTTAGATATCTTTAAATTTGGGTTTTTACAATTCTGACCCTAATTTTCACATAGAAGTTGATGTAAAAATTGGGTATAACATAAATTTCAGTAATTTTTTTCACTGAATATGTGTACATGCATTTATGAAAGCAATTCATTATTTGTATGATTTTACAGACGAAGGATTCATTGAAGTTACAATTGATCCAACTGCAGTGGTAGAAGAAGATGAATTATTCCCAGCTAGCATTTTTCAGACTTCTTCAGAGCCACTAACTTTGCCTGAAGTTATTCCTCATAAAAATCTTAAGACTTCAGATATTCAGCAGCCAGGAGATCCACCTTCTCAGATAAGAAAGGAACCTAATTCAACAGAACGTGCTCAACTTGGAAGTGAAGACGTCATTCAGAAGTTGGCATCTGATGAAAGTGTTGTAGCTAAGAGAAAAAGTGTTCTCAACGATATTCTTCAACAACTGGAGGAGAAAAAGAAAAAACTTAACGAAACGTTACAAGAGGTTGAAGGGGGCGATGGTGGGGATGTTGTTCCTGACACCAGTACAAGTGGGGGGTTTTTTAGGGAAGATTCTGACGAGGTAGAAGATGAGCAGAGTTGTCCTGCTTTCAGTAGTGGTGATGCTGGGCTAAAATCAGCGCATGAGGGGAAAGCTCAGACAAGAAAAGATTCTGTGCCACTGTCAGATAGTGATGAAGAATTACAACTTGCCATTGAAATTTCTCTACAAACTGCTGTCAATAGTTCACACAAAACTAACACAAGTCCAGGTTTAACCAAGGCAAATAAAGAGTCACCTGCTTCTAGTTCAGTAAAAAGTAACATTGACAATGTCAGACTATCTAATAATGAATCCAAGACTAACATCCAAGGTATCACAGAAGAGCTCAAATCCGCACTAAGTGAAACTGAAGAGTCCCTAAATGAAAAAGGTATAAGCAGCTCTTCAGACAGTGAAGTTAGTGAAGAAGAAAACCTTGATGGATCAAAGCTCAGTATATCACCATCAAAAGCTGTTGCCAGACCCCAACCAGAAGATTTTGAAGGAGAGGATGAGATAGAAACATATTTCCACAATCTTAATAATGTAAGTAACGAGGTTTGTGTACTGGTTCTGTTTACTATGGTAAATAATGCAAAAATCTTGTTATAGAATAACTAGTTTTTTAAAAGACCAATTAAATCTCAAGGCTAACTCAAGCTATGGAATCATCTTACACTTACAGTTTTTTTTACAAGTGTAATACAATTTAGTTTTATCTACTCTCAGATTTAAGTCATCATGCATGTTTTTCATTGTAATGTTTACTTTACTGCTCAATTAGCAGTTGTTTAATTACTGAACAACATGAATAATGTGCTTTTGTTTCATTTTCTCATTTTCGATTGTAGGATGATCTAATGGAAATGAATACCGACCTAGACAGTGAAAGAATGGCACTGCTCATGGAGCAAGGCAAACAAAACAGACTTGCCACATCGGTAACAGAACAAATAAACATGGAAGCTCAGGTAAGTGTCTTTTAATCAAGCCTGCCAAAATATTTTTTTGTTAGCTAATTAAAAATAGTTTTGGCTGGCAAGCCATGTCTGCTAATTTAAAAAATTGCTTTGGCTTGCTAGTTGTCTCTGCTAATTTAAAATAGTTTTGGTTGACTAATCATGTCAACCTTTTGAAAATGTTGTGTGTGGCTATTTCTTACTATTTATATTGTTCCTTTTACAGGAGTTGTTGAGACTTTTTGGAATCCCCTACTTAGTCAGCCCCATGGAAGCTGAGGCTCAGTGTGCATTTCTTGACATCACAGATCAAACTCAGGGCACAATCACTGACGACAGCGACATCTGGTTGTTTGGTGGCCGTAGGATGTACAAAAACTTTTTCAACCAAAGCAAACACGTGGAGTTGTTTACATTTGACAACATACACAAGCACTTTGGTAAAATTTTAGTATTCTCATTTAGTAAAAACGTTAAAGATGTGTTACTATATTTTATCCAATGTTATATGGAGTTTTAATAAATTGATAAATGGAATGTGCGTTTAAAATTTTAGGGTTAGAAATCACATGCTTAAATTTTCCTTCCCATTTCAAATTTTGATGGTTCCTTTATATAACTAGAGTAGGTCTTCTGTAGTCCATCACCACCCGCAACAAAAAAAATTTTTAAGTTGGAAATCACACACACACACTACAACTCAATTGCCTGGTCATTATTTGTACCTTACAAGAGTTAAAAGAAACAACTTTGTGTTGGAGATTAAAAAGTGTGACCAATGTGCTTAAACACGTACTTTTCAAGTTGCCACTACAATCAACGAGGACTGAAGCTTAAAATAAACAGTTTTTGTTTTATAATGCATTTTGTAATTGAAATTACAGCTCGTCTGTGCTTTTTAAATTGTTTTATTTGTTTTGTGTATTATTTTTTTATTTTTTTTTATTTTATTACATGTTTGTGTCCTTAATAACAAAATTCCTATTTTGTTGTTGTTCAGGGCTAGGCAGAGAGCAGCTAATCAACATAGCTCTACTGTGTGGAAGTGACTACACAGAGGGTATCCAAGGAGTTGGGCCAGTGAGAGCTCTAGAAATAATGGCAGAGTTTCCTGGGGATGGGCTTGAAGGCTTATGTAGATTCAAGTAATTAGTCATCCTTCTATAGTCTTCTTAACTGATAGTGTTATATGAAGATTTAATATATATTGTTTACTATTATGTTTGTTGGTAAATAAAATTAAAAGTGAATCTATTTATAGGCAGTGGTGGGACAAGATAAAGAGACAGGGCATTCAGACATTAGAAAACAGAACAAGAGATCGACTTAAAGATTTAAAACTTTTTCCAGGTAAGTTGTACCGTAAATTCTTGTAAGATATTTGTGTGCTGTGTGTGGGTCATATCTAATTATTGTATTATTTCTTTTTAAAAACGATCTACCTATCTCAAAATACCCTAGTACACAGGTTCCCAAACTTTTTTTACAATCACTAAGTGACCAGTGACCCCCACATTATTAAAAAGTCAATATTAATAAAGAAATTAATAAACACCAAAGATTTTCTAGTACAATTTTGTTTGGATTAGTCTACATGTTGGCAACCCCCCCCCCCTCCCCAGAAAACCCTTCTCGATTCCCTCCTGGGGGTCCCAACCCACATTGGGAACCAGTGCCCTAGTAAGACAGTGGTTGGAGCCTACTTAACCCTTTTCTATCTGTTTTAGGGTTCCCTAGTAAGACAGTCATTGAAGCCTAGTTAACCCTTTTCTGTTTCAGGGTTCCCTAGTAAGACAGTCATTGAAGCCTAGTTAACCCTTTTCTGTTTCAGGGTTCCCTAGTAAGACAGTCATTGAAGCCTAGTTAACCCTTTTCTGTTTCAGGGTTCCCTAGTAAGACAGTCATTGAAGCCTAGTTAACCCTTTTCTGTTTCAGGGTTCCCTAGTAAGACATTCATTTAAACCTAGTTAACCCTTTTCTGTTTCAGGGTTCCTTAGTAAGACAGTGATTGAAGCCTAGTTAACCCTTTTCTGTTTCAGGGTTCCTTAGTAAGACAGTGATTGAAGCCTAGTTAACCCTTTTTTATCTGTTTCAGGGTTCCCTAGTAAGACAGTGATTGAAGCCTAGTTAACCCTTTTCCATCTGTTTCAGGGTTCCCTAGTAAGACAGTGGTTGATGCCTACCTAAACCCTACAGTTGATGATTCCACTGAGAGATTTACATGGAGATTGCCAGAGCTGGATCTATTGAGAGAGTATCCTTAAATCAGTCAAACAATTATAACTGTAGACATTTTTTTTTCTCCAACCTTTGTAGTCAAAATGCAATGTATAATTATTAAAATATATTCTGATGGAAAGTTGAAAATATTGTACTTTTGAGTCTATTTCTTTATGTTTTAACATTTAAAAGTAGAAGTCTAGTACAATTAAAAGAATATTTTAAGTAGTTATTACCCTTAACATAGTATTAGTTTTGCAAAGACAAAATTTGGTTGGTCCAAAGAAAAAACTGACCAGTCCCTTCTTCCAATGATAAAGCAATTAACTAAAAAAGATGTGAGTATAAAAAGTTCAGAAAAAATATCCTACATATGTACATAAAGTTATTTTAATCTCACTTGATCAAACAAAAGCTACATAACTGTTACGGATATTTATAATTATTTTAATTTGGTTTGTTGTGATTAGGCTAAAATAAATATCATAGCTGTTAGCTGACTCAAGAATTATCATAATTTAGATTATAATAATAATTTATATTTAAGGATTAAAAACTCCTATAATTTTAAATTGAGTTTGGTTTTCACAAAAATTGAAATTAAGTACTTGTATAGAAAACTATATAACAGTTTTTTAAAACTAAAATTTAATCTTTCAAGATTTTTTTTCCCCACAGAGCCAAGCAAGAATTTCAGCCTTTTTTCACCCTGACAGTTTCACTCCTGTTTCAAAAATTAAGAGCGGCAGGTTGAAGAAAGCCCTTGCTTTAGTTAAAAACTCCCAGGGAAAATCTGGTGACGGTTCAGTGGATCATGAAGGTTCTGATGACACAAGCGCACGTGTAAATGTAAAATCAAAGTCACATGTCGAGAATCCAAATGCAGGAATACAAGATGGCATAAAGTCAAATGTCAAGTCTAAATCTAAGTCAGATGGAGGCAAAGGGAGAAAAAGAAAGTTAGAAGCAGATAAGGGGTTGGATATTAATGACCAGAAATTAGAGAGAGATAAATCTAGCATCCAAAGTGCAAGTGAAGCAGACTCTGATGGATTCATGCTGGCCATGGCTGAGAAGGTTAAACAAGCTTCTGCTGTCTTAAAAAAAATGAAAGAAAAAAATCAGAGTTGTCCTCCCATGAAAGGTTCATGCACTGCTAAACCTAGAAATAAAACGGTTGCTTCCCTTGATAGAGCAAAACCTAAAATAAAAGGAAAACCAAGAGGCGCTACTGCTCACAAAAGACCTAGTGTTAAGGCAGTAGGGAACTTGTCTGAAAGTAGCAGCAGTGACCAATCAGATGATGGTAGTGAGAAAACAAAACCAACCTCTGCTGGTCACTCTAACAGTGTGGACAAACTGAAAACACCACCAAAATTAGCCAGGGATAAACCACCAAATAATTTCCATTCTTCACTCAGTGATAAAACTCAAGTGAAAAAGTCACAGGGAATTTCCAAAGTGTCTTTTGAGAAAACTAGTAAAATTATGAGTGATATGGGGTCAGTTTCTACACATGTAGTGAAAGGTCAAACCCCTCAACCAGCTTTAAACCACGATGATGAAAATTCACTCCAAAATAAAGAGATTACCCCTATACCTCTGGCCAGTTCTAATCTTAGCAGTTCCTCCACAGACGCAGTGGATAAAAGCACAGCCGAAGTGGATATAAAAAAAGCTGATGTTTCCATCATCAACAAGCAGAACCTTCCGGAAACACTGGCGTACTTAAACAAAAGGAGTAGAGAGGACAAGATGTTGCTTCACCAGCTGAAAGGTGAGCACGTCAAGAACGCTGTGGAGAAGAGGCTGGAGGAGAGTGAGAAAAGAGCAGCAGCAGAGATGCTGAAGGCCAGGCCGCAGGACAAAGATACCGATCAGGTTATGTCTTTTGAAGATCTACTCGGTGGAATGGATACCCTGACCAAAGCTAAAAAACTTTCTAAAACAAAAAAACAAGTTAAGGATATCTCAAAGCATTCACAGAAAAACAAATCCCACAAAGTTATGGACAAAGCAAATTTAGATGATTTTTCTTTTGCTAGTTTGATGGGTGAAGATACATTTGAAGATGTTTCTCCGCCTGAAGTATCTAAAAAGTTGAAAATTCAAGATAAAAGTGATAGAAATAAAGATTCCTTTACTGTGGGTGACCAAAGTTCAAAGGGGAGTAAGTCAGCCAGAGCTAAGAATTTTGACCAACCAATCGCTGGGAGTGATGATGAAGATGATGCCTACAGAAGGAAGCTGGGCACAAAAGAAGTTTTCAGAAGGCAAATGGAACACTTGACTGATGCAAGGTCAGTCAGAGGTCATGGTATTCTCCCACTGCAGTCCAGTGGGAATGCAAGTAAAGGCAGGGCATTTGCTGGGAAGGGCAAAGGTCGTGGTAAAAATAGAAACCAAACAGGAAGTGCTCAAGTTGAGGACAGTGATGACATTACAGAGTATGCTATGATGACTGCAGAAGATTTAGGAAGTGACTTCAGTGATTGTGACTTTACATAGCCATGATATTACTAATGGGTGTTTTGAACTTTTTGTCCCATCTGGTATATCTTTGTGATGGCCTATACTTTTCCATCCAACAAACTGGTACTATACACACAATGAGCTGTGTTATTTTTGCAAGCTGTGTTCCAACTTGATAACTAAGTGTGTAGCAATAAGGTGTGTAGGACACACAGGGCATAATTTCTCACTGCTGTGCCTGTAGCAGACTTAAAACTTAGCTCTGCCTTTCTCATGCTCTTCCTGTGGTAGACTACTTCCACAACCCCACCTTTCACATTTTTCCCATTTGTTTAAAAAAAAATAATATAATTGTTCCCTCTTAATCCTAATGAAATCTACTGTGTTTGTGATATTTATACATATCATTTGCATCATGCTTCTAATGCTTTAAAAGCCACATTAATTTATTATTATGAATTTTTTTTCTACAATCCTTTTTTGTTTATGGAAAATGTTTATTATTCTACAAATAAAACATTACATTTAATAATGTTGATATGCCTGTATCGGATATTATTTGATTGATAGTCTTATTTCATTTATTATTGGAACCATACATTTAAAAACTACAGAGATTTAACTTTATTTATTTTTAAAAGAAACCTTTCTTTTCCCTTTGAGGAAAATTTTCTTTAAAAATGTTCAATAAGAAGCAAAATTTAATTTTGAAAGTTTTTATTTATAGCAATATTTCCTTTCAATTTCTAATTTTCATCTGGAAATATCTCGAATTACTTGAACTTGAAGAAAATCTAGTTGTCAGTTACAACTCAAGCTCAAAGCTGCATTATTGACACTGACTTTAGTTAGGGGGTTATGCAAAAACTTTACTAAATTTTTGTAGTTTCCCCCCCCCCCTTCCCCCACCACCACTTTCACCACCTATCTCAAAAGGCATACCCCCCCCCCTTGCAAACGATATCAAGATTCTCCAACATTTACCTAGTTTTAAAGACGTTACGTCATGTTGCCTAACTATATCTGACCCCCCCCCCCACTGTAGCACGTGAATACACCTCCACCTTTCTAGATGCGTGACGTCATTTATGTACCTACCCCAGGGCTAAACATTTAAAGATAAAAACTACTCTAAATACAGGCGGTGGTTCAACATCCAGCGCTGCCCACTGGATGACCCTACTCCTACTCAATGTACAAACAAAAGATACACCTATAAATAATTGGTCGTCGTTTTACCTGTCCATTTTCCTTAGCCAACTTCATTTGATAACAATAAGTTTGTCTTTTAAGAAAGCAATAAATTATTTTCAAAGACGTCAAATTTTAATAGTATCAGTTGTAATAATTTTTAATTTATTAACAATAACGTAATGTTTTTGAAAGGAATTTTTTTTTATCAACAGTAAGTCACTACGTTTTTTTTTGTTTCGTTTCTCTACCACAATAAAAAAAAATGTTTCCAGTCGAGGCTCCCTTCTGCTCCCTGACATTTTCAGTCCGCGCGCGTCAGGAAATGATAAAAATTCGCAAGCCCGAGTCTGCACCTTCTACTGTTTCCAAGGTACACGTGTGTGCATGTAAAGCGTCATCGCGTGCCGTGTGTTTGATTTATTGATGTAACACACATCTCACGGCCCTTATCAAAATAATGGCGAAGCGTGCAAGATGCTCGTGGCTGCTAGGACGGACACTGCTTCAGGGGCGGTAATCCGAGCAGTTTTAAATGTTTATCTACCTTGCTATTTTTATATACATTTTTAATATAGTCGTAGGTTTAATTAAATGTAGGTGAGGTCTCTAGGTATAGTTAGTAAGACCAATGTTATTTATGTATAGGTACATAAATAAACATGTTATTTTGGCGGATGGGTGTGATCAAGATGCAATCAAATTAAGCCCACCTCTGGCGCTTGAATTGGATCAAACGGCCCCACCTGAGCATCAATCGTCACGCCCGCTACACCTTGCACCCAGCAAAAGTAGCTGGGCTAATTTATATAAAGGGCGGAGTGATAGCAGGATTTCTACTCAAGAGCTGCGTGTTCAAATCTTGTTTGATCCGATAAGCGGTGTCGGATCTATCTTAGGACTTGTGAACTCCGTATAGGGCCTACTTCAGCCAATAATGTATAGGCTATAACACAGTGTGTGGGTTATTACTTTGTTAGATAACTTAGATTACATTATATGTGAGAGGTATAATTAAATCGTAGGCCTATATAACAGTAGAATTCCGTTACTTTCTTATTTTTGTGTGTGTTAAAACACGATGCATTTTCTATATTTTTAAAATGATTGAATGAAAATGTTGACACATACCGCTCATAAATTTTTCCGCTCAGAACACAGGAAGATGTAACGAGCAGAAGTGGACTGTCTGGACTCTGAGTTTATTTCAGGCTTCTCTTCGCGCGGGGGGGGGGGGGGGCTGTCATCCCTACTCCCATCCTAAGTACGTCCACCCCTTGGACGAACAGAGTTTCTTCCAGGCATCTTTACCGCCCCCCCCCCCCCCCCGAACGAAATGAAATTTATATAATTTATATAGAAAATATATACTTTTAACAGTGTCCGGCCCCCCCCCCCCCCCGAAGAAAGTCTACCGCCCGAAAATTTCAAGTGCCCCCCCCCCCCCCGGAGAAAAAAAGTCTGGAAGAAACACTGCGGACGAAATAGGAAAATTATATAATTTATATAGAAAATATATTTTTTAATCAGTGTCCACACTCTCCATCGGAAATTTAACGTGGGTTATACCCCCCCCCCCCTCTTGAAAGTTTCAACGTCCCTTGGAAAAATATGCATGAAGGAAACGCTGGACACCGGGGTGGGGGAGGAGAGAATCTGACTGATGGGGCGCCAGGTTATTTCTAGCATTGTTCTCTTGGGGGGAGGGAGGGTTCTCGAAACTTCTGGGTGGGCGGACGCCGGTTAAAGTATATACTATCCTTTTTCTATTTCTTTGACTGGTGGTAGGAGTGGTTGTGCTCCCCAGGAGAGATGCCTGAAAGAAACAGAATACGCCTGTAATTTGTTGGTTAACAAACCCATACAGTCCTGGTTTTGTACTTTTCCATTTTACCATTTCCTTACCTTCATGTCAAGTCGAGGAAAATAATTATTATTAAAATGAATTTGCCTAAACCAAACTTATGCTTCAGAGTAAACCAAACTCACTGAATGAACTGATGACGTTTGATAAGGAAAGATTGTATGATGTAATAAGAAATATTGCAGTGGGGAAAAATCGCATTGAGGTTTCTTGATTGCATCACGGACAAGTTTGTAAAAGCTTTAGAGTTTATAATAAACGAATTGCCTAGTTCAGTAGCGTAGCCAGGATCGTCTCATGGGGGGGGGGGTTCAAATTTTTTCCAGCAGTATATAACCCGGGGACAAACTTTCGATTTGCACCCCCCCCCTCAAACTTTCGATTTGCACCCCCCCCCCATCAAACTTTTGATTTGCACCCCCCCCTCCTTAAACTTTCGATTTGCACCCCCCGTCAAACTTTATATATATATACCGAGGGGTCTATGGGGGGGTTATCCCCCCCCCCTGCCTACGCCACTGGCCTAGTTATGAAATTAGTAATATTAACAACACTATAAAAGATCTAAAAAACATCGGAAAAAATCTGGTTGAAACATACATTTTATGAAGAATTTTAGAAATATAACAATTACTATAAAGAATGGCATTTGCCTCGATCACCGATAGGGCTATAGAAAAGCAATTTAAAAATTAATGTCTTTTTACTTCTTTTGTTTATTACATGCATGCATTTTCTTCGATCATACATACAAGCATATTTTTATTTCATTAAAACTTTTCTTGACTGCATCGCCTACCCAAGTAGCTTGGCAGATATAAGTCTCTAAACTAAGGTTAGGTTAGGTTTGCCTGTCGCCCCTCCTGGGACATAGGCCGCTGACAAGAGCTTTTCATGCGTCTCTGTCCTGGGCTAGTCTCTTCAACTGTCATCAGGTGTATCCAATCTTCTTGGTGTTCTCCAGGTCACGGTTCCGGGTCTTTCTTGGTCTGCCTCTCCTCCTCCTGCCCTGTGGATTCCAGGTGAGGGCCTGTCCTGTTATGCTGGATACAGGCTTTCTGAGTGAAGTCTGTAAACTAATACGGACTATATTGCTTGCGATGCTCATTGCCTTCAATCAACCCAGCCTTAAGCTTTTGTGATTATGTCAATGGGAACATGTTCTGAATCAAGACACAATGACTTTTTTTCTCCAGGGAGTGGGGGTGGGTGACGACGAACACTGGTAAAAGTACACTCCCCTGGTATTATATTACGGCAAGCTAATAACTTTAATTATTGCATTGGCGTGGCTTTGTCTAATTAAAAAATCGAACTTGTGATTTATCGTTTTTTTTTTTTTTTAACATTTTTACTGTATATTGCTTTTGCAAAGTGTTCCGTGTCATCATAAGCCTGGACCTTACGCCTGAGTAGAAAAATACAATGGTGAGGGTTATTTTCACTAAAAAAATGTGATATCTATTATTTATTTTACCCCCCCCCCCCCAACAGTGTTTTTTCCAGACGTTTTTCTCCAGGGGAGGGGCACTTGCAATTTGTTAAAAGTATAAATTTTCTATATAAATTCCATTTTGTTCGGGGCGGGACCCCCCCCCCCCCAAGAGATGCCTGGAAGAAACTCTGTCCCCAAACCCCACAGGGTTTGACAGGGGTGTCACACTTTATGTTGTTATACCAAAAATACATCAACAAGTGCCCAACTCCATTGACTAAAGTAAAGGATAGCTGGAAGGGGTGCAATTTGTTGAGAGGAGCATAAGATCAATACAGTAGCTTAGCGAGGGGGGGGGGGACATATGTCCCCGGGCGCCGACCATAGGGGGCGCCAAAATGGGTTGGAAAAATAAATTGAAAGGTTGAGGGGGGTGCAAATCGAAAGTTAACAGTTTACATTACGTTGCATCATGTCTACTGTCATCCGCGTGGCACTTGAGTGGATATGTGTGGTCTGCAAACGACATACCAGTGAGTTTGATGCTAATTAACATGGCGATATTGCTGGCCCCTATTTGTGCTATTTATTTATGCTGCAATAAAACAATTTTACATCATTCACGTTTATAGTAAATACACTTTTTCCCCATACATGTACATTATACCTCAAAACGCCTAGATTTCCATAGACCTATAAAATATTCTTTCATTTTGTTAGGTCTAGTACAACTTTCTATTTGATTTAGATCTAGACTAATAAACGATTTAAATTATCATTTCAATCAATCTTTTAAGATCATTAGTTTTAATTTGAAAATAAAATAATTTTAATTAAAAGACAAATATACTGTAATTGTGTTGATATTAATTAGCGGTAATTTTATTAAAATAGTTATCCGGCTTATTTCTTTGTATAGGACTAGTTTTGGTGGACAATCTTCAGAAAAGCTAATGAGCACCCTCTGGATAAGGGGAGTTCATCCTTGCGTAAGGTTTTAATGGTCTTTCATTGGTTAATATTTTTAGCCAGTGATGGTGAATAATATGGCAGCCATGTAGGAGGCCGGGGTTCAACCAAGACCTAAAGCAAGAAGCATCGATATTTTCCTATCAATACACAAAATAAATGTTCGAAGTTACAGTTTCACAAGTGGTAAGTTGTTATTAGTGTAACATTTAACACTTACGTCCGTTTTAAAGGGGGAGATGTAAAAAGAGACTGTTGATTTCTTAGTTCTGGATTTTTTTACTAACCTCCCTGACTGAGGTTTGTCGACTCATTCATTTCTTACATTCTCATTCTGTTTTGGTGCCAGACTGACTCATCAAGACTAGAATAATTGCATAAAGAGTAAAGGCATACATCTGACACAATTTTATAAAATACACATTTCAGAATAACGAAGGCTTTATATTTTTTGTTATTGCTAGATCTAGATCTACATTTTTAGTTTGTCTTTTGAAAAGATTAAGAAAGATTAATTCTATAATCTAGATTACATGATTGTAGAATAGATTTAGTTAGATCTAGATCTAGATCTATTCTAGATCTCTAGATCTAAATCTAGATTCTAGAACTAGATTTCTAGATCTAGAAGTAGAAAACAGTGGATAAAGATATTTTCTAGATTTAGATTTCTAGAGTCTAGCAAACAGCAAAAAGCGCTAGAATTCTAGATCTATCTTACTACAGTAATATTTCTAGTGTTACCAAGAGTGCTTGTGATTTGCACGCAGTTAAACATTAAGCCTAAAATCACCAATAAGGGCTAGACCTAGATTTAAGAAAATTTTCAGCATAAGGGGTCATGCGATTTTTGGATAATTTACCTCCACATTGTCATAAAAAGTCAGATGCTCTCCTCAAACTCACTTAGCCAGCGTGTTGGACGTCACACTTTGTGACCCTACCATTCACATTGTCATTAAAGTTTGAACCTTTCCCCCCATTTAGATGTGTACTGTTTATGTCCAACCTTAAAGGTCCATACCTTTATTTTTTATTTTTCTGTAGGCCTATTCATTATCTTAACATCATCTTTACCATTATTCTTGTACAACTCAATTATTTTTTTAACTAAATTGATACAGCTAATCACTGATCCTAAAAAATAAAGATTCTTTTATAAAAATTAAATTTAAAAATGTAGCACATATTCTCAAATTGATAGACCTTACTACTGATTGAAAATACTAAATGTTCTCAAACATATTTTAGTATAGGTCAGATGTTGCAGTCTTTTTTATAAACTGATAAATTTCTTCATAAACTATAACTGCACATTCATCAAACAGTTATTATTAATACCAATAATGCTGTTCTGATTTTGTTCCATTTAAAATATTTCATAATTACACTTAAATCAGGATGTATACTTTAGAAATGTCTAAACTTTTTTTCTCTGCAGATTGACAATTTCTTTTTACTCTGAGGGCTGGATATTTACATCAATTTTTCCAAATGACGGACATGGCCCAAGGTCGCCCTATTAAATGTGTTGTTGTTGGTGATGGCACAGTGGGCAAAACATGTATGTTAATATCATACACAACAGACAGCTTCCCAGGGGAATATGTTCCCACTGTGTAAGTTAATTTTGTGTCTGTGACTGTCATATTCTAACATTTAATCTGTCAGTGCATCAAGTTTACTCTTGTGGAATAACTAGTTCACACATTATCTCTTGTGGTTGGGACATCTAATATTGTTTTTTCTTTTGAATCAAAATATTAGAAAAGATTTTTTGATATTCTGTATAGGTAGTTGTAACAATTTTGACATGACTTAACCTTTGATTACAGCTTTAGACAAGAAATTATATACATTTTTATCATTTAAAACCTGGTATAAATATTCACTTTATTAAAAAATAAATAGTTTTAAAATTTCTATACTACAGATACCTTTTTGATAGTGTTGATAAACATAATTTTAATTTTTTAAAAACAAATTTCTTTTAAAAATTAGCGTTTTTAATTGCAAAAAATATTAATAACAATAGAATGTATAGCATATTTACAATATTTGTTTAATATATACAAGAAGTAAATCCACTGAGATAGATAACTAATTTTGTTCTTAGAATTATAACTTTAACTTAGTCTAGAAAAATACATTTAGTCTTTTTGTTCTTTATATAGCTTTGACAACTATACAGCAAATATGATGGTGGATGGAGTGCCTGTAAGTTTAGGTTTATGGGACACAGCAGGACAAGAAGATTATGATAGGCTACGACCACTTAGTTACCCACAGGTAGTCAAAACTTTGAAGTTTTTAAAAATTAACATTTATTTTACTGTTTTGTTTTAAATGAATTTATTGTTGTTACTTTAATTTAACGAATAAATGTGGATTTTTATTTCCCCAGACCGATGTATTCCTCATATGTTTTAGTGTTGTGAGCCCCTCGTCATATGAGAATGTTTTGACAAAATGGAACCCTGAGATAAAGCACCATTGTCCAGAAGCTCCAGTTATAGTAGTAGGTAAGAGATCGTTTTCATTAATTTCTTGCAAACAACTTTTGTCTTAGCATTTTTGTAAAATTTTATTTGTTTACATGAGCTTCAATCAAACAGTTACATTTTTTTTTCAAGGAACCAAAATTGACCTCAGAGAAAATAAAGAAACTATAGGTAGCTTGACAGCACAAGGTTTAAACCCTGTTAAAAGGGAACAAGGCATCAAGTTGGCCAATAAGATACGGGGTGTTAAGTATATGGAGTGTTCCGCTCTAACTCAAAGGGGACTTAAACAGGTTTGGATAACATTTTACACTTAAGTAATTTTAAATTTATGTAACATCACGTCTTACATTAATGCACTTTGGATTTCAATTGGGTAATATTCTTATAGCACCGTTAATATTTTTTTGAAAAAATAAGCTTACTCTCCATTTAACAATAAACAGTTATCCCTTAAAGCAGCTTTGTTATGATACTTTTGTCCTGGTACATTTTTATAAAACTAAAAAAAAATAATTGGATTAAGTGTGGCATTAAAAATTAAAGATTGGAGCACTCATGTTTAAATTATTTAGATAAAACAAGCTTAGATACTTGATTTCAGTTTTTCCTTGTTACATTAAATATTTATTCTTGATGACTAAATCTAAAAAAAAAAACATAACTTATTAAAAAAAGATTCCTCTTTAGACCTAGTGATCCATTGGGCAGATGGAAGTAGAGTTCATATATGTTTCTTGACCCTCTGCATATAAAGGGATAACATGAGTTAGGTGCCCATCAGAGCTGGCTGGACTCAGGGATGTTCCGCTGACTTGAACCTGGATTTTAACTCTACCGCTAAGCCACACTGTCCCACTTACTCATTACTCATTTATTCTACCTACAATTTTTTTCTAACTTCAGTGAATAATATTCTGTTCTGTTTTCACCATAAAATCCTAGTCATCACGCACCACATTTTTCAATAGCTCAGAAAAGTGTTCTCAGCATTTACAGAAGTACCTCATTGAATCTAAATGCATAATGCTCAAAATTATTTAGGCAATATTAAAAAAAAATATAATGTCTTGTATGTGGTAGTTATCTAAAGTAATGTTAACATTTTTAGGTATTTGATGAAGCCGTACGGGCTGTTCTGCAACCTCAGCCAATTAGAAGAAAGCAACACAAGTGTGTCATGCTGTGATGAGGCGGCCATTCTTAACTGAATATGAATGTTGTGTGCATGTGTACAGGTTGAAGCTGATTGCTAGTGATAAATAACTGAATGTTTGTTTGAGTTTTGAATGCATCCCCTAGGTACTATATAATAATTAAATTGCATATTACTAGTTATAATAATTAATATAAATAAATATTAGACATACACTACAATTTTTTAATGTATTCCTCTCAGCCCAAAACGTTTCTATCCTCAGTGAGTTAAATTTTGAATGACTACGCTTGCATTTAATTAATTGTAAGAGTATTTACAAAATGTTTTACAGTAATTAACTAGTCATCTGAGATACTTGGTTTGTAACAAGAAGATATTGACTTTTTAAAGTAATTACATTTTGATGTCATTAAATCTTTTCATATACGGTTTATTTTGGGTTTCAGTACGTACAATTTTTCTTGCTAATCAATTACTGTGGGTAGTATTGTTCAAATTAAAGAAAACTAAAGTGAATTTAGAAATTAATTTGAGGTTCTTTGGTTTTAACATGTTTCACTACTAGTGCATTCATGTCAGTTTGCTTGTGTATTACTATGTGTATTTCAACCATGAAAATTGTTATTGGATGAGTTGTAACCTGTCATCATATCATCTTTTAATTTAGAACTTTAAGCTTTGGGGAGTTTTTTTCAAACTTAATTAAAACGAAATTTGTGTGGGCAGGCTATGGGTTCATTTGTAAATGATGTAATATGGATGGGCGCAACGTGGGGTGGGTAAAATATTTCCTTTTTACATATTTTTTTAATCACTTGAGATCTTAAAAAATATCTTTATTCAATAATGGTTATTAAATTAGGTAGTAGGATGTCTGGAGCTTACATTTTAATGGAATCCGACCTTGGGCAAAAATTGGATAAAATAAAGGTACACTTAGAAATTAGGCTTGTCTGTGGTTGTAAGATAGTTGCAAGTAAGACATACCACCATTTTCTCCTGTGTCATTAACTAGTGGTTTGAATGATGACCTGTATCACCTAGACTACCCATTTATCCCCCTCATTAAATGCTGTGTGCTTTACATTTGCCATTCTGTTACTTGCATTTCGTGATGCTATTTATTTGCCTTCCTGCATATCTGACAGATGCTTAACAACATCATGTATGGTTTATATCCATTATTATTTCTGCAAGTCTTAAGAAAGCACTATCAGTTTACAATCTTAACTTCTTTACAGTATTTAAAAATCGTTTCATTATTTATCAATCAATTTATTTGATGTTGTATACTTTAATGTAACAAACTATTTTTCAATAATTTGGTAGTTCTTTATTGGCAGGAAAAGATTAGTGTACTCTTAATTATTCATTTTAAACATAGTTTAGTAATCCATGGTTTATAAATTTGGAAGATGATCTGTGTAAGTTTTAGTTTACACAATAAGGCCTTGTAAATTTAATGCTATGTATTATAGATTCCTATTTTAATGCTCAATATTTTTTTCTCTTTGTGAAGTTTTCTTTGTTCCTGTAATTATGTACAAATGGGTTCTTAAAATTTATCTTTAAACTTCCACTACCATAAAAAAGTTGTCTTTTAAAACTGCATTTAAACATCTCTATTCACTATTTAGCTAATGTTTTTGAGATTTAAAAAAAATCAGGAAGTGTGTTTGAACTGTAAACATCTCATTTCAATGCAATTTTTTGTAAAATATTTTTTTTTAGTTTTACAATACTCTTTAAGTGTTTGAGTTGAGTTTGGATTCATTTTTACAACTCAATGCATTTGATAATGCTGACATAATATTGCAAATTAATTTTTAAAACTTTACTTTCCCTTTGTAACATATTGCTAACACCCACCCCTTAATGATGCAGTGGCGTTTGAGAAATCATTTTTATCTCTCTGCATGACACTGCATGAGTGCAATATTCCTAGTGCAATTTCTTTTCTCTTCTTTCAACATAATTGGGAAGAGATGAAAGAAATTTATTACCATTCACCATTTTATTGTAGGGTTTATACAACACAGCGTTGGTCAGTATTTTATTTGCTTGCTGTTTCTGAGAGGGATGAAGTGCCATTTTCTTTTGAAATTTTGGCAGAGTAAATTATTTTCCTTTTACAGACAAATTTTCTTAAGTTGCTCTTGTCCTATACAAGTTTAACATTTGTGAAACTATAGTCAATAGACCAAGGTTATCTGTCATCACACTTTTTGACTCTAGATTCTGGCACTTGGAGTTAAAATATAATGGTTAACAATAACATGTCATTTTATTCGTGAAATTTATTATATCTGTCTCAGTGTTTGTTTTCCTAAGCTAATATGGTGCTTTTAACTAAACGTTAAGTATAAACTATAATCGCAGTTGGAATAAAATTGGTTATGTAGAAAATGAATGTTCAGATACACTCATTACATTCAACAACAAACCATAATTATTTTATGTATTAGATATTTTGGTTGTGAATAGAAACATTACTTTTTGTCAGAAAAAGTAAAAAAATTATTTACTTCTGGTCTTTGTGAATCTCTTCAGTTTTATATCTGGTTGGGATCAATGAATCTCCTTATGTTTACTTCATTAGCATGTTGTCTCATACAATACTACAGGGCTGGTCTTTAAGATTACTAACCATAATGCAATCTTCTCTGTTGTGGAACACAATTTTTTAAAGGGCTCTTACAATTATTTTCAACAAAGGTCATTACACCAAGCTTATGACCTGATTGATTTTTATTTCATTTGGCCAGTTCAGTTTACTGTTTAAATGTTTTATTTTACAGCTTGCCTTAATTTTAATAGTCTGATTTAGATCACTGTTTTATATCCATTTTCCTAGTCCCAAAAGCAATCTCTGTTTAGGGAATGCTTACTGTTTTAGAGTGTGTATTGTTTTAGTTAAACATTTTTCAGTTACATTACTGAGTTGTTTGTTGCAAAACAAAAACAAACCATGGGTGCTCTAACCATAATGATTTTAATCAGCAAAATGTAAAAAAAAAAAATAAGAATTTCTATTTTGTTACCGTTAAGCACACAATTGTTCTAGTTATTATTATGGTAGATTAGTTATTAATTCTTTTTATCGAAAGACCACTTTTAAATTATGAGTTATGTTTAAAGTCAGTAGCACAGATGTTAACTTTTAAGTTAACTTTGAGAAGTCTTTTAAAATCATTACTTGCATGTTTTTATTAAGTGACTATACCTTGTTTTAAATGTTAGAACTCAGGTTTTTTTAACATGCTAGTCTTTAGAAATCCATCTCCTATGTCGCATGTATTCACATTTCTCTAGTGAATATTGTTTGTTGATTATTGCAGCAATATTTGCTTCAATCTGCTTTCTTCAGTTTTTGCCTACAGACTAAGGTTGTGACACTTTGAGGAATTTGACTTAGCTAATAAAGATTTTTTTACAAATATTTTTTGTTAACTGTGCTTATCATTTTAACATTTTTAGTAAAATAATTATTTTAAAATCTTTGATAAATAGTTAGCTATTCCAGTTGTTATACTTGAAAATTACTTACACTCAAAAGTATTACAATCAAAAGGATAGCCTTTGTTAAAAAGATAATTTTACATCCTCTTACTGCATTTTATGTACTGAGCTTTTGTCATTCAGAAATAAATGTGCAATTTTCCCATTGTTTTGATGGGTAGTTTTGAAGCAAAAATTGTAAATAAATCAATTTTTAAATAGATTTGCTGGTCTTATAAGTTTGTATCAGTTACCACCTAGCAAAATATATTTAAGTATTTAGAAATAAAATAATTCTTCTTGAATAGTATTTGTTTTTAATGCTGTTAATTACATTCAGAGTCAATAAACTAAATTTTTAGGACTTAATTTGATCCATTCTGTTTATTTCTGTTCAATTTCATCTGCCATTTTGTAGTTGTTAATCTGCACAAACAGGATCTTAGAGCTTGTTAGTTTTTTAAACTGATTATACCAAGGATCTTTTAACAAATAAATGATAATCACCCATCATCTTTTAGTTCTAGAAATCTTTGTCATCTTTTTTTTCTCTTCAAGAACTAGTTTGGTATCAGTTGATATTATGTGTATTGAAAATACACCTTTGGTAGTTCACATTATTGCTTTTAAGATTTTATTTTGAAACTTCTTTTAAGTATGGAGAAATTATACATACTTTTTTTTTTCTATGGAGATAAATCATAAAATTAACAGCTTGTTCTTTTCTTTTAAGGTCATATTTATATGTATGTATTCTTGTTTTAAATTCATGACTGTAAGTTGTTTCTGCATTACATATGGTGGTGCACAGCAGATTGATTTATTACCGTTGTTTGTAAGTGCATTGTGAAATTGTGCATAACCATTCTGTTTGTTTATGTGTACACAGCGATTTGATGTATGTCATCATTATTTAATGTATCGAATTAGTCCTGTACCTATCATTCTATCAACAATAAACTTTGACATTTAAGTTTTATTTTGTTCATTTTTGTTCAGTAATCTGAATACATAAAAAAAAATAAAGCAGCAAATGTCACTAAAATTATAAAAAAAAAAAACAAAACCCGGATGAATTGCTTTTAGTTTTTAGATTTATTGGTAAATTTATCTTGTAAAAAGTTGAATATGAAACAAGTTCTCCATGAGCATATAATATTTAAAAATAAACCTTATGTTGGTATGTGAAAGTTCATCACATAAATATATACAAAAAAATTATTTATACATAACATTCTATTCATGGATGGGTTCTGTACTGTAAAATCAGAAATTTTGTTACATAAATACATACAAAAAAATTATTTACATAACATTCTATTTATGGATGGGTTCTGTACTGTAAAATCAGAAACATGTATCACATTATGCTTAAAATGACAATTTCAATAGCACCGAATATGAAAAAGTTACAAATTAAAACTTGAGCATTTTGAAATGTAACATAAGAAAAATAGCCAACAATTCAATATGTGCACCTAAGGGTTCTAAAAAGTGTAAATACTGCTTTTTCAAACATGTTGATCACACTTACAAAAATCTATACAAGCGATGTGCATAGAAGATTTAAAAAATAATAACAGAGGAATGGACAATATCAATTCCGCTAAACACTTAGATCACACTAAAGAAAGTGTAACAAACTATTAAAAAACATTTACAGTAAACAATTTTTAAAATAATACTTTTAATGCTGCCAGGTATTAAGTATTTTAAATATACACATTTATATACAGAAACAACAGTTGGATTTCATAAAATGATGAAAAACTTGCTCATATTGCAATGTTTATAAAATGAAGCAAATAACAATTGAGTAATTATTTGATAATAAGTAGCTTAAGGTGGAGGAATGCATAAGAGTATTGAATAACCAGCAGGTAGAACATTCAAGAGAAGGCATATTAAAAAAAAAAAAAATATATATCAAAAAAGCTGATACCGCAGTAAAGAATCCTGTAAAATCTTAACAAAAAATTTCCCTCTGCCCCATAATGTGATAATTTTATTCCTCAGTTGTAAACACCAAATCTATAATCCCTGGGCTATGAGCTTTGGCCTCTGCTACTGTATAACCATAATCTAAAAGAGAGTAGTTGTCATGATACATCGCAATATCTTTGTTAAATAATATCATATTATCTGGGGGAACTTTTAAAATGCCTTCCAGTATACGCTTTACTTCAGCAATCGATGTATTTTCAGGAACATCAGTAAAGATTGTAGTTTTCTTGTGACAAATCATCAAGAACACATTATCTTCCTCTTCCTGTGTTGTAGATTCTGCAATGAAAGAAATTCAGAATAGCATTGTTACAAAACTGAAAAAAAATCGATTTTTTAGTATAAACATAGCATTTTGATGGTCTGTAAATCTTGTTTCAGATCCACACAACTCTTTTAAGATGGGGAAGATAAAAACAAAATTGGGCACAAACTATCTTAATATTAGTAATTAGAATAACAGCATAAAAATTTAAAGAGCTATGTAATCAATGCAGCTTTTATGCTGGAACTTAATTTGTTTTCTAATGAAAACATGTGATCAACACAGCAGAATATAAAGACCCCTATACACCCCACTCAAGAAAAACTATATGGGGCACCCGTGAGTCTGGAGACCACGAAGTTGGACTTGTTTAAATCCTCCACCATTAACTAAATTGAAAACGCAGAAGATGAGTAAACATAATTCTGATTTAACTAGCCCTTATAACAAACACTAAAGTTTAAAAAAAAATACATTTACTTTAAAAAAATAATACTGCATACTTTTAAAATCTTTGAAACAGGTTCAAAGGACACAAGGTTAGGTTAAAAAAAACATAACATAATGGGTAGTTAGAAGAATGGACAAAACATACTCATCACTCTGTCATCTAGCCTTCAGCCTTACATTGTTTGATTTTAGACCCAGTCTCCCCTTCCAAAGCACATACCTGTGTTCTGGAGAGAGTCACTCACTTGACTGGGCAATGATTCTTTACTGACTTCTGCATTTTCTGGGCAAAACAGTACAACAAATTAATATCTAACTTTTTTTTTATATTATCTACTAACAAAACCCAATTTATCCTGTATTCAAAACATTGTTAAATAAATAAATAAAAAAAGAATACTTTATCTTTACTACTACAAAAGCTTCATCCTTTTAAAATGGTATTTGCAGCTGAAATCTACTGAGCAGATTCTGTGCCTTTGTGTTTTATTTGTATTCAAGTCATCCTTCAATGATGATAAAAAGGTTGATTGAAAAATGCCTCTTGAGCTGTCTTACATTATTCAGTGAACTGTTTCTTAATCCATGTAAGACATTATAAAAAAAACCACTTGTAGAATTTATTTCTTGAGTTACCATGTAACAATTCTGTTTTCATTGATCAACAGCATCTGTTGTCCTTCATGACAAGTGATCTTCAAGTCTTACCATAGTTCATTTCCCAAGTCATTTCTTTAATATTGTTTGTTAATGTTTATCTCAATATTTCCATTAGATTTTTTAGTTGCTTGTCAAAATGTTTCAATTATGGCCACATCTTGATTTACTAGGAGGTAAAACCGCTTGTCAGTCTGATCTTTGTAAAACATGTAATACAATGGTAAGGTAATGAATTAAGTAAGCGAGTTTTTGAGATTAAATAGGTTCTTCCTCGTTATGACTTCTATGTTACAGGACTCCCATCAAAGCCAGCCTGCACATTTCCAGATGGATTTCTTAGATTATAAACATTTCAATTTTGTTCATTCTTACAATCAACGTGTCCGAAGACTGAAAATATCAGATTTCACTTGTGCAGGAGCTGATTAAAAACTATGAGCCACCTTTACAAGAAAACATTTGAGGTTAATGACCAGCACACTTAACAGTTTATAACTTGAATAACCTACCTCTTTAGTGGGCATCAGTAAAAAACAATGTACCTTAGTTGTATGAACTATCTCCTTCTCTGACATGTTGCTACACAGTAAAAGACATTCCTCCTATTTGGTCTTGCAGTTAATAACAGACACTAAACATGTTTGCAGGTTACATTTTTATATTCCTCAGCAGCCCTTGAAGTCTAATACTAATTTTTTAGAAAGAAGTTTTTAATTACATCAAATAACTCACAATCAAACACACAGATTTTCCTGATGCTATCTTGAAATATTTCTTCCCTGCAATCAGGATTACATTCCCACAATGCAGTAAATTACATTACTGTTGGCAGTACTAGTAGTATTAATCAGCATTCAGTTAATCCAAATTACAGTCCCTCAAAGCATATTTGAGGTTCAGGTTTGGTGTGCAAACTATTGAATGCATGCCATCTCAACAATGAGAAATTTGTAATACACTATGCTTGTCTATGGACAGTTAATCCAGCAATAGTAAGATCTCTAACAATTTGTATATATTTTTTAAATAAATAAATTTGAATAACATTATCTGATAAATGATTATAATTTTCTTACCAGGATGAAACATATCCAAACTGTGATGATGTACTCAAATATTGCAATACAATATTTTTAACTTCCTTTAACAAATTTACCAAAAGGTAAGTTTTTTTTTTACAGTCAAAGCTGCTATCAGTTGAGATATGCCATTTCAAAATATTCAACTATTAATCCAAAAGCTGGCTTCAATCAGTCCTTATACTCCAGTGAACTTCCCCTTGTAGTTCTCAAACAGGTTAGACAGTAACCAGCTAAACGGTCCATCAGTTAACATTTACAATTCTTAATTCAGAATACCGGTTTACTAAAAATTTGTTTTCATTTTAAAAATCTAAATTATGAGAAAGCCTGCAGTTAACTCTTCGGCTGTACAGACCCCATGTTACACATAGGGTCATGGTTTAGTGTATACCACACATTTCTTTATCATGTGCACAATACACAAAATGTTCACCTTTCCAGAGCCTTAGCTCATAGTTTTGCCGACTAGTTTGTGCATGTTTTTGTCTTTTTGTGTCCATGAATAATCTTGTGGAGAGATCCAATTGTTTGGTATAATACTGCTGAGTTTTTCTGCAGTCTCAATAAAAAAGAATCCTTTTGTAGGGAGGTCAATGTCAAAATCCATATGGTCTGGATTGTTTTCAGCACAAATCCTTTCCATGAAATGCATTAAAACAACAAAACAATACCCAAGCAAGGAAGCAATGCAGCAGAAATTTTCCAGGCAATAAAAAACTATCAGCTTCTCCAGTAAAAAAAAACCACAACATTTACAGGTTCCATAATTTATTGACAACCTTGTTTAATGTAAAACATTCAACTTAACATTTACATAACTAAAGAAACAGTAATTACAAAGAGCTAGCGAGAAAAAGTTGTTCTCTCAAAAGAGACACAGTCAAGAAACTTTTAACATCATGATTAAAAAAGTTTTAAAATTTTAGTGACAGTAAAATATTCTACCAATTACGATTCAAATAAAATGTCTTTAAAAATGAAAGTCACAAAACTGCACACCAACTACATTGTAATAAAAAGCAGGCTGATACCTGTCTTTTTTTTCCAAGTTACTGAACATTTAAACATTTTCTCTAACAGCCACCAGCAGTTGGGCCATCAAAGTATTACATTCACAAACACACTGCAGTAAAATTTCACAAAGATTTGCTGCCTCCATATAGTGTATTTTATCATGTGTCCATCATGTGTCATTCACAAATAAAAACTATTCCCTTGTTAGCCCAAAGACTTTGTGGCAACGGATTCTTTCTATCAATAAAACTCAGTCCTTGAGTCTTTCCAAATCTCGTAAGTACATTTAACAAAAAGTAATTGTTTCTCTTTCAGGTCTTGTTTTAGCAAATACAGATCTCAAACTACATTATTTTCATCCATTATCGCCTGCTAGTTGTATAGCTGTCAACCCCTTCCATTCTGGGTCGTTTTCCAAGTGGACCATCTCGGCTAGAAGGGGATCGTCTTCCCCCACGCCCCCCTGGGAAATCTGGTCTACCCCTTCCTCTTGGGGGACCTCCTCTTCCTCTGGAACCTGTTTAAGTTTTAGTTTTGAGATAAACAATTGTATTACTGATAATTGTATTACTGAGGCACAGAGCAAATATGTTAGCACTAACTCTTAAACTAGAGTTCCGTTAGCCACATTTTGAAACAAGCCAATTTATATGGCACTTCAGTGACTAAAGTATATGTACACGTATATTTAAAAATGTTTTAACTCCAGAAAACATGTTTTTCAGATGTTTACCCACTTCAAATGTTGAAAAAGCTCCAAGTAACTGTGCTGATGTATCATCCAATTTAATAATTGTACATTAATTCAATAACCAAAATGTGTTCTAAGAACACCAAACATTTTTATTTAACCTGTCGCAGTGATTTTTATGCCAGTTATTCCAACTTGAAGCACATCAGCCATCATAATAAGAAATTTTTGCTTTACTGTACCAAAACCTTCTTTGACTTGTCTAATGACACTTTCCATTCAATCCTGTTTACTTAGGTTATTAAAATTTGCAATAACCCAAAGTAACATAATTAAACCAACACCCACATGACCATTTTAACAACGTTGTGACTCACAAAATGTGGTATCTAACAATGAGCGCAAAAAGGTAGTCTATGTAGGTGTTTCCAGGTAGAAGTTAAAGCACAGCTGTTTCAGTTATATTATACAGAGGGGCGGTCATGTAATAATCCATAGCTTTTACCAAACCAATCCTGTCAAAATGTCACCTTTTGACTTGAACACCATATGTGTTGACTTTTAAAAAGAGTTATGTGTAGCTATGTTGTGGTTCGGATGATCCTGATATAATAACTTGTGAGTTATTAATAACTTAAGAGTTGAAAGAAATGTATTATTAACATCTGTGATTATGTGTTAATGGTGGTCAGATCAAAGCTAAACCATTGTCTAGCTAACATTTAGCCCATATGTGGTAAATAGCTTAAGTGTGGCTACAATACTTCAATTTGGTTTTCATATTCTTCAGCAATAATTGATTTTCGGGTTCTCAGATCATAAATTTAACAGCAAAATATATAGGATAGATCACAATTATATTAAACTGTAGCTAAAATCACTGTAGTTGCTATTGTTTAAATATGCATGATAATTATGTTTGAATTAAAATTTGATGATAAAATAAAAATACCACATCAGATTTTTAATAGACTTTTTCGGAAAAGATCTAAATAAATATAATAGTTCAGGATCAGTTAACAAACTTACCATTCATGTAACCACCACGACCACCTCGACCTCCCCTGTCATCTCTGCCTCCATGCATACCTCTTGACCCACCTCGACCTAATCAATTGCATTTCAAAGCATAAACAATGAAGAACTGAAAACTTGGTTTACCGTTTTAACTACAAAATTTAAAAAAATAGACAAAAGTAGAAACACTGTAGCAGTTACTGAGGTGAAAATATTTTGTTAATAAACTGCAAAAATGTAAGTACTAAAATAGTGAGTTGGTTATAAGAGAAAAAAACTTTTACTCAAAATATAATTTATAGAATGTAAAACTTCATCTGTAAATCAGGCACCCCCCCCCCCCCGTCTTTTAAAATTCTGATTTAAATCTTTAGACTAAAATAGAAATCATTGCTGAGCACCAAATTTATGGTAAGAGAGAAGAACAAACAACCTAATGGTTTAAGTTATAAATAACCACCTAATTCATACATTTTAAATATTTTATTTATCAGAAATAATGAAACTTTTGGAAAACATGTTTGGTACAATACAAACTTATTTCATATTCTTGGACTATTGTAATACATAGGGACATTTGGTTCAAAATTGAACTTATGTTTCTTAAATCTTACACGGTAGCCATGAGAAGGTGAGATGTCAATTTGAATCAATTTAAACAGCCTAAATTAAAGTATTAAACGACTTTACAGTTTAATTATAAAACAGTACCTCTGTATTCCCGAGGTGGTCCTCTGCTTGACATTCTGTCATCTAGTCTAGAAGATAAGCTCCTTGAACTGTATTCCCTGCAGAATTATTGTCACATAATTACAACTATCTTTAAGATTGTAAAAGTTAATTTTTAACCATTTCCCCAAAAGCTGTTTTATCAATTAAATATATTGGTAAAGAAATCAGATTAAGCATAAATAAAATCTAATAACCAGAATCAATAGTAAAATGATAAGCAAGAAATCAATACATTTGTCATGCAACACTACTTAATACAATAAGGTCTTCTCATCCTGTATTTTCAAATACAACTTATTGATGCAAACATAAGAAACAAATTAAAAGGCAAAAGAGAATTACTTACATGAAGAGTTTAAGAAAGGATATTTTAATTAAAAAAAAAAAAAGAATAGATAATTATTGTACATTATCAAGATTGTAAAGTTAACAAGCAGTTTGCTAAAGCTAAAGAACTAAATTTTCCTTAGTTTTGAAACATGTTTTCCCAGTTGATCTAGCCTTATTACCTGTCCCCACCATGACTGTGTTCTCGGCCACCTAGAGGAGCACCACTTCGAATATCAATTGGGACACCTCTCCTACCACTTGGTCCCCCACTGTGACCTTCTGAGTGAACCCTACCCCTTGGTGAAAACTCTCGATCTGTATCAAAGTTTCGGGAAGGTAACCTGAGGAAAGAAATCTCCCACTGATTCCAAATTTCTAAAACTTCCCTCACTAACCCATGGAGTTTCAAATAAAAAATACTTAAGATTAGCTGTGGCAGAAGATAGTGTAAAACAAGGAGTTCCTACTATCTAAGAAAAAGATTAAACAAGAACATATTTATCTAGACAAAGAACAAATATATGCATAGATTCACTAGTAATATATTTGTATTATACAGAATAACAATTTAGCAATAAATTCTACCTGTTTCATGCTTTAGAACAAAAAAATAGATGTGTTTTCTGGCTTTCTCAAGTTAAATTTAAAATGTATTTAAAAATCTACAGAAAAGATGTTGAAAAGCCTATAATAATAAATTTATTAAAAAAATAATTATCAAAAAGGTTGCAGACATTTCAGAACAGGTTTTACTCATGTTAAACTAATTCAAAATACTGAAACTTTAAAGCTGGCTACACAATTCTGAAAGACTTATTGACAATACATGTTTATCAAGTAATACTTCATACAACCATGAAAAAGTATTTATCTGCATTTTGATAATCAACTATTTTTATGTGGCTATTTACAGTAGTTCCAAAAGTTTAACAAAAAGCAAAACATAGCATACAACTTTTCTATGGAAAGCATGCACACACACAGAGAGAAGAAACACATCACAGCAACTAAATATTAGATAGAATATCTACATCTTTACATGCTACATGAGCAATTTAGTGACTACAAGGATATTTTAGGGTTTTACACAACAATCTACAAAAGTAGGTTTATATGCTAAATACCTGTCTCTTGGAAGAAAGTCTCTGCTAAGAGGCTCTCTGAAATCAGCTGATCTTGGTGGAGGGTAGTCTCGTGGAGAACCGAAATCCCTCGGGGAATCACGCAAATCTCTACCTCTATCTCCGGCATAATCAATACGAGGTGCAGAGTAATCTCTGACAGCAGGACGACTGAAGGAATCCCGTCTGTCTTCTCTCAGACTTGTCGTGTAAGATTCCCTGTAAGCACTGATAGAAAAAAATGAAAAGTAAATAAGTAGCAATGTAATTTTCATAGAGAAATGAAAATGTTTCCTGTATTTTGGAATGGAGAAATTTCTATAGAAAAAGAAAATCAAATTTGGTGCTTTTAGTTTTAAATGACAGAATACTGCAAAAAAATATCAAAATAATAAACATGTTATAGCAATCATATTTTAAACTTAAGTTATAAGAAGACTGTTTAAACAATACAATTTTTAAATAAAAACATCTGAATACCCTGAATCTCGAGGGGGACTGTAGCTTCTGGGTGGTAAGTAATCTCCCCTTGAACTTGTAATAAAATCCCTGTCTCTTAAACTGCTTCTGGGTGGGGAAAGCCTAAAATGAAATTAAAAAAAAAAAATATAAACATTTGTGAGTAAAATAAACAAAAGACAAACTGATATCACAGTGAGTGAATAATAATGATTTAGACCTTGACTGAACATTTACCTGTCTAGTATTCTGCTGGAATCACGAGGAGGAGAAGAAAAGGAATCTCTAGACCTTGAAGGTGCCCCTCTGTCATAACTGTCTTCATATCTGTCACGGCGTCCTTAGACACAAACAGTTGATGTTTTAATAAAATTTTGCATTTAGACACAAATATTTGTAAATACATTGCTGGGAATGAGAATATTTTAAACACTTACCCATTGGAGGCCCCCTTCCTCTATCTGAATCATAACCACGTGACATCATTGGAATTTTACGAGGTGGTGAATCATCATCTCTGCTGAAATGTCTGTTGAGTCAAAACAAATTATTTAGTTTTAAAATAGCTAAACATTTGTGGTATAAGATATAAACAAAAATCAATTATTTATTCTGTTTAAACAATTACCTTGGTCCACCCCTTCCTCTTGAGAAACCATCTCCCCTTCCTCTGTATCCACCTCTTCCACCATCTCGTTCAGAAGAATAGCTTCCTCTGCCACCACCTCGAGGGCCACCTCTTGGTGGACCCCCACGGCCTCTTGAGCCTCTACCTCTACTACTGCGCCCTCTAAATTCAGACATTTATAATTTCCAAGGAGAACACTTGCTCAAACTTTGTTTGTTTTTCTAAGTTCTGCAAATAAAACGTGAAATTTGATTAACTTTTTGTTTAACAGTAGAAATGCCTACCTCTGGCAAGCAAAAGTAGGAACATACATAAAAATAATTTGAAGCAAAAAAGAGGAAAAATAGGCAAATGCTCCTTTGCAAATTATTTTTTTTTTACATTAATAAAAAAAAACCCACTGATCTAATAACAAGCTTTTGTATGACTATGCACTAAAATAAAAAAGAATAAATTATTTTCTTTAAATATATTGTGAACCACCATTTAAATAACTAAATGGGTCACTCATTAAATTAGTAGAGGTATTCAATACAAAATATAGTGACCCATGCTTTTCCTTTTAGTTATTTAAATAGTGGTTTAATTATATATTTTAAGAAATATTTTTTTCTTTTTAGAGTATAGTTTGTTATTAGAATGTTTTGTATTAATTTTTACAATATTTCAATACGACTGAATAGCATGGCTAAAAACAAATGTGTGTCAAAGTGACGCAAACAATGTTCATATGATAGCATGGTAAATTAGTACACTATAAAGGAAACTAATTCTTAAAAAATATTATAATCTAATAAAATGAAATTTTTTATCACATAGCATTGTCATTGGATCTTGAAACACGTGCCAAGTTAGCAATATGTCTGGCAAACGTGGTCGAAATTTTGTTTACTAGTTTTCAACCAATAAGTAAACAAGTTACAAGTTTGTAAAAAGAAGAAAAACTATACATTTAGTAGATATGAATAGGCCCTTATGTATAGTTTTAGTATAAAATTAGACCTATATAATTTTTTAAGCTTATATCTAGCCTACATAAATCTATAAACTGTTTAGTTAAAGTTAAAAAAGCAGCCCCCCCCCCCCATCAACTTTACATTTTAGTTTTACGCCAGACAGTCATAACTTCAGATAATTTTATTCAATAGTTGATACTACAACAATTCTGAAGTATTTTTCATTTTTTTGGTTAGCTTTCCAAGCTCACATGTTCCTGACTTGCTATAGGCCTATAGATTTAGATCTACTAACCAGACTTGCACTAATTAAAAATTTTGCAGCACGTTGATAATGGAAACCAATGAGTTCTTACACTGTTCATTAACCATCAGATACTCAATAAATACTGCAGAAAAAAAATCCGACTATAATCAAGGAGAATTTAAAAATTACCATAGCTCAACAGCCCTTTTAAAAAAAAATTCTTTGAAAAAAAAAATGGCTATGTCCAATTTTAAAAGTGGTCATTTTAGGGCCCATTTTAAAAAACGTAAAAAAATGCAAACTACACAGTGAAAAAATGAAATTTTCTGCCCAAAAACGTGCCGTGTGATGTCATTGTGACGTCAGCCCTCAACTCAAATGCAGAGAAAGCGCGTGTTTGATTGGTTGGCGGCGGATACTATAAAATCTCAAGGGTTTTCTCTAAATTTTTACCCTACTAACAACCTAACACACCTATTTTTGGAAGAGTTTATTATCGTTATCTAAAATCATCCAACTAACTTGTTAACTAGGTAACTTACTGTACGCAGCAGCATATTGTGAAAAAGTAAAGCTGATCAAATCACATGACATTATTTATTTGATTTTGCAGTTCATGACATCTGTGCTTGTGAAAGTCTATTTAGTAGGCCTGGTGAGTTTAGCATAAGGACCTACCCAGATGAAATAATGTAGGCCTATACGAGCTGACCTGCAGCGTATCATAAGCTGCTATTTAGTTGTTTTATTTTCCACTTTTCAGTACTTCAGTTAGTGAATTTGACTCTACCCTCCCTTCCATTCACCCCCCCCCCCCCCCCCCACCACAGAGAAAGCAGCTGTCTGTAGCTAGGCCAATGCAAAAATTTAATTTCAGTAAAACAATATAATAGTTACATATTTGGATAGGGGCTGTCAATCTGATTACAGATCAGTTTGAATTTTCAAAATCTGACCATAAACAAAAAAGTTATGATTTTTTTAGTCATTAAAAAACAGCAGTTTTTTCAGACAACCGGGGTAGACCCTGAAAGAGGAAAAATACTGGGAGGGTATGGACCAAATTTTTAAGCGTTTTTCACTAAAAGTGGTATAAAAGCCAGAATACTTTATCAATTGATGTAATTTTAAGACATTTTATAGATTTTTGTATGCTGAATCCAATGATGCTATTTTAAAAAGTGTCATTCGATTACTCAACCTACTAATCTCATAGATTATGTAATATCCCCCTTTCAATTTTTTTAAAACATCTAATAATCAATGTGATAAGAAGTCATTCTTTTAAATGTAACGCTGTTTTAATCTAAAATATGACATTTGTATAAGCTCAAGATAATGGTAGATTTAAAATGGTCCAACATTGTTACATAACTATCAAATGTTAAGGTTATGTAATCCCACCCTTTGCTCAAAATATACCATGAATTTGTTTTAAAATCACTTTTGCTTATTGTCAGTAAACTTCAAGTTAATAGCCTACTAGAAGAAAATATTTAACTAATCAAGTTTTTCAATACAAAGACAAGAATGCTATAGTAAATTTGTGATTATGTAACTTCTTAAAAGATATTATGTAATCTATGTGCAATACCATAGGCCTACTCTATTCCAAAAATATAAGCCTATCTCATTATAATTATATTTCTTGTTATTTTAAATATCTTAATCCTTTTTGCTAAAGAATTAGCCTTGTTACAAATGTGTCTGATCAGAATCAGAGTGTGCTTTATGGTAATTACGTAATATTATTACCCATATTAAAGTTAATCATTTTTACAATGTCAATAAAATAAACTTGGGAGGAAAATATTTTGTTTAAAAACTTGCACAAGGTATAGTGTAAGTTATAGATATATAACATAAATTTATATTTATGCTCAATGATTAGGCTAGTAGTAAGTAGGTTTATGTATTTTGTAAGCCTACCAGTAGGCCTTTTACAATTAACAACTTTCTTAAGAAAAAAGCACGTGTTTGAGTGCTTGACTGTGTAGATCTAGTAGATTCTAGAAATTGTGTAAGATTGCCGTGTTTGGCTATACACAGACACGTGTACCACCACCAGCTTTTGCCTAGATTTAGTTCAATCAGACATGTGGGTAACCAGGTCTTCTGACCAACGAATTTTATTGCCCTATTACGTAAACACGACCGCTGGATAGGCTAGTCGGCCAACCCGATGAACGTGTCAGACGAATATTATGTAATTTTAGAGACAAAAGTCTGGCAAGATTTCCTGATCTATGCCCGAGGGTTTGTAACATCAACTCCACAAAGTGAAGGGGGAGGGTGGTGGGGTATGAAACCACAGCGAGCCGCTCGGGTACCGTACGGGTGTTATACAACATCAAAAGCGATGCTCGTCGGCTTGTCGCGTCACGGACTAGTGGGGGCGGGGTGAGGCTATGGGTGTTACATATGGTGTGGGATGGTCAGTGGCTACCCCCATCCACCCCACCCCATTTTGGTCGATTTGGCAAGCTAGTAACCCCCACGTTGTTAGTGGTATTAAAATTTGTAGAAAAGAGCCCCGGATATAATTTATTTTTTAAAGCCAATTTTACGAAAAAGTAATGTACACAATTATGAAACGTTACACGAATCACATCACAGCATTGTTTGATCGGGCCGAAGCTATTCGGATTAATTTCTAAAGAAGATTAATTTTGACGATTAGTCCTCAGCCGTAAATACTAACAAAACTTTTGTTTGACGTTTCAATGGGTTAAGACAAAGTTATGCAACATGTCTGTGTGCTTATAAATATAAAGTAGCAATAGCCGTCGAGTCAAACACGGGAACACATGTATCTATCTTTAGACATTGTTTATAGTATCATCCAATCGGATCAAGCGCCTAGCGTCACGTGACCACACACTCGGCTGTGCCACACGATGTGTAGATCACCACAGCAGAGCGATTCAGTCGGACGGCGGCCGACGCGTTAATTTTTATTTTCGTTCGGTTTTAAAATGTATGGACGGCTTTATTACGAGGCGCTATAATACATGTTATACATTTAAATAAACGTCGAGATTTCGGAAATACAGCTCAGGGTTCAAATGTAAAATATGTCCAATAATAGACCGGGAAACTTGGTTCAACTTTGCGGTCCGATATCTCCAAAAGTATTTAACTTATTTTGACCACGAACCCTGAGCGTTATACGTCTACATTTAATGTATTCGTCTGCCAAATTTAACTGTTGTAGTACGTAAACTCGATACGTGTATACAAATTTTGTAACGCGTCATCAGGTTAAAGACGGCGATTCGAAGCACAGCAGGGCGGTTCAGTCGAACAGCGGTCGGCGCGTCGTGTTTATATTTTCGGTCCATTTCAAAGTCTATAGACGTCCTTATTATAGGGCCTTATAGGACATATGATACATATTAATAAACGTCGAGATTTCAGGAATACAGCTCAGGGTTCAAATAAAAAATCTGTCCATAAATAGCTCAAATAACTTAGTTTAACTTTGCGGTCCGATATCTCCGAAAGTATTTAACATATTTTAACCAAGAACCCTGAGCGTTATACGTGTACATTTAATCTATTCTTCTACCAAGTCTCACAGTTGTAGTACGAAAACTCACAGAGTCTATAGACTCCAAGTAACACCCCCCTTTTAAAAAGGTGAAAAAGCCTCCCCCCTTATCGGCACGTCGCCGCGGAGGGTAAAAAATGCGATTTAATCGGCGATTTCTTCAACGTCTGAAATAATACAGAAATCAAACTAATACAGTTAAAAAGGTTATTCAATTACGAACAGAATGATGTATAACATGTTAAAATAAAAACAATAAAAGCATGCAAAAAACAGAGTTAAACATGCAGGGGGTAGGGAAAAGCCGATTTGTCCGATTTTCTCGGCAGCGGCATTGGCCTAGCTACTGTCTGTGATGACAGTTTACGGACAACAATGAAAAGATCAAGCAGAACTTCTTACCTCTCCTTAGTTTCAAATCATTTAAAAGCTAAATTATCTGCCCCTAATCGCCGCTACGAATTCGAGCCAGCTCTACGATTCTAAACATTCACTCATTCAGGGTCCAAAATGGTGGGTGGTGGTAGAATCTAGATGCGCCTAGAGAGCAGGGGAATAACACCGTGTGTTTACGTGGTGTCGAGCATGGTCCCCATGAAGAGAATTATATTTATATATATGATTACAAGATCTACATTCCATTTTTGCCCGTGTATTCAACAGTAGATCTATACATAAATGAGCGATGACTTTCAGTTCAGCCTGCCGATCACTTCAGTCTTCAGGTGTTATTTTTTGCTTATCGATAATAGGTTATTTATCATAGGTCGTTCGTTCAGTCTCCAAAACCCTTTTAGTTAACACGGAAATTTAGTAAACTTTTAAACACTTGAAAAAAAATTAGTTTAAACATTTTTAAAGACTATTCTTACCTATTCAGCAATTAGATCTAGATTCTAAATCCAAATAATATGATTATTGCACAAAATTATTGCTTCCCACCCATTCATTTATTTATTTTATTTCCGCTAAGAAGAAAATCTGGATGGTCATTGGTAGATTTTCTAATGTATGGCGTCAGATCTAAAATTAAAAATACAATTTTAAGAATAGTCTCTTTACAGAACAAATAATTTCCTATGTCGGTGTTTATTGAAAATGTGTCATTTTTTATTGAAAGGATTCTTTTTCAAAACATCAATCCAAATATTAATTTTCTGTAGTCGATTTTACGAAAATGAAACTTATCATTCATTTTGTTAAAAAAATAATTTAGTCTTTTTAATAGTATGTCTATAAATAGCTGTCTCGTGACCACTACAATTTGTATCATCTGAGTGTTTCCTTTTGTATCATTTTTCTGATGATCGAGTGTGTTTGTTAAGTATGTTAAGCGATCATTTTTAAACGGATGAATAGTTTAAAGTTTAAACTGTTGCGAAGAGCTTAAATAGTTTCAGTATAGTTTATCTAAATATTTAAGAATTTTCGTTCAGATTCATAGATGACTATGGGGGAAACAAACGAGTCAACGCCTCTTGTGGAATCAAGCAATGAGGAAATTGACGAAGAGCTGCAGGGCTGCAGTGGAACACCCCCATGCAACCCAAAATCATGTCTTCATCGCTACTTTCCAGTGCTCATTCTGATTTGTTTTCTAAGTTTCGGTAACTTTTCATAATATTACTAATTTCCTTTTTATTCCTAATTTTAACATGAAAGATTTTATGATAGTCAATCTATAATTAGTGTCTGTCTTGTCATTATTAAATATTAATTATAATTATATTAATTATATTAATATTTGATTAGTCATTAATAATGAATATTAATTTATGATTAGGGCCTAATGAATATTTTAAAACTATTTTTAATTTCATCAATCAGGACCTAGATTTATCATACTTCATACTAATTACTTAATACTTAACTACTAACAGTATTACAACTCTATGAAATGTCTATTGGTCTCAAACTCGTTCCCTATAATAAATAACCTTCATACTCTATAGTCTAAGTATAGTCTATTCGTCATAGCTGAAAGATCACCTCAAAAGAAGTTCAAAGACTATTTGTACACCTACCAGTCTTAGAATTAGATTATTATATTTTTACAGCTTGAGTGAATATTATAATCAAGAAGTTGGATAATATTTAGAATTATCAATTGAAACTCTGGCAGAAGGAGCCTCTAGTGTGGCCTCAACCAAGTGGTGGGCTTGTTACATTGCGTTAAATATAAATTCGAAACAATCTAGGTCTATATATATATAATTCTCTTTATGGCGACCATGCGAGACACCACCAAGACATAAGCTCAACAGACCATATCGCTATCACCCCCACCAGTTAGGTGAGCTGTTTACTATTGGGTCGAATCAGTGACGGCTATAGGTGCAGATAATTTAGTTTTTAAACGATTTGAAACTAAGTGGAGGTAATAACACGTTCTGCTTGATCTTTTCATTGTTGTCTGTAAACTGTCATCACGGATGGCTGCTTTCACGGGGGAGGGGGGAGACAAGTAGAAAGTGAGGGTGAGGATAATTGTCCTTCACTAGCTACTGATAGTGTTTAAAGCAAAATATTTTCAGTCGCAGCATTGGTGGTGTCGAATTAACAAAATATGAAAAATAGGAAATAAAACAACTAAATAGCGGTGTATGCGACGTCGCGGGTCAGCTCGTAATATAATAATGTATTATCTTAATTAACATTTAAAAATCTAATTGAAAATTTCCTTTGGAAAAATATAATTATTACAAATAAAAGATAGTTGAATCCAAATCCTTGATTTGTATTAACAAACATTTAGGTAAAGTACCATTATGTATGTAAAAATTAGGTTTACTTCTATTTCTAGTAGCTTGATGGTAAAGTTTTTTTTTTTTTATTTCCAGGAAGTTACTTCTGCTATGACAATCCAGCAGCATTACAAGACACAATGATAAGAGACCTAGATATCAATGAGAGCAAGTTCATGGCTTTCTATTCTTTTTATTCCTGGCCTAATGTTGTTCTCTGCATGTTTGGTGGCTATCTGATTGATCGCTTGTTTGGGCTTCGTTTTGGTGCTATTATCTTCAGCTCTTTTGTTACAGTTGGACAGGTAAAATTTTAAAATAATTCAGGTGATTGCATACGTAACGGAACAATAAAATCCTTCATTTTATCTGAATGAATATTTTAAAAAATTCTATAAATAGCTTTTTTCCCATGTTAAATGTTGAGGATTTTAATAAAATTTGATTTTTATGTTTCTAGGTAGTTTTTGCACTGGGCAGCCTCTTCAACATCTATGCATTGATGTGTGCTGGAAGGTTTATATTTGGGTAGGTTTATTTCAGGGTCCGTAGCGGACCTTGAATCCTTGAAAAACCCTTGAATTCCAAAAAACATCTCAAGGCCTTGAAAAACCCTTGAATTTCCCCAAAAATGAGCAAAACCCCTTGAATTTTATAGGTAAACCTTGAAAACCGTGCGTAAATCGAATTTAAAAAAAAAATTCAATTCTGATGGATCTAAACTTTTTCTGCCTTTATTTTTTTTTGCCGTGGGTCTGCGTTAACTTCGGAGTCTATTTCCAACCCTCTCCTTCGCTAAGCCTCGCGGTATGACCCCAACCTGACCAGTTTTGCATAGGCTCTGCCTAACCTAGATTCTAGATCGTGACGTAGATAGCCGAGGGATAAATTTAGCATCGTTTTTCGGGTATCTCCGTTTACTAGATCTAGATTCAGTGTTTTCTGTTAGGGCCTACCTACTTGTACGGTTTTGTCCGTAATTTTTCGATTTTGACACCCCTGTTGCGGAATTAGGCCGCAAATGTTACGCAAAAGCCCACAGTAAACATCAAAATCGATTTAGTGTCGACCTTTTTTTTTTCTTGTGTTAAATTTCCGTGTTATCCGGTTCTATGGTTTCAAACATCTTCAATCATAACAATCGACGCCCCCCGCCCCCCAAATCCCTTCCCGACAATATCTCGGCAGTCGTTGGCTCTATTTATATTGTGAACTTTATTGACCCCGCGAGTGGTCTGTTGTCTCCTGATCGGTGATGTCCGTAAAGACAAAAATTGGAATGTGGCCTAAATCATTAAAATTCTGGTCGCGCACGGAAATTATCTCGATTATAATTAAACCTACATCTAGAACTAATATTTTTTTCTTCAAGAAAATAAGCCTTAGGTTTAAATAAAAAAAGAATAGCCTGAACTATGCGAGCGTAGGTTTCTATTTATTTAAATTAAAATTTTCTCGGTGTGGGTTAAACACAAAAGGGAGAAACGTAGCTGCGGAATTACGGGTAAATAGCGAGACATAATTTATCGAATTATTGTGTTCTGTTATTTTAGATGTGCGAGAAGACACGTTTTTACGAACCTAGATCAATCACGGTTCTTTGTGTACCTCACGATAGCAGATGTTTCGGTCACTGCGACCTTAGAAGGTCTTCTAGGTCTATCTCAACTTACAGTGACCTCGCAGTATATTAATAATTAATATAGTCGTGGATCTTGATCTAGATTTTTAACTATTAACCAACAAGATTTCCTAATGCCAATAGGCCTATTTATCACGTTCGTTAAAAAAACCAATAGCAAATGACGTAATCGTCAATCTCACGTGGGCTATGGACCAAATACACATTGACTGTATCAGATGGGTGAGGCTGTAGACAGAACTTTTTGATGTCATTCTTGACGTGGCTGTCTGGTTATTTATGACGATAGAGGTTGGGGTAAAATTTGCATTAATTACGTGACGTCATCAATGGACTACCGCTAGGCTGTGTAATTAAAAAAAAACTAAATCCTAACATTACCAGCTCATTAGCATCGCCGATTGTCTTCTTAAAAAAAAAATCATAAAAAACGTTTTAATAACAAGCTTTTATGTAATGATGCACTAAAAAGTAGAAAATAAATTATAGACTACTATTTAAATAACTATAAAGAAAAGCGTGGGTCACTTTAGTATCTATTGGATACCTTTACTAATGTTAAGGAAGACACCCACGCTTTTCTTTATAGTTATTTAAATAGTAGTCTATAATTTATTTTCTACTTTTTAGTGCATCATTACATAAAAGCTTGTTATTAAAACGTTTTTTATGATTTTTTTTTCAGTACTTTACATGTTTTATCTACAATAGAGTTACATGACTAAAAACCATTGCGCGCCTACTGAATATCACGTTCAGTAGGCGCGCAATGGTTTTTGAACGCAGCCATTACGTGGTCGTGATGGCGCAGCTATTGATGACGCGTGTGGTGTGGTTGGCTAGACATGCCTACTAATTCAGTCCAAATTTTAATTAATTCATAAAAAATCAATTAGGCATCCAATTAAGTCAAATTTAGTTTCAGATTGCATTGTCTTCATGTCTTGACCCACGTGCCAACTGTGAATCGTGTCGGTCAAGTAGAACTGTCCGAATTTTCACTCCTGCGTTTCCGTCTAGACTGACGACAGACTGACGACAGAGGAAGTGAGTTAAATAAAAGCTTGTAAAAAAAGGAAAGATTTTGCGCCGACGTAAAAAAAATTTTGTATTTATCAAAAGAAAAGAAAAATAATTTGAAGGACTATGACTGTGCTGTTTTCACTCAACTTTACTGACACTTTTTACCGCCTCTCACTTCAAGGTCGCGCTGACCGTAAGACCTACGACACGAGACCACGCGCGAGCACAGTAGTGTCTCACGGTCAAGGCAGTTCTACAAACGCTGTTTATCTAATTTTAACGTGGTTATCTTTAATATTGGGCTTACTGCTAGATTAAAGCGAAAACAAAAACTATATCTGCATCGTTTTAGGTCATTGAACAAAATATGTAGGTCTGCTATAATTTAGTTACACCGTCTAGCAGGGTCTAGATCTAATTGATTTTTACTGTGGTAAAACGTCCTTGAAATGTTTAAGAAGCCTCGAATTACCGTGTTTGAGAAAATTGCCGCTGTCACTGCCCCCTCCCATCCGCTTGTAAAAAAAAAATCCGCTTTTCACTTTGTCGGGCGGCTACATCTCTGGCATGAGTATTACTAGCGTAGTTACTAGTGAAATTGTTTAAAAAAAACAACTTAATTCTGTTATTCCGCGATATGAACTCAACTTAAAACTTCCACGATATTTCTTTACGTCATCATGTGTATCATAGGTGGGGACATTGGGGTCGTCCATAAATGACGTCACACTCGTAGGGGGAGGGGGGATCCGTAATCGTGTGACGGTGTGTGATGAGGGGATGGGAGGGGGGGGGGGTCAGATCGTGTGACATCACACTTTTGCATTATTAAAAAGCAATGTTAGAAAACGAATTTTAGCATTTTAGAAAACTGTTTTAATAAATTGTAAAAGGAATTGATTAAAATACTCTATTTTGACAGAGTTCAGACAAGATTTTGGGGAAAAAAATCCTATTTTAAGAAAAATTGAACTGCAATCAAGGTGGGGGGGGGGGGGGTAGGAGGGGTTATAGGCTGAGGTGTGACGTCATTTTAGTGGGCGGGGCCTGGCTTTTTGTGATGTGTGACGGAGGGGGGGGGGGGGAGAGGTAATAATCTTTTAAAAAGCGTGAGGTCATTTATGACATAGGATAATTTCTACAAGCATAGCTAGGTTTTTTTTTGTTTCTATATGTGTGCAGAGTCCTTTTTAAAGGAATATGTGTGCAGAGTCCTTTTTAAAGGACTATCAGACAGACGAACCAATGCTTCCTTTTATGTATAATGACCTGATTCTGATTATCACTTGACATTGACAAGTCATTCAATTAAAGTTGGGTTTGTTGCTGACTCTCTAATAAAGTCTCTAGAAAAAGTAAAAAAAGCAAGTGAGCTTCAAATTCTCAATTTCAAATCTGATTGTAAGACAACTTTGATAGGATTTTCATCTAATTTTTTGCTGAAATCTCCATTACTTTAGTCATTAGTGAGAGACTTAGCCTAATGCAAATGTTTAAAAATAGAGCCAGTTCACCAAAAAAAATGAAGGGAATTCTTCACATCCTAGTCAACAAATGGAAACTGAAATCAGCTGAGTGTGACCAAGTTCTGTTTCAATTTTCAACATTCATAGATACATGTACTCTAAATGGTTGTCTATCTAAATCTAATTGAGAACATGATAGGCTGGACATTTTTTTCATTGAACAGCTTGGTAGCAAAATTTCTTATGTGAACATTTGGAAAATTGTTAGAGATCTATTGCTTCTGTCACATGGTCAAGCCAGTGTTGAAAGAGGTTTTTCTGAAAATAGAAGTTGGAGGAGTGTCATTTGACACCAAAGATACTGATTGCAAAAGGGATTATGCTGGACTCTCAGACAATCTCCTGACTTAGATAATTTTGTAATAACACCAACATTATTTCAAAAATTGTGTGTGCAAAAAACATACATCACCCTCATTGTAATGCCCGTTAGTGGTAGTTTATACCTTGAAATTCCCCCCAAAATCACCTTGAAAACCTTGAAAAAGCCTTGAATTTACTTTTGGGATTTGGCTATGGACCCTGTTTATTTGCTTTTCTAAATTTCGATTGTCTAAAGTAACAATATGAAAGAAGAGATAAAAAGGAAGTTTACAGCATAATTCAAATCATAATTATACACTGTGATTCAGGCAGTCTTGATATAAAGAAATAAATACATCCTGCTGACATTTTAACAAGCACTAGCAACACTTATCCAAATATATAAAAATATATACATTTCTAGAAATAGTCTTATTTTTTTTAAACCTGGTATTTAATTTAGTATTGGAGGTGAATCCTTGGCTGTGGCACAAAATACTTTTGCTGTGAAATGGTTCCAAGGGAAGGAATTAAACATGGTGTTTGGCCTTCAGTTGAGTTTTTCCAGAGTTGTAAGTATATAAATATAAGTTTGGGTTGAAAGATTTACATATATTATGGTCAATATTATTAAATGCTGTAGAGCAAAGTAAAGTGTTTCTAATAGACTCAAAACTGGTTTTTAACAAAGTCAAGTTATTTAGTTTGTTCTTTAGCCTCTTTATGATTACATAGTTGAGTATTAATGGTATTTTATTTCCTAGGGTAGCACAGTGAACATGAATATCATGCAGCCACTGTACAACTACATTGATCAGAGTGTGCATGGCTATAAATGCCTTGGCATTGCATTATTTGTTGGTGTGTAATTGCTTTTTTTACACTTGTACCATTTTACTTGGCAGTTATCTTATTTAAAAAAAATAGTTCTAAAAAATATTTCTTTTTAAAAATAGAAATGAATTTTTTTTTCATTTTTCATTTTCTTGCATGCATACATTTTGAAACAGTTACCAATCTGTTTTACTCACTTTTAAAATTTCTAATGGCTTTTTATAGGTGCTGGTATGTGTGTTTTTTCTCTACTTTGTGCCTTTTTACTGTCTTTCTTTGACAAGAGAGCTGACAGAGTGCTTAAAAGAAAACAGATAAGTCAAGGTTTGTTTGTATTTTATGCATACATTTTTTATAATGCCAACAGAATATATGAAAATATTTTTGCTTGCTTATTAATAAAAGCCTGTACATTGAAGAAACTTTGGTAATATCTGGCTGGGTTTGTTGAAGTTGTTTTTTTTCCTAACCCCAAGAATTTCCCTCCCAGCATTCATAGAATATACTCATTTTATAAGTAAAAAAAATGTAAATTATTTACAGAAGTTTTATTATGTGTCTTAAATTGTTCATCTAAAATTATTATATTTTTTTTCCAGAGGAGATGATTAAGTTTAGGGATATTTTGACGTTTCCATTTTCAACATGGCTGATCTCTATCATATGTGTGGCTTACTATGTGGCTGTCTTCCCATTTATTGGACTTGGATTGTAAGTTTAAGCTTAATTGTCAGGTTAAACAAATATTTCCTGTTTCAAACAGTTAAAAGCTCTTACTTGAAACAATAAATAAGCTTTTAATGTTAAGAACTTATTTCTTTAATGTATGAGTAAAAAGTAGAATTTATGGTTTGCAAAAGAAATCATACCATGTAGACTTGTATTACTTATAATAAATTCCATTGTTTTCCTACATCATCTTATGTTTCACAAATTGGAATCACATTGAAAACTAAATTAAAAGTTGAACATATTGAAACTAGTCTACCCTTAGATAAATAAACTTACACTGAGTCAAAATTCTAATAAATTATAATTACCAATTTTAGTTGCATTTTAGTGGAACAACTCGCCAATTAAAAATAGGGGTTCACTTGTTTTGAAAATTTGAATATTTTTATAGAAATGTACACATTTTATAAAATATATTTTAATTATATAATGTTTAATGTTTATTTTGATGTTTATTTTAAGGGTGTTTTTTGAAATGAAGTTTGGACTCACCCCCACAAGTGCCAATGCTGTGAACAGTTTGGTGTACATCATTTCAGCAGTTGCTTCCCCTGTGTTTGGTTTTCTCATTGACAAAATTGGCAAGAATGTGTTTTGGGTTATCATTGGCATTGTTGTAACATTAGGATGCCACATGCTGCTAGCCTTTACATTTGTCAATCCTTATGTAGCTATGGTAGGTTTACATACAATATTACATTTTAGTTTCTAACAACAAAAAGTTTTATTTCCATTTTTATTTACTACTATGACGTGGAGTGAACACTTTTTTATCACCGGAAATTTTATCATTAAACAAGGTTAATAATTTTAATATTTTTTACAGATCATAATGGGTCTATCCTATTCGGTATTAGCTAGTGCTCTGTGGCCTATGGTGTCTCTGATCATACCTAGTCATCAACTGGGGACTGCTTATGGCATGTAAGTGTCAAAAGTGAAACTTATTTTTTTAAAACCCATTGTTCTAATTGGTTTTTGATTTAGGCGTTGTCTTAATACTAAAGGTTGTGTGAAGTTTACCTTAAGGGTTTAACTCCATATTCCCCGCCAAAATGACAGACAAAATTGTGAAATATCTAACACAATATTTTATGTTACGGTATGCAACAACTATTAAGTTAAAAAAAAAAGGTTACGATATTTTAAAAACAGACATTTTTTTAATAGAAATGGAATAAAATTGTGTTTAAGTTAAGAAGTTTTATGTAATTGAAGCTTTTAAAAATGTCATTAATCTAAATTTTCAGCATGCAAGCAATTCAAAATTTGGGTCTGGCAGTTATCTCCCTTACAGCTGGTATTATTGTTGATGAGAAGGGTTATCTTATCTTGGAAGTTTTCTTTATGGCATGGTTGTGTTGTAAGTAGAACATTAATATTATTCAGTTGCAGAATAGTTAGCAACTTGATATTAAACATGTTAATCTTGAGATACAAAGTACAGCAAGTTAGGAAGGTAACCTTTCAGACCCGATGGTCCATATAGCAGATGGATTTCCATTATTTTTAATAACCTCAGTAAATTAAGGATGTTTGATACTTCATATAATTAATACTTCTTTCAAGTTTTTAGAAATACTTTTATGCTTAATAAGTTAATCTTATGTTAATTTAAAAATGTTGATTTTTAGTAGTTTATTAATTCAGCATTAAAATTTCTTATCCTCTATTTTCAAAAAATAAAAATGTATATGACCTTTTTTTCAGTGGCTTTAATAGCTGGAATTGTTCTCTATCTGGTAGATGCAAATAAAGGTAAATAAAACTAATGTCCTACTACATTCTTTCATGTAAATATTAATTACTTTGGTTTAAATTTGTTGCTAATTATGTACATTTATCATCAGGGGGGAAATTGAATTTATCAGCTAAATCCAGAGCCTTAGAAAAACTTAAAGCAGAAAAGTCAATGTGAGTTGTTTTTTTTAGTTTTTAAAGTTTTGATTTGTTTATTCATAAACAATTGCTTTTTTTGCAGGTCTCTAAAATAGTAAATTGTTAAAAGTATTTGTTAAAATGATAAATATAAGTTAACTTTTTAAAAAGAGTTATTTTATAACAATTATTTTCTTTTGTATTGTCTTTTATTAATTGAAACAATCAATTTTTCCCCAGCCAAAACTAAAATGAAGAATCTGTCTCAAAGACTTCATGTCTTGGTGAATGGAGAGCACAAGCATGGAGATAAATCTTTGTAACTGTCTGTACATTCCTTTGCTTGAAGAATTATAAACAACAACCTTCTCTTGTTGGATAACCAGCTGTCTTTCACAAAATAAAGTACTAAACTTGGAACCTCTTTGTATAGAGGCAGCAGCACAATGACTTTTATTTTTATTTTTCTTAGTTAGCTAACTTAGAGCTCTCTATTTTCAAACTCTATTGTGATTATATATTATTTAATGTATAAGATAATTTAAGTCTTACTGAATTAATTATAAATCAACCTTAAGTTTTTGTAAATAAAAATCATAAATACTCTACGCGTTTAGCTGGATATGTTATGTACATTATGTTACATGGTTGTATACAATTTGAATGGTACTACATTAATGGTAAAAAGTTTATTAAAATAAAATAAATAATTTAATTGAAGCTTAAAATAAAAAAAAGTTTTTAACACATAAAAATGTTTTAAAATAATACTAATAATTGCAGAAATGTCTGTGCAATTGATTCTTGAGTTGTATATGAATTTAATAATTTTTAAAAATTGAAATAGAAATGTAACTTGATTGTAAGCTATTGTGAATACAAGATTTTTTTTATCTTACCATGATATTTTAGGATGCTAACAGATTTCATTTTTAAAAAAGCTATCAAAGTGAAAATACATGAACAATTTTTAAAAACCTATAACAATGGAAAAGTTTATTAGAATAATTATCAACTTAAATAAAACACATAATTTAAACGCAGATGAGGATGAATAGTTGTTATACTTTTAGATATATAAGTTAAAAAATTGTTCTAAAATTCAGTATTTGTAAATAAGTTTTTAGAGTGATTGAGTTTTAGCAATAAATTAAAAAAAATTCTTATTAACTTGTACTTTGTTGTGCTCTGTAAAATATTGTATTTTTCCAAGCTTTAAAAAATAATCTTGAAAGCAAACCCTAAAATCTAACAGATATTTTAGCTGACGTTTCTATTTTTAAAAAATTATTTCTGTGTTTCTTGCAAATTTTTATGTAGTTTTTAGCAGAACTCGTTTGTTTTGTTGCGATTCTATAAAATGGCGTCAACTTAACAATCATGTGTGTGCTTAATCAAACTGCATTTTAAATATTTTGAATGCATTCGTTTGCAATAATTTTAAGTAGTAAAATATTAATAAATTGTTGGTATATATATAGTTTTATTTTTTTAATAGTTAATAGTTTAGCAAAATTTTTGTGCGAGAAATTCAGTATTTTTAAAGCCTATGTGTGCTTGGTTTGATTTTCTCCTTTTTTTTCACTAGGGATATGATTTTCAAAGCTTTTAATTTCAAACCTTACAAAGATTATACACATTTTTTTTTACATTATTGTGTACTTTTTAGAAGAATTTTTTTGGTTCCTTATTCCATCAGGCTATTTGATTTTTTTTCACATTTCGACTATGGGTATGTCTTTTAAAAATCTAGATTTCTGAGTTTTAAAGTAAACAAAGGGCTTTAACTCTGATGTAAAACTGCTGCTTTGATAATAAAATTAAAACTGCTTGTTTATTATTTCATGTTCTTGATTTTTTTTTTCAAAGATACTATTTTCTTTAAAACCAGCTGACCCGCGACGTAGCATAATCCGAAGACAAGCCAGAAAGAAACTCTGATTCCTGTAAAGTTTTCTGCCATTAAATTAAAAAAAAATTTCGTTCGGAGGGCAGCCCCCTAGATGTAAGGCGGTTCGGTTTGCTACCCAGAGTTTCCCAGTGGCTTTTTTAGTACCTAGGGTCAGTCAATTGGGCACAAGGGCCCAGGGTTACTGCTTGATTCAACGGTCAAACTGCACAGAAACGACAACCGGCACCCCGGTTTCACCCGTGAGCACTACGGCACATATACTTATTTTAATGAGCGCCATGCCCCTAAGGATACGGAGGGTTACTATAATCGATGACTAAATAAAATAAGGGGTGTCCTCCAGCGCCTATACAGTAGTATACAGTTGGGCGCCCCGTGTTTCTCCATTATGATGATGTTATGAAACAAATTGTAGATATGCCCTTTGGATCAGTAACTTGGCCATCCTTAGTATCGAACAGACAGAAGGAGCTAAAATGGACCTCTAGGAACATATTAATCATTTTGTAAACTTAAAAGAAAGAACAAATCTAAATAAATAACGAGCAATTTTAAAAAAAAATTGTGTTTCGTTAGTGGCAGAGGCGTAGCGACCCTTCCCGGCGCCCGGGGACAGACTTTTCGATTTGCACCCCCCCCCTCAAGATTTCGATTTGCAACCCCCCCTCAAACTTTCAATTTGCACCCCCCTCAACCTTTCAATTTATTTTTCCAACCAATTTTGGCGCCCCCTGAGGTCGGCGCCCGGGGACATATGTCCCCCCCCCGCCCCCCCCCCTAACCCTACGCTACTGGTTAGTGGCGTCACAAGGTTAGGTATTACCCTGTGCGTTAAGTGAATGTCAACCCACCCCCAACCCCTCCAACAATTTTGCATTTCCGATGGAGTGTCACCCCTACTCCCTAATTTTTGATTGTTTTAACTGGATAAATCACAGTTTTGACAGTAAATTTTACGAGTTTTCTTCATGGTGTTAATCCTAAATGGTGTCACATCCGCCCCCGCCTTGTGACGCGACTGTTTGGTTACTTAAATGTTACATGCTTACAGTTAATTTGTTGGTTACTTTTTACATAAACGTGATATGAAATCAAAGATATTTTATGTTACAGGGTACTACTTAATAATAACGTATAAGTACACAATTAGGACGTATAAAATGCAAAATTTACAATTTGACGAAGGGGCCCAATGATAATTTTTGCATAGAGTTAGCTATGTGCAACATTAAAAACCACACAGATCAAAGTTAATGTGTATGCCATTGTAAGATTATAATAGTGTAATAGTGTTCAATTAATTAAAAAAAAAAGAATTTTCGATAAATATAAAATTGTTAGTCATCTAGTATCGAAACTACTAAGGGAAGCAACCAATTTTTAAAAACCAAAAGTTGTATATAAATATAAAAAAACCCAATTATAGTTCAAATTTAAAATATTAATCACTATATACTATGTTACAAAAACATTGATATTTAACACGCATGTAAATGATGTCTATTTATTACTTTTCTTTATTTAAGAATTAACCGTCGAATCTAGTTTTTATTAGAAACTAATAGCTGTACTAAATTTGTGGGCAAACACACCTTGCTCTTTACAAGTTTGTTCACTTGGTAGGATGTTCCTTTCAAGATCATTTTTTTAGTGTAAAAAATGATTAATTTTCAATCTTTACAAAAAAATGTACACCAGATATTTAATGACCTAAGACAGGGGTCGGCAACCTGCGGCTCGCGAGCCGCATGCGACTCTTTTGATATCATGATGCGGCTCTCCAGCTCCTTGAACAAATACTAATGATCTTAATAAAAAAAATAAAATATTTGAAATTAAAAAAATGTTAGTGGCTCTTTAAAACCAGGGAAATTTTGAAAATTGTAACTTTTGGATCTTTAGCTTCAAAAGGTTGCCGACCCCTGACCTAAGACCTAAGAGTCGCGCCTGCTGTGTTACCCACCAAACATTTATTCAGATTACTTTTAACAGAATAGTTGGAGATTATCATGATAAACACTTGAATACTGTTTAACATTTTTGGCTAATGAAAGTTTAATTGCTGTTTTTAATGTTGTGTTGAAATACAGGAAATACGGGCTTTTATGACTTGATTTGCATTAAACAATAAACATTTATAACATGGAAAAACAATGTTTGTAAAAACGACAACCATTTCGGCTGGAAAAAATCCCTCAATTTATTGAACGGCTATAATGCCCCATTGTATCCATAGTCTATCTCACTGTTTAAAATGAACGTAGGTGCCATAGCACTCACAGGAAAGACCAGGGCCCTACATCGCACCCTGCTGTGGGACGCCCGTGCGAAATTAATATTTTTCCCTCAGAAACTTTCTCGGGAGTATTCTCATCAACTCCCCAAAGTTTCATGGTACTCGTATGAACGGTGTCGAACCTCATCCGACTTTTATTTTTTTATTTAATGTATATAGAGAAAAATCGCGCAACCTCTCAGGGCACCGTCCTTGCGAAATTAACCCCCCCCCGCACTCCTACTTTGGGGTCGTAACAGGGAAGGGATCAAAACCGGTGTAGACGAAGATCACGGTGACCACTTCTCGACTAGATGTAAGTGACCAATTTTCTGTAAAGCTCTCGCCTATCCTTAATGTTGGAACAAGATTTGGACAGGATGGCGCGCGGCACCGGGTTACAAAGAACCCCGCTCCAGGTATCACACTACCAGTGCTTCTTTCAGGCATAATTCTCCTGTAAGGGGGGGGGGGCACTTTAAATTACTTTTGGGGGTGGGGAGTGGACTTAAATTTCCTGGGAGGGGGCAGACAATTTTTCAATTATATATGTTCTATATTAATTGTATTTTTTTTCTATTTTGTTGAAGGGCGGTAAACGGAAGAAGGAACAGTGCCAAACCCACCCCATCCCCCCTCCCCCTCCCCAAAGAGATGGCTGAAAGAATCTATGCAGACTACGGGGAACGGCGTCTTTTCTGTCTAAAATCTCAATAACTAGCCGGATACAAGGTCGGATAGGGAAGATATGACGAGTCACAGTTTTCCTCACATTAAACACCGCCTGGCCCAATGTTTTACACCTTGTCCGGTTTTATCCTCGGTATAAAACCGTGGTAACAAGATGTAAAGGAAACGGAGGGAAAAGAAGCTGACGTACCGTAACTGTCTTTATGTATTAGTGAGACCTTATTGACAGCACTTTAATCTACACTCCACTCCCCCCTCACCCAAAGTGGTCGGTAGTATCAACCTTGACAGTATGACAGCCAGGCTATCATCGAACTGTTCGAGGCCTACTTCTCACAAGGCGATTATTTGGGTCAAAAGTGCAACGTTTTCAGTCAAGAGTTTTTAGCACTTGTTACTCTCGTGATCTAGATCTATAGGTAAGCTTTTATCTTCGTTAGACTCCACAAAGTCCGACTTTTATCATATATATATATATATATATATATATATATATATATATATATATATATATATATATATATATATATATATATATATATATATATATATATATATATATATATATATATATATTTATATATAAATATATGTATATACATGCATATATATACACATGTATATATATACATGTAAATATGTATGCATATATATGTATATATATACACACATTATATATTTATGTAAATATGTGTGTATATTTGTATGTATGTAGATATATATATATATATATTTATATGTATATATATATACACATACATATTAAAATATATATATCAATATATCTATATGCATGCATATATTTTTAAATTAATAAGTAAACATATATATACATATATATATATATATATATATATATATATATATATATATATATATATATATATATATATATATATATATATATATATATATATATATATATATATATATATATATATATATATATATATATATAGGCTAGTGCAAAGTTATGATAGCTTACTAAATTCTTTAAATCCTATAAATAAAGGAAAACAACATAAAAATAGTTAATTACCCTGGATTAATATACAACTTATGTAAACGTAATTAAAACACTTGAAACCACACGACAGAAATGAGAAGATAACCAATACAGACCAAAGAACACAACCGTACGTGTATCAAGTCAGTTAAAACATCCATCCTTTCATCAGCGTGTTTCAAAATGGGAGATACAGACACCGACAAAGTTGCAGAGACAAAGCTTGACAAATCTAATTTCACCTGTCAGGTAAGACAGCAATCTGATGTATTTTAATCAGTAGAATTAACTTTCATTCAAGCGTGAACTATTAGTGAAAAATGAGTTATTAAAGTGTTCGTCATGGTGTCAATAACTGCTGGAAAAAAAATTAAATCATACAATGTCTGAGTTGCGTGTACTAGCCAAATCAACGAACTAATGTAATGGTGCAGCCATTTATGCTTTTTTTTTGCAACCAATAAGCTGTCCACATTGAGTTAACAAAATTACTTTGATTTTTAACCTTTCCAGTTGAATAACTGTTACAATAAATTCTTCACTTTAAAAAATATTTCCCTCATCATTTGTCGTTGTTCTATACATATGTGGCGCTGAAAAGCTGATAGTAAAAACAGTATTGAAAAAAGTGGATGATATTCAGAAATATATTGCGAAGTATATATACAAATACACTTGAAAGAACATTAGGATCAGAACATTTTATCGTAAAAATGTCAAAGTTTGGTACTTAAAATTTCAACAGTTTTCCCAATATTTTTTTGTGTGGGGTGAAGGGAGTAAGGGAACCAGTGTTTCTTTCTCTTCTGAGCACGTCTACCGCCCTCACCTCCCTCTTTCCCTAACGAAATAGAATGTATATTTAAAAAATAAATACGTTTACCAGTGTAACTCCCATAAAAATTTTAGCCCGACCCCCCCCCCAAAAGTTTTGAAGCCCCCCTCCCCTCGGAGAAAAAAGTCTGAAGAAACAATACAGGGAACTAACACCTCTACATTGATACACTAAAACTCACGGTATTTAAAAAGTCGCACGCATTTTCAATATCCATACAATTAAATCTTCACCACAATTACTCTTTTAATATATTTACTCGTTATTTTTAAAATGAATTCTGAGAAATAGGACTCTGGACAAGACGATGATGAGATTGGAGGAAAAAAGTCATGTGACCTATGCAACCCCCGCCATTGGCTACATCGTTACTTCCCCGTTTTGATTCTCCTCTGTTTCCTATTGTTCGGTAAGATTTGGTCAGTTGTAGCTTGCTGAAACTGTCATAAAACTGTTCCAACAGCCAGACTCTTCATAAGCTAATGAAAATTGGGAAACAAAACTGCCTAACTAATGGCAGATTTCGGAAACACTTAAATACACCAACAAGATTAACAATTTGAAAACTAGTATAGGTTCCATGATTTAGAAAGTCTATAAAAATTCCCGATGCAAGTTATAGAGTTCAGATGTTCTCTGAACCAAATCAATGAAGTCAGTTATTTATCGATGCATGGGAAATCATAACCTAAATGCAAAAAACAACAATAAATACTCACAGAAGAAAAGACAGCCAAAGCATACAGTGTTTCTTCCAGACTTTTTTCTCCGGGGGGGGGGGGGGGGGGACACTTGAAAATTTCGAGGGGGGGGGGGAGGTAGACTTGCTTCGGGGGGGGGGGGGCGGGGGGGGGGCGGACACTGTCAAAAGTATATATTTTCATTTCGTTCGGGGGGGGGGGGGGGGTAGGGGGTAGACTTTCTTCGGGGGGGGGGGAGGCTCGGCCCCCCCCCCCCCCCACGAAGAGATGCCTGGAAGAAACTCCGAAAGCATATACATCGATTTTTATAGTAGTTTGTCAGATTTCCTACTAATAAAAGAAAATAAAACATTACAATATCAATAGAAACATAGTCTCAAAATGTTTATGTATTTTAACACGTTTTTCTTAACTCAGCTTCGCGTTTGTGGATGTGTGGATTTGTTTGTTGTTAAAATTGACATCGAAAATTAGCCCACTTCTGATTGCTCTAGAGACCTGAAATTTGGCATGCATGCTACTTTCGCCTAACAATTTCAGATGCAATCATAAAAACTAGCAATTAGAGACCGTAATTAGCTTAATTTAATTACGCCCAAAGGACCATAAAATTGAGGACATGATTTCTAAAGATACCGACAAGACTGGAGGCTTGTTGACACAGTTACTTCGGCCCCAATCGATGTGAGCGCGCTGGCCGTGATCGTATAGTGGTTAGTACTTCGCGTTGTGGCCGCGACAACCCAGGTTCGAATCCTGGTCGCTCAAGATTTTTTTAGTCCGTGTATTTATAAACACTTAGTCAATTCATACTTAATCAAGTCATTAGATAAAGTAGAAAATAAACTATATAAAAAACTTTTTTAAAAACCACGTTTTTCATGTGTAGCAACGGACTAAAAAGGAGAAAATAAAATACTTAAAAAAAACTTTTTAAAAAACCACGTTTTTCTTGTGGACTAAAAAGTAGAAAATAACTATTTACATACATTTGATGACAAAAAACGTGGGTCGGGCAGATGGGTCGGGAAATTTGATGGTGAACGTACCCACGTTTTTTGTCATCAAATGTATGTAAATAGTTATTTTCTACTTTTTAGTCCACAAGAAAAACGTGGTTTTTAAAAAAGTTTTTTTTAAGTATTTTATTAAAACGTTTTTCTTAACTCAGCTTCGCGTTTGTGGGTTTGTTGTTAAAATTGACATCGAAAATTAGCCCACTTCTGATTGCTCTAGAGACCTGAAATTTGGCATGCATGCTACTTTCGCCTAACAATTTCAGATGCAATCATAAAAACTAGCAATTAGTGACCGTAATTAGCTTAATTTAATTACGCCCCAAGGACCATAAAATTGAGGACATGATTTCTAAAGATACCGACAAGACTGGAGGCCTAATGACACAGTTACTTCGGCCTCAATCGATGTGAGCGCGCTGGCCGTGATCGTATTGTGGTTAGTACTTCGCGTTGTGGCCGCGACAACCCAGGTTCGAATCCTGGTCGCTCAAGATTTTTAGTCCGTGTATTTATAAACACTTTTTTAAAAACCACGTTTTTCATGTGTAGCAACGGACTAAAAAGGAGAAAATAAAATACTTAAAAAAAACTTTTTAAAAAACCACGTTTTTTATGTGTAGCAACGGACTAAAAAGGAGAACGGAGACGGTAACACATTGTTAACGGTGACACGGTTGGTACGCTGGGCATGCTAAAATACACATAAACACGTTTTTCCTTAACTCAGCTTCGCGTTTATTTGTTTGTTTATGGGAGATTTGATCACGTGATTCGTGAGTAGATCTCCACGCCAGCAACGTAAATTACACCCTTTCTCTGTTTAAAGCGTATCGGTCGCTCAAGATTTTTTTAGTCCGTGTATTTAAAAACACTTAGTCAAGTCATACTTAATCAAGTGATTAGATAAAGTAGAAAATAAACTATATAAAAAACTTTTTAAAAACCACGTTTTTCATGTGTAGCAACGGACTAAAAAGGAGAAAATAAAATACTTAAAAAAAACTTTTTAAAAAACCACGTTTTTCTTGTGGACTAAAAAGTAGAAAATAACTATTTACATACATTTGATGACAAAAAACGTGGGTCGGGCAGATGGGTCGGGAAATTTGATGGTGAACGTACCCACGTTTTTTGTCATCAAATGTATGTAAATAGTTATTTTCTACTTTTTAGTCCACAAGAAAAACGTGGTTTTTAAAAAAGTTTTTTTTAAGTATTTTATTTAATCTTAAAACAGGAAGTTATTTCGTCAACGACATCCCAGGATCTTTGCAAGACGTGATGGTCCGTGACCTTGACCTCTCAGAGACTGAGTTCATGGCCTTCTACGCCTTCGAGGCGTGGCCCAACGTTGTCTTGTGCATCGTGGGTGGCTACATGATTGACGGCTTGTTCGGCGTTAGGCTGGGAGCGATCGTCTTCAGTGTGCTGGTCACTCTTGGACAGGTTAGCTGAAAGCCCAGGGCAACGGATTATTGTAACGCTCAGGATAATACAGGATAGAAGTTCTACCAATATCACAAACACATATTAACATTGAAAAATGTGCTATGGATTTCGTGCCCCTAACCAATGCCGCAAAGAAGTACCGCATAACACGAAAGCCCACTACATATTTAGCGGCTTCTCGAGCTATGGACTTTTTTTTCCAAAGAATTTTGCTGGCGTCAGTGCGTGTTTGATTGTAGGGGAAATAGAACTCAGCCTTGTCGTTGGTAAAAAAACACAATTATAAATAACCTTTTTTAATACAGAAATAAATTTGACGACAATTTTCGAGCAAACCAATTTGGTCTCCACCCCTTGCTCCATCTGCCACAATTCACTTTGGAAGATCGGTAGAACAGTTACTTGGCTATCAAAGGGGATCAGCGAGTCACAGAAGTCATTACAATTTTAATATTTTCGGAAGTGCGTGATAAAGTGACTGTAAAATAAAGATAATCGTACCGCAGCTACATTATTTTTTTACAAACCAAATATCAAAGGAAAAATGCACGAAAATTAAATTTAAAAGTTTTAAAAATATTATTTATGGTCGGTTGTGGGCCCTCTAAACGCCCTACCCCCCCCTCGCAGTGCGGGGTCTGGCGGCACTGTCGTTCCGTTCCCGGGAGAAATGCTACATATTAAAATAAAACTTTAGTAGTAGTTTAATTATTAAGGTTTTTTTTTCCTAGATTAATTCTAAGCTTTAATATTTTAGAAGAAGATTCCTAAATCTATATTTATCTTCTGTTTACAGGCTATGTTCGCGTTGGGTGGTTTTATAAATAACTACGTGCTGATGTGTTGTGGTAGATTTGTCCTCGGGTAGGTCTTTTGTTTTTAACTCTTTAAGTTTGGTTTTATAGTATATTCTATTTTTATATGTAGTTTTCTGTGTTATGTCGAAGCTGTGGTGAAGCCTATTCGTTTGATTATCACAGTGTACATACTTCTAAAAGAAAAAAAACCCACTCTTTTAGAGATTTTGTCTGTTCAGTTCACAGAAAAATGCGCAAATGGAAAACTGCGCAACGGAAAATTGCGTAAATAAAAAAATGCGCAAATACAAACTAATTATACTAATATATTTTTATTTTCTTATATTTCGTAGAATAGTGTTTTTTTTTAATGCTACAATGTGCATGTGTGGATTCTTTGCTAATGTCTCTAAATGCTCGAATTAAGAAAACAAAAATGCCAATTTTTACAAGCTTTTATTTAACTCACTTCCTCTGTCGTCAGTCCAGACGGAAACGCAGGAGTGAAAATTCGGACAGTTCTACTTGACCGATACGATTCACATTTGGCACGTGGGTCAAGACATGAAGACAATGCAATCTGAAACTAAATTTGACTTAATTGGATGCCTAATTGATTTTTAATGAATTAATTAAAATTTGGACCGAATTAGTAGGCATGTCTAGCCAACCACACCACACGCGTCATCACCTTCAATAGCTGCGCCATCACGTAATGGCTGCGTTCAAAAACCATTGCGCGCCTACTGAACGTGATGTTCAGTAGGCGCGCAATGGTTTTTAGTCATGTAACTCTATTGTAAATAAAACATGTAAAGTACTGAAAAAAAAATTCATAAAAAACGTTTTAATAACAAGCTTTTATGTAATGATGCACTAAAAAGTAGAAAATAAATTATAGACTACTATTTAAATAACTGTAAAGAAAAGCGTGGGTGTCTTCCTTAACATTAGTAAAGGTATCCAATAGATACTAAAGTGACCCACGCTTTTCTTTATAGTTATTTAAATAGTAGTCTATAATTTATTTTCTACTTTTTAGTGCATCATTACATAAAAGCTTGTTATTAAAACGTTTTTTATGAATTTTTTTTGTGCTCAGTTTTCAGTTGCGCATCATTCCGGTCACCGAAAAAAACGGCTTCTAATTTTTTTATTTCTGTTTCTAACATAGTCCTGACTTTCTGTTTAGTTGTTGATATTTTGTTGTCTTACGGAGATTTGATCGGATCTGTTGCTTCCTATCTGTTTTTACCACCCATAATATCTTATTTTTCAAACTATAAATCAACGTCCACTGTTAATACAATGTTAAATCTATGATTGTTCTGTGATTTTGTTTACAATCTTTATTGTAGGATAGGAGAGGAGTCCCTTGGTATTGCACAGAGCACATTCGCCACCAAGTGGTTCAAAGAGAAGGAGCTCAACATGGTGTTTGGTCTTCTGCTCAGTTTCTCTCGTCTGGTGTGTTTAGTATGCTTAGTGCTTAGTGTACACCTCCCTGCACATTAATTCTGGATTTGTCGAATTAAATTGTAGTAGACAATACTTAATTGACGTCTTGTGATAGTATTTAGGTTACGATACTTAAGTGATGAATAATTACTGTGTGGAATATTTAACTGCTGTCAAAGTACAGTATATAGAGTTTAATATTTAATTCCAATTTTTATGTCCAAATACTCCAAATACAGTATTCAGTATGCAATACGTAATTATTGTATACATTCAGACAATTGACTAATGCTTGCAGAATCATCACTCTGATGATATTCTTAGTAATGGATAACTTGTCTATGTAAAGATAATACAAAAAATTAAAACTATTTAAAAAATCTGTTCATATATTTTCATGTTCCTGTGCGTTATATGGATTTTTTTACCTGACAAAAAAACTTTCATCGCGCCCCTTTAGAGTTTAAATGTTGTTTCCATTTTAAATGAGTGATTATAATTTGTTCCGCCTAACTTAAGCTGTATGTAAACATATTAAAATGTTCTTTAATAAAATTTAAACAATAGCAGCTTATACTTTAAACACAATATTTTGAGTATAGATGAAATATAAAAAAAATCACATGTTATTAAATTATTTAACCCTATTTATTTATGCATATTCCAAACATTAAAGTAAACAAGTTATTTTTTTTTCCATGTACTAAATCCAGGCCAGCACAGTAGCTATGAACGTAATGCAACCTTTATATAACTTGGTAGACCAAGCTGTTCATGGTTACAAAGGGCTTGGCATAACTCTGTTCATAGGTAAGTAGCAGGGCTTAATTCCCCTTAATAACAAATGTGCACTATTGAAACGCGAATAAAATAACTGACAAGATATTACATTATTCTTACATTAATGATATCTTTTTTACAGCCGTGTTTGTCTGCTTTATGTCAGCCTTATGTGCAGTCATTTTGTCGTTTTTTGACAAAAGAGCGGACAAAATATTGTCCAGATCCAAAGTTGAATCAGGTACGGGGTTAACACTTAAACGATAAGCAGAAATTATTTCATTTAACTTATCAATTTCAATATTGGTAGATATTTTAAATAAGAGAAGCAAAAGGGAGACAATAGCATCAAAAGGCATGCGCGATATTATTGTCATTGGTAATTTATTAACTGTTAAGAGGGTCGTCCATAAGTACCGTTACGTACAAGAAAATTAAAAGGGTGTTTTGTTTTAGCTTTGGTGACTCTTGTGCTTCGTAGTGGGGAGGGGGGGTGACAGAAAGATGCGACTTATAATACATTTGTTCTGGTATTAGATCTAATTTCATGTTTGTTTTCGTTAGAATAAGTTTCCTTTAATTGGATGGGATTTAGGGGAGTGGAACATTTTGTTTTTGGTGTGTGTGTGTGACCTTGTTTGAGAAAATGTGAGGGTGGTGTTGTGGGAGGTAAACTCATCAATATATTGCGTGATGTCGCTTTTAGCATACCTTTATTTGTGGAGTAAGATTACCTTTTATTACGCTTTTTAAACTTAACATCAAAGAACATCAAATACAAAGAAAAAAAAAGATGGAGAAATTAACAATCCATAACTTGCTAAATTATGAATGTTAATATTTAGAGGAATCGTGTAAAGAATATTAATAATTTAATGTCTTAAAAATAAGAAAAACAAATCTTAATGTTAAAATTGGTATAAAGATTTATTTTGTTACCAGATGAAAAGATCAAACTGAAGGACATTCTAAAAATACCAATGATGACCTGGATAATGACCTTTATTTGTGTCACTTTTTATGTTGGGGTTATGCCATTTATCAGTCTAGGACTGTAAGTAGGTCACTTATTAGACTATTATAAATATAAATTTTATGGTTGTATGTGAGATATATTTTAATAAATCAAATTTTTGTTATTAATAAAACTTGTTTAAAACGTCAGTTGTAACACATACACCACTTCCAACCAATTCTTAGAAAAAGTGTTTTTGGTGTCTTTTCCAATTTGCACTTCGTAATTGCAACCGTTGGTAATCGTACTTTAACTTTAATTTATCAGATTTTTATATTGATCTGATCAATTATGAAATTAAATATCCTTTTTTTTTTATAAATACAACTTACATTTAATATTTTACAACGGTGTTTTTTATTAAAAAAATACATGTAAAAAATTTGTATTGAAAGAATTTTGCTTACTTTTGAAGCCATTTTGAGTTTGTCAATCAACACACTATATATTTCTTGAAGTAGAAATTTATGGTTCTATTTAAAATTCGATGCAGGGTGTTTTTTGTCATGAAATTTGGACTGACGCCAGCAACTGCCAGTACTTTGAACAGTTTAGTGTACATAATTCCAGCAGTTGCATGTCCTCTTCTGGGTTTCTGTATAGATAAAACTGGCAAAAATATTTTCTGGGTCATCGGTGGCATATCATTGGCCTTGGTCAGTCACATGATGCTTGCCTTCACATTTGTTAACCCATACATCCCAATGGTGAGTGCATTGTATTGTTCATCAAAAATATAAAAAAAATAATGAAAAAGCTAAACAACTCGTAACAACTTACGAGTTATAATCAAACAAATAAACAAAGTATTCCTAGCTATTCGACATGTATATCAAAATGAATACACATTAAAATGTTTATAAAAATTGCTAACATTTTTTAAAACCTAAAAATGGTAAAATACATTTGTATATTTTTTATTTATTTTTTATTTAATCAAATTTTAAATTAAATATCTTATAGTTTTTATAGAACTAACATATTATTTGGATGTGGAATATTACAGTAGCAATCTTAATCACAGTGATGTAATAGATATAAAACATCAATGATCATTGAAGTACACAGCTACATTAAATCCTCAAATATATAGTTAAAAAATGTTTAAGTTTTAAAGCAAAATTTATTGTTTTTATTTATCAGGTTGTTTTAGGCTTTTCATATTCCGTTTTGGCAAGTTCAATTTGGCCTCTCGTAGCTTTTGTTGTACCAAATAAACAATTGGGCACAGCTTATGGCATGTGAGACTTTGCTTTGTCGTTACACTTTTAAGAACATTAACTCCTGCTTTAAAAAAAGAAATCAAAATTATACGTGAGGCATATACTTAGCGGTGGTAGTATGTTTTATGTAAAATATTTTTCTATTATTATTTTATCAGAATATAAAAGAAAAAAAAGCATTTGATTTTCCATTTAATTTAAAAAAAAATCAATAGAAGTGTAAGTTTGAGATTTGAAATTATATTTCAAATTGTTAAAAAAAGGTAGTTTAAATTATTTTCATTATGTTTGTTTTTAAACATGTATTATAATTAAGGTATTTATTATTAATTTTTATTTCTAAAATTAATAAAATCTGTAACAAAAAAAGAAAATAACTATTTATATATTGTCAGGATATTACAAATAATAAACGTTAATTATATAAAAGTGAAAGTGTAATTAAATAAAATATGTTTTATTATCATTACAGAATGCAAGCTTTTCTAAATCTGGGATTAGGTGTTTGTTTTATATTGGCCGGGCTAGTTTTGGATAAATTTGGATACCTCATTTTGGAGATATTTTTCTTAGCTTGGCTTTGTTGTACGTACACAAGTATATATTTAAAATATTACTTTAAAATTAAAATCTTTATTTGATTTTCTAAAATGCTTCTTTAAAAACCAATGATTTCTATTTAAATGTAATATTCATATTACATTTTTAAAGGCAGTTATTATATTCTAATTCTTCATAATAAAAACATAATTTTCTTTTGTGTAAATTAATAAGTATGTAAACTTAAAATATCAATTAACTTTAACAATATTTATAAAGTATTTTATCCTTCCCCAGTGTGTTTAATAGCTGCTATATTATTATATCTTGTAGACTTAAATAAAGGTACTTTTATATTAACTGATTTTTAGAATTAAATAAAATCATTATTGTCTAACTCAGATGTATTTTATATTTACTAATATTTAAAAGATTGCAACAATTTCATATAAAATCATCTATGATTTATATATTTATAAGTTATTTTAATAACACTATAAACTAATAAATTTTGTTTATATCAATACTGAATTGTATGTAGGTGGCCACTTAAATCTTTCTACAAAAGAAAGAGCTCGTCAAAAAAGAAAACAAAAAGAAATAGAGAAGCTCAAAAAGTTGAAGGACGAACAAAAGTGAGCTGTTTGATTTTCATAGCTGTAGACACTAAAATTCTCCATCGTTTTAGATTTCTAAATATCAGAAACTTTGCTAAAATACTTTAAATTTCAACTATTATAATTTTGTAAAAATGCTTTTTTTTTCAGAGACTCAGCCAAATTTGATGGAGCGGAAACAATTCCCTCGGTGTAATGATTTGTATTTTAGATTATTTTTTATTTAGTTAAAAGATACACGCAACTTTTGTCAAACTTAAAATCAAATGTGTAAAATTGGCGTTCCTTAAATAAGAACCGACTGTATTTCAGTTACTTAGCAGTTCTGGCCTTGATTTGATAGTTACCGTTTGCAATGTGTGGTGTCACCACAATCCTATTTCGGTGGATGGATGTGTTAAACTATGATCTGTAAAATTATCAACCTTATCAATTGGTGTCACCTTCTTCTTTTCTTTCCCCATTTTTTTCGGTGTCATTTGTATATTAGTCCATTGCTTTCTTTGAATGCTAGTAATTCATTCATCTTCGTTTCACCACTCATATAGAAAGATGTAAAACTGTGCTTTGATATCTTATTATCTCAAAAAGTAAGTAATTCAAAAGAATAAAAGCATTGTTTTCTCATTTAAGTTTTCAATGCATGGTAATGCTTACATTAAATTTCAAGGAATAAATTAATATCTAATTAGATTAAATATTCTTGCTTAACTTGTGAGACCAATGTTTCTAAGTTTGAACGAAATCGCTGCATGAATGTGGTAAGGTTAGATAGGAATTTATGTTGGATTAAGTGTTAAAAGATGGTTGAAATTAAGTAACAATATTTATCACAGATAGACGGACAGACGGATAGACAGACTATAGGACAGACGTACAATATGAAATACTTCAAAACATAAAACACAACATCATCTTGGTAAGAGAAAAAAATTAGACTCGCTTAGCCAATGGCAGTTTACAGCTTACAGTGCCCTGACTTAGGCCTCTCAAGGCAAATTGCTTTTGGTTTTTTTTAAATAAACTATTAGATTTGTACTAAGAATTGGAATCTTTTGTTTTGGCAAACTACATTTAAAAATAGTTATAAATATCCATTTTTAAAAATTAAATAACTATCAGATTTTTACCAAAAATTGGAATTTTTTTGGCAAATTACATTTCAACATTTATAAAAATGCATTATGTTTTTAATTAAATAAACTATCTCATTTGTACTAAAATTGGAATACTTTTTATTTTGGCAAATTACATTTTGATATTTATAGATAAGCATTTTTAAAAATTAAATAAACTATTATATTGTAAAAAAAAAAAATTGGAATTCTTTTTTTGTTGTTGCAAATACAATTTTTAAAATATGCATTATTACAATGAATTCTTTCCTCGACAGGCAAATTTGAGGCTAATCCAAAACTGGCGTTCTAGGTGTCAGGTTTTTAAAAATTTCAGCCTTATGAGTTGGTTGTTTATAAATAATCAAATCAATCTGTAAACGTAAAACCAGTAGCTTAAATTAGATGCATATAATCTGAACCATACTGCCAGAGCTGATGAAAATTGTTGGCCAAAATCTATTTAATGACTGTAGATAAAATAACCTTTCTTGAATCTGGGTTATTGGCATAATGAATGACATTGTTATGAAATTGAAATACAATGCTAAAGCAAATATGGTTCAGAACAAAAAAGCAATTAAATGAAAATTGAACTCTAACTATAAACCGTTTCAAATTATGACATTTTACTTAGTTCTAAGATCTGTCTAACCGTGAATAAAATTTGGTTTAGGCTATTTAGTTAAGATGTTTAATTAAAAGCACCTTTAATTAAAGATTTCTTATAAAATATACAATTAAATATTTAAGTTGAAGGATTGTCTTTTTGAAATGAAGCAATGTTAAAAGAACTATTAGTAAGGAAACCAATCGATAGTTTTTCAGGCTTCTGCTGTGTGAAGTGAAACTTTCTGTGTAGTCTCTATAAGCCATGACCTTATTAGTGTTAGTTTTTGAACCAGTCACGCGTGACGAATGCTAGAATTATCATCTGCACAACATTAGGCAGGGGAAGCCATTTTATTATTCATCGTCCGGCGCCATGTTTTCAAAATGTTATACGATTACAATATTTTTTCATTACAAAATAGTAAAGAATGATAATAAGAAATATTTAAATAAAAAGATATGCTTAGATTCGTAAAATAAATATTCACCACCCCTAGCTATTTCATATTCCTTTAGTAATTCTATATGTGTATTGGACAGTTACCATTTTATATTTTATATCAGGTTTCCAATCCACCTACGGATAAGTATAAAGAATATTAACATTTATAAGTATCCAATTTTTAGTTAGTTTACTAGATTTTCTACACTAGAAAAAAAAATGAAACGATGTATTTAAAAAAAAAAATATAAAGTCTTTTTAAACTTAAGGGAAACAACCTATATGCCTATATATAGAGAGAGTTAATCCTCTTGGATTAATTTAAAACGTATCACCTGAGCGTTACTTAAAATATTTGAAACCGCACGACTGAAACGAGAAGATAACCAATACAGACCAAAGAACACAACCGTACGTGTATCAGTTAAAACACCCATCCTTTCATCAGCGTGTTGTTTCAAACATGGGAGATATAGACACCGACATAGATGTCGAGATACAGCTAGACGAATCTAATTTCACCTGCCGGGTAAGACAAACATCCGATGTAATTTAATTAGTAGTTGACATTCATTCACGTATTAGCTGTGAAAGAAAAGTATGTCATGAAAGTTTTAGAGGGATGCTCGAAACGAAATTTATTTTATTGAAGTCGAATCCATACTGGCCAAAGCACATCAAAAACATAAAACTGGGTCTGGTCGTTTCTAAGTTGTTTATGTCTATCTTTATATTTTTTATATCAACGCTTCATTCGATCGCTCTTCAAGCTGTCGACAATATTCCATTCTACAATCGCTCACAAGGCATTTATACTCATAATCAACTTTCGGTCAAAATACATTCATTAACTCACTATCCCCGTTGTTCTAGACTATTCTAACATTATCTTTAAAATGACCCGTAACATATGAAAATTATCTTCCAGGAATTCCCCCCACCCCTCCATTCCCGGAAATTTAAGTTTGTTCGTCCACCAAAAGTTTCAAATGCCCCCCCCCCCTCCCCCCCCAGAAAATATGTCTGAAAGTAAAAGTAAAACCGTGTACGAATGTTGTATACGATTTCAATAAACGAAACTATTTAATGATGCAGCCATTCATGTCATTGTTACTAATGAGACAACCGTAATAAGTTCACAAAAATTACTTTTACTTCCCGTATTTAACTGTCTTTAATTTTTACCCCACACCACACGATACAACACATATTTACTTTATGTTATATGAAGTATAGAGGAAGAATTGTAGTCGTGCAAAAAATCGAAACTCGACGTATTACACCTCTCTGAGTCGGAATGTAATGTTGTCTGTATGCTTGTGTCTCTGTGTATGCGTCTATCTGTCCGCAGTGTTTCTTCCAGACTATTTCTCCGGGGGTGGGGGGGGGGGGGCAGTTGATATTTTCCGGGGGGGAAGGACGGTCAACATTTTCCGGGGGGGGGGGGGGCGGACACTGGTAAACATGTTTTCTATATAAATAAATTCCATTTCGTTCGGGGGCGGGGGGGGGGGGGGGGGCGAAGAAATTCATGGAAGAAACTCTGTCCGTCTGTCTGTGAACACGATAACTTGAGTAAAAAAATAATTGTAAGAGAAATTTTAGAGGAGATGCTCTAGCTTCATATTTAGCGATAAAAAAAATTCCCATTTTTTAAAAACTTGTCACGTTATAAATAAGTGGCACATAAAAGGTATAATTGGTTTATTTAAATTGATCTGCAGCGGCGATGTACACGTGTTTTGTTCAGAAAGAAAAAAAAATACTTATCGTGCTTGTTTTCAATTTTTGTTTACCCTACGGTCAGTAACTTCACATCAATATAACTTATTTTTATACTACGTTGTTGTATTCGTGCTGATGATAACAGTTTCCAATTACCATACGAACCTAACGTTCGGTATCATGCAACCGTATGCCCTTGACGTCACCTGGCCCACTGTATGGTGACTACCTTATATTATGCTAATTAATTTGATTTAACATATCACTAATCAGGGGCATAGTCAGCTTTTGGGTATAAGAGGAGCGTCAAATACACAAAAAACCTTCAGCATTGATCAATTACTGACCTCACCTTTTTATTAATTAGTTGATTACGAGATGCAGTTCGCATAAATTCCATTTCCTCAAACAAGTATATCAACATCGGAGTTCACAGGGGCTCTATTTCTGATGGTTTACTTTCTCTTTATAAATACATGATTTCCTTTGCACATCAGTGTTGGGCTGTAAGAGATAAATGTTCCATGACGATACTCCTATGCATGTTTTTGCAGACAGCGTACACACACTTGCGAGCCAACAACAAAAATATGCCATCCACCATGTTAACTGGGCTAATGTAAACACAATGCTAATTCACCCTGATAAAGCCAGGTTGATGCTAATTACCATACGTAATAATAGGACCACAGTACAACACAAGCTTCGATTACTGCCCTTAGAATAGTTTGTTTCCAGGTTGGTGACATTTCAAGTTCCTACTAGAAATGAAATATGAAAGAGAAGTAAAGATGCGGTATATTTTTTAACAGATAAGCTACGCCATCATTTCTGTAGGTGACATTTCAACGTCCTATTAGAAATGAAATATGAAAGAGAAGTAAAGATGCGGCTTATTCTTTAAAGGATAAGCTACGCCATCATTCCTGTAGTGACATTTCAACTTCCTATTAGAAATGAAATATGAAAGAGAAGTAAAGATGAAGCATATTCTTTAACAGTAAATCTATGTTACTAGCCTAACAGAGATTTAAAAAACCCAAAGATCGTAGAAAATATGAGCAACTTCAACGATGACGCAGCCAGCAAATATTACTATTGCTATCAGCTGGAGAAAATTACTATGGTAGTTTCGTGGGGAACTGTGCTTGTGGGCCTATATTCAGCAAGGATGACATAATCAGCTTAGATGAAAAAAAATGCCAAGGCGGACTGACATGGACACGCCATTGCATGGTCCACCAAATTTCGCAAGGTCGAAAGAGAATGCACGAAACAAGCCATACAAAATATCAGGTATCTCATGAGATAATAGTGGCATTGGAAATGTAGTTGTTGGGAAGTCGAACGTCGTAGTTTTTGAAAGGTGAGGGTGTTGTTGTTACCTGTAATTTTTTGTGCATGTTTTAAAAAATAAAAATAATGGGCACATATTACAGAAGAAAAATAGTGTCATACCATGTAACGTTGATTTGCATAATGTGTCAATTAACGTTTATAATTTTCTAAATTTTCTATGTCGTAAAAAAATTAAGATCTTGAAATCGTTATTTATTTCTTATGTTTTTACTAAATTGAACGTGTATTTGAATTCGTTACTTTCGGGTTAGCAGTGTAGCGCCCTACCGCTGGGCCACGCCGTCCCCAAATATAACTCTAAAATAATCTTAAGCCCCTCTAAACCAAACCCTAGAATCAGCTACAAATGTAGTTACTTCCCATAAATAAAAATAACTCCAAATACTATAAAAAATTATATACGATTTAATCCCTTCAGTAATCAGTGTTTATATATATATATTGACGTGTGTTTTTTAAATTGATGGGAAATAGGGCTCGAGACTACGCGATGAGGAGATTGGAGGAGAAAAGTCATGTGACCCATGCAACCCTCGCCATTGGCTACATCGTTACATCCTGGTATTGATACCCCTCTGTTTCTTATTGTTCGGTAAGATTTGGTTCTAAAATACACTTTACACATATCAGAGGTAGGTGGAGTCAAGGTCGTCTTACAGGCTTCAGCCAACGATCAGAACTGCAGACTTTCGGGTTAGCTGTCGTAAGTGCATTTAAATCCTAATTATTATAGTTTTAAAATATCTATATATATAACTCTCCTCTTCGAGCCGTTAGAAAACAAGCTGCAAACGCTCTCCCTACCTCCCCACCCCTACATGGTTTTAGTGAGCTGTGTTCACTCTAAATGTTTACAAGCAGAGCCAACGATTTTAAACGTAGGGGGGGGGGGGGAAGGAAGGGGGGGGGGGTTATGGTCCTTAACGAGCTACTTATAGTGTTTTAAAGAAATATTTTCAGTGTCAGCGTTGGTACTGTCGAATTCACAAATTATGAATTATTGAAAATTAGAAACAACTAAATAGCGGCGTATGTTATGCCGCGGGCCGGCTCGTTTATTATATTTTATTTAAAAACAGGAAGCTATTTCGTCATCGACATCCCAGGAGCCTTACAGGATGTGATGATCCGTGACCTTCAACTCTCAGAGACAGAGTTCATGGCCTTCTACGCCTTTGATGCCTGGCCCAACGTTGTGTTGTGTGTCGTGGGCGGCTACATGATTGACCGCTGGTTTGGCGTCAGACTGGGGGCCATCGTCTTCAGTGTGCTGGTCACTCTTGGACAGGTTAGCCAAAGCTTCCGGGCAACGGAATTTTGTAATGTTCTTCCTATTTCCAAGCAACCGATTAGTTTATTTTACCCACACTAGACGTCTATAAATTTCGCTACACAACTAGGGTAGTAGGGTGTGTATTTCGGATTCTTGTGACGCTGTGAGGTTAGAGGGGGGGGGGGTGGCGTAAATAAATCTTGACGTAGAATTTAATCTGTAGTTATTTTTTAGGGTTTTTCTGCCTTTTTGTGACGACGTGTGACGGTAAAGTTCGTGGTAAAAAAAACCCAAAGTCTTGTATGAAAGAATCGTTTAGGGAAAACAACTAACACTGATAAATACAAAATATAAAATAAAAATTTAACGGTTATCTAAATTTTAAGGTACATTACTCCATATTACTTCTATTATTAATCATTAAAAAAAATTACTTGCAATTTATCGTTTATCTTCTATAGGCGATGTTCGCGCTGGGCGGTTTCATAAACAACTACGTGCTGATGTGTTGTGGTAGATTTGCCCTTGGGTAGGTACAACATTTTAATTTTTTTTTCATAGTACGTTTTATTTTAGATGCTAAAAAAACACCAACACAGCAACTGCATACCAGAAGTTTGAGATTTCGGAATCTCATCCCGAGTTGAACGTTCTCAAGTTCATCCTGAGTTCAAAGTTCGAAAGTTCATCCCGAGTTGAAAGTTGTCATCCTGAGTTGGCGTCATTCGATCGGCCAAGTACCTGGCGGCTGTAAATAGCACTGACAACACCTTCACTTCTTATACCGAGGTCTCTGAAGAAGGTGAACTCTACTCTATCTGCCCTATTGACCGTCAGACCACAGAGGATGACTAACATATAGCTCATCTAGCTCTTCTGTGTCGTTTGTTGGGGCACTGCACTTGATATTAAACTTTAGTTTCGTCTTTTACACAAAGATAATGCAATGTACTTAAGACCAAGTGTTACGTAACATAATATATAAAATTTCTGAGTGATTAGACAGCAGCAAAACTATTTATTTTTTGTGGTGAGTTCCCCACTTAATGCCCATAGTAAGCTACTGAAACAGTTCTTTGTGGCGAGTTCCCAACTTAATGCCCATAGTAAGCTACTGAAAAAGTTCTTCGGCAATCAACTGTGCTTACATTGTGCCTATTTTATCTCGTTAACTTACGATAATGCTTAATTAGATACTTCCCATTACGGCTATTATACGTGCTGACTTTTTTGTGGTTCAGTAATGATCTTTACATTTCGATGTTAATTGTTTTGGGAAAAAAATTATTTGTTGCTTTTTCTCTGTTTTTACCACACATAGTATCAACATTTTCGTCAATGATTAAAAACCTCTCGATTTTAAAACAATAAATCTACGTCCAGTTTTAACACTGTTTGCGGACTTTGATTTCACTGTATTATTGTTTAACATTTTAGTGTAGGAGAGGAGTCCCTCGCAGTCGCACAAAGCACGTTCTCTACCAAGTGGTTCAAAGAGAACGAGCGCAACATGGTGTTTGGTCTTCTGCTCAGTTTCTCTCGGCTGGTGAGTTGTGTGGGACGGTTCTAACATTAGTGATTACTTGTCTAATTATAGATTACAATGTGCTGTAATATATAATTATATATATATATATATATATATATATATATATATATATATATATATATATATATATATATATATATATATATATATATATATATTTCATATTTAATATATACTTCTTTATAGATATTTAAATAGTAGTGTATTATTATACATATAAAGAAAAATATTTATTTTCTCCTTTTTAGTACACTAGGCATGCTGCCCAGCTTCGCTTAGGCTTTCGAAAACATTGAGAATTTGAATGCTTAATTAATTCCCCCGAGGGTCGGTCTACGACCTCAGGAGTTATGAAGAGGTTCCTACGTGGACATTTTTGTTCGATTTATAGCTCATATAAGGCGCCGGTCAGTCGAGGTCAGTTTTGACCCCTTCATCGTAGACTTTTCGGCCAACCGGCCCCCGTGTTCTGATCGCCCCAAGGCAAGATACTGCCAAATTTGAAGCGCCTGCGGCGCCGGGAAGTGCCCTATCGGGCACCCGACAACTTTGCTTTATATATTATAGAGATTAGCAAATTGCATAGATAAACAAAGATTTCAATAAAGTAATTAAGGCCTGAAATACTTTAGTATAGAAATGTATTATTTGAATAGATTCTAGATCTAGCTAGAATTTCTAGATCTAGATGATCTAGAATCTCTAGATCTAGATGATCTAGAATATCTAGATCTAGAATATCTAGATTTAGAATCCTAATAGAATTTTTTTTTAAGTTTAGCCCGAGAAAAATTGTATTGTATACATTTCATAGTGTACGTAGATCTAAATCAAATTTGAATGAAATAGTTCATTTCCTTTTATTCTAAACACGGCAGATGACGTCATTAGTTAATGTATAAACATAAGTGACGTCACTGTTTTATGCATACTTTTTCACATCTATAAATGCTTTTCCTGTTGCATAATTAAAATTGTTTTTCTACATTCGAATACGCCTTTATTTTTTATTTTTCTTCTTTAAATAAAATTGTGGTTATACATTTAAAACATATAACATATTATTTTCAACAAAAGTCCGTATAAAGGTATCCATATATCGCTGCCGATTCTGACGTGATGTCCGGGGAAAATATTTTGCGGACAAAGAGAGAGAAGAGCGCACATGGCCTTTTATATATTAGGATTATTACATTAAAGCGTAGTACTAAAACGTTTTTATGCAATTTTTCTTTCCAGAACTTTAAAATTTACAATATAATAGAGTGCATAACTAAAAACTATTGCGCACCTAATGAACTTGACAACGCGCGTATAATAGTGCGGAAAGATTAGCACAAGCCTGTCTGCTAGTTTCAGCAAATTGTAATTAAGTCTTGATTTCAACACGTGCCAACTTTGAAACGAATCTGTCAGTTAGAAGTACCCGAGATTTCGTTCGTCCGTTTCGATCTATGACGACCGACTGTTGACAGACAGAGTTAGCAAGTTAAATAAAATCTTGTAATAAAACAAAGCTTTGAATCTACTACTTCCAGGCCAGCACAGTAGCTATGAACGTAATGCAGCCTTTATATAACTTGGTGGATCAAGTTGTTCATGGTTACAAAGGGCTAGGCATAACTCTGTTCTTAGGTAAGTAGCTAGGCTTACTTCCCCTCAATGATATCCGCTCAAGTATTGTATTTGGTAATTTGAAAACGAACAACATGTTTAAGCCACTATTTCTTTTATAACTGAAACGATATTAAATATCATAAACTTATTTTTCTTATCTAGCTGTTGTTGTCTGCATTGTGTCAGCCTTATGTGCAGTAATATTGTCGTTTTTGGACAAAAGGGCGGACAAAAAATTATTCAGATCCAAAGTTAAATCAAGTAAGAGGTTATCGCTTAAACAATAAACACGATGTTATTTATTTAAACAAAAACCTTCACATTAGAGTAAATTGCAAGACGGACATATGTCCCCGGGCGCCGACCTTAGGGAGCGCCAAAATGGGTTGGAAAAATAAATTGAAAAGTTGAGGGCGTGCAAATAGAAATCTTGTTTGTCCCCGGGCGCCGGGAAGGGTCGCTACGCCTCTGATAGCATCAAAATACTTTAACATTATTTCAAACCCAACAACTCCCTAGATACCCCAGTAACTTATAAGTGTTTTTCTTGGAATGTCATAGGTAACATTTGTGGAATTTTTTACTTTTGAAAATAATTTTTTTTTATTACGGTTAAACGTTAACACACAATAAAATGTAACAACACAGAATTAGAATTACCTTAATAAATGCATAAAATGTTCAAGTAAATATTTTGAAGAATTATAAAGAATAATGATATTGCAATGTCTTAAAAATACTAATTTGCCAATATAAAGGATATAAAATTGATTTTGTCCGCAGATAAATTGATAAAACTGAAGGACATTCTAACGATACCGGTAAAGGCCTGGATAACAACATTTATTTGTGTCACTTTTTATGTTGGGGTCATGCCTTTTATCAGTCTAGGACTGTAAGTAAATTCAGTATAAAATAATCTAAGTATAGATTTTAAAGTTGTATATTAAAAACAATACTTTTATAAACCTAATTATTGTTATTTAAAAAAAAAAGATTTATAACTCGCATTTGCTATTGTTTGATTAAAACCCCATACATATTCATTTTGTAATGTTTTAGAATAAAAAAATATTTCGCTGGTAAACATTATGGTTCATAGACTATTCTAATCCGACACAATAAAAAAAAGTAATTGAACTATTTAAATAAAGTAAAGAGTCTTTCTTTGATAAAACACATCCAAGAAACCAAGGATTTAAAAAAAAAAAAAATTAAATAAATAAAGGAGGTTTAGGCTTCATCTAAAATGCACCTAGTGATTGCAACATGCAGTATGCGTGCTTAAATTTAAAACACTTTACATATTTTAGGATGTCTACCGTAACCTATTTAGAACTAGCGAACCATAGGGCAGATGAAGTAGAATTCATTTGTTTTTTTTTACCTCGGCATATCAAGGGTAGCAGCGGTCAACCACATTAACTTTAACCAACATGAATTAAGTACCTATTAAAGCTGGGTGGACTCAAATTTTGACAGGGACCCGGAATCGAACTCAATTTTGTTTAAGTGAATAAATACACTAACCGATATTATTAAGTATTTATAATTCTATTTATAATTCAATGCAGTGTGTTTTTCACCATGAAATTTGGACTGACCCCAACAACAGCCAGTACTGTGAACAGTTTGGTGTACATGATTTCAGTAGTTGCCTGTCCTGTTCTGGGTTTCTGTATAGATAAAACTGGCAAAAATATTTTCTGGGTCATCAGTGGTATATCAATGGCATTGGTCAGTCACATGATGCTGGCTTTTACTTATGTTAATCCATACATCCCAATGGTAAGTTTATTGTATTTAAGTTAAACAGTGAGCTATAAAATTAAACTGATGTTTTTGTATTTAAATTAAACAGTAAGCTATAAAATTAAACTGATGTTTTTGTATTTAAATTAAACAGTAAGCTATAAAATTAAACTGATGTACATGATACTTTAGAGAGGCTTGTTAACAATAGACGGTTAAATAGAATTATTTATAGAAATTCAATAAACTTTCATATCATTTTTACGTTACTAGCATAATTGTTGCAATATAAAACATAGCTCACTGTGATATTATAGTTATAAAAACAAATGCCCAGTGATTTTTTAAAACTCTAAGATAATTTTAGTTATTCAATAGAAAAATGTTGAAAGCTGTAATACAATTTTTTTCAGGTTTTATTAGGCTTATCATATTCTATTTTGGCAAGTTCACTTTGGCCTCTCGTAGCTTTTGTTGTACCAAGTAAACAGTTGGGCACAGCTTACGGCATGTGAGACTCTGCTTTGTGTTTTTTTTTAAATTTAATTTAACATTACAACTGTTGAAAAAAAAATCAGATGCATATTCTTGGTGTACGTGCTAAATGGCTGTAGTACGTAGTACGTGTTAAATATTTTATGTAACATATGTTTATACAATTATTTCATTAGAATGTACAAGTAAAAGTATCTTGTTTTTACTATTTAATTAATGAACAAAGCAGTAGATATGTTGGGTTGAGACAGTCTTTATTTTAAAATTTTGACAAATGTAACAAAAATCACAACAAAAAAAAAAAAGAAAAAAAAATTGTGTAAGCAAAACATTAAAATTAATTAACGATAATTACATAACAGTGTAAGTGTTATTAAAGATTAAATAAATCATGTTTTGTTATTATTCCAGGATGCGCACTTTCCTAAATCTTGGATTAGGTGTTGGTTTTATATTAGCCGGGCTGGTTTTGAATAAATTTGGTTACCTTATTTTGGAAATATTTTTCCTAGTTTGGATTTGTTGTAAGTAATATTTAATTTTCTTAAATGAATAGCAAAAAATAAATTAAACAAAAGAGTAATAAAATAAATTATAAATTTAAAGACTATTATTTTATTTTAAATCGAGAGTTTTAAAAGAAATAATTTGAATATAGCAAATGAAAAATGTATTACATTTAATATCAATAACTTAACAAATATTTATAAAATTATTTCCTTTTTCTCCAGTGAGTTTAATTGCAGCTATTTTATTGTATCTCGTAGACCTAAATAAAGGTAAAGTTGAATAAACCGAATTTTTGTTGTAGATAAACCTTTAATGCTTTACTCAGATGCATTTTTACTTAGTAATATTTAGAAAATTGTAGCAACTATGGGGTCATCCATAAATGACGTCACACTTTTTGGGACGATTTTTACCTCCCCCCTCCCCACCGTCGCACATCGTCACAAAAAGCCACCCCCCTCCTAAAATGACGTCACACCTCAGCCTACAACCCTCCCCCTCAAAATTGCAGTTGAATTTGTCGTAAAACATCGATTTTTTCCAAAAACTCTGTCAAAATAGAGTATTTTTATCAATTCCTATTACAATTTATTAAAACCGTTGTCTAAAACGCGAAAAAACGGCTAAAACTAGTTTTCTAACATTGCTTTTTTATAACTCAAAAGTGTGATGTCACACCATCTGAACAACCCCCCTCCCTCTCATTACACACCGTCACAAAATCACGGTCCCCCCTCCTCACTACTAGTGTGACGTCATTTATGAACGACTGCTATGTACAATCAGCTGGGCTTTTTACATTTGTATTTTAAAAAACAATCACAATGAAAATAAATATTGAACTGTCAATAGGCGGCCACTTAAATCTTTCTACAAAAGAAAGAGCTCTTCAAAAAAAGAAACAGAAAGAAATGGAGAAGTTAAAACAGTTAAATGAGGATCAAAAGTGAGCTGATATATTTTCTTAATGCATATATACAAAATAACACATTTTAAAATTTCAAGTATTATTCATGTTTTTAAATATATTTTTTTCAGTGAATCAGCGAAAACAGATATAGATGTAGCTGATATAACAGAATAATGATTTGTATGTGAGATCTGTTTTTAAGTTAAATAAAAAAAGACACATGAAAATGACAAACTTATCTCTAATTATTTTCTTTACTTGACATGAATATAACTGCCATGTTGGTTAAATTCAGTGCCTTCTTGACCTCATCTAATGTATCAGCGTTTTTAAAACAAGGGTCCATTTGGAAACCTCCATCAGTATATGTTTTAAAAACTCTTAGCTTTTATAAATACCAGTTAATTAATGAAGTTGCTTTCAAGTCCAGCTTTTGTAAATACTCGTTAATTAATAAAGTTGCTTTCAAGTCCAACCTTTGTAAATACCCGTTAATTAATGAAGTTGATTTAAGTCCAACCTTTGTAAATACCCGTTAATTAATGAAGTTGATTTGAAGTCCAACCTTTGTAAATACCCGTTAATTAATGAAGTTGCCAATTAAGTCCAGCTTTTGTAAATAAACGTTAATTAATGAAGTTGCCTTTTATGTCCAGCTTTTGTAAATACTCGTTCAGTGCCGGCGCCAGGTTATTTAGCGCCATAGGCAAAACTTATTAAAACAACCCCTTTCACACAAATTAAAAAACTAAAAGTGACTTATTAATTTTTTATCAATTGCATACACGTTAAAAGTCGACATCAAAATCCAATTTTACTTGCCTCCTTCGTCTGAAAATAATAGAACATTTTAAGTGCTCCCCTCCCCCTCTCCTCCAAGGAGATAACAGTCTGGAAAAAACTTCACTAAAAAAAATATTCATGTAGTGTTGGGCTCTCTGCAGTCCTCCCAAGGTGAGTTCCAAAACGGAACTTACCTGTTTTAAGCTTGGCAGTCTTTAGTTATAATTGTAAAATGTCTATCATTGTTTGATTATGTAACGATTTTTTTTTGTTTTTGAAAAATAAAAAGTTATAAATGTTATAGATTCCAGCCTAAAATTTTTATATATGAATCCTTTAGGAGAGGGTGAAAAATATGAAAAACAATTAATTAGATGTTTAATTTACGACTAAGACTATGTCTACTAACATTAAGTATTGCAATCTACATCGGCTACTGATGTATTTGTTTTTCAACTTGATAATGCTAAAAAAAATACCAAACTGTTTAGTTTAGAACTAAATAAGCTCTATATAATTTTTACAATAGCACTTAAAACTTATAACTTAAAGTTTTATTTATATGTAAGCGGTCAACCTAAGGTGCAGGAATTTGAAAATAATTAAGAAGCGAATTATCTCTCATTTGAAAATCCAAATACCAAAATTTTATTCAAGGGAAATAACTTTCACAAGAATAGCTAAATTAACCAAGTGTAACTAAGTCATGCTTGAAAAACACAATAAAACGCTCTAAATTTCATTACGTAATAATTATAACAAATCTTTTATATTATCTATGTAATCTGAGAAAACAATATATTTAACTTATTGAATACTTAACTGTAGCTTTTGTTTGAAAGTCTAAAAACGGTAGCTTTATTATAACATACTTCTATTCAATTTTGATGACATACGTTCTATATATGTTACATGAGTAAAAGTAAAAATTATTGGAAATTTTGAATCTCTCAAATCAAAAGAAAATATTTAAAGATGTCTTATTAACAAACGTCAGCTTCTTCACATGCCAGGAAAGTTTGAAGTCTATATAAGCAAGGTGTACGTCTTCTTCAGGCACACTACGAAGGATATGGCAGGTTTGAATTTCGGTACCCTGCAGTTTTAATCCGTTCCAGGCTTGATGAGTAGAAAGAAGAAGTAGATTTGCGAAAGGCAAAGAAACTGCTTTTAGATGAGCAGAAAGAATTGTTTCTGAAGTCATTTCCTCAACCAATCAAATTTCCTTTATCACCAGGTGGTGTTGCTTATCAAAGAACATATCCTGCTCCTGACTGGCTACTAGATTTTTGGTCTTCGCATGAAAAGGCTCAATATCCATAATATTTTGCATTGCGTGACGTTAGAAAAAAAAGAGTTTATGGAAAGATGGGAAAAACAATACGGAAAGTCAGCCTCTGAAGTAAGCCACTAGAAGATATAGTTTGACGCTTTGACAATAGTTTTTCAATCGCAATGTATTTGGTCAATCTATCTGCTTGGACTGTGTTTTTGTAGAGAGAAAACCAGCAAATAAAAGAAGTTATATTAAAAAAAAAACTAAATAAAGAGACACCTTTCTCAAAAAATTCAAAGACGGGTAACATTGCTAGAATTATAGATTAAATATAAAAAAAATATAATTTGAGAAAAAACAATTTTTCATTTAGTTATAAATTACATCCTATTTAGTATTATATATTAATACTTTAAGAGTGGTAGTATAGATTCCTACAAAACTAAAGATTTTTTTTAAACTAGAAACGCCCGCCTTCGTTTGTAATGTGTTCCGTATTGAATTGAAATCATCTAACTTAAGATAAACTCGACTACTCGATATACTCTACTACATTCACTACACATATCAAACTTCGATACCTAAACATAACTAGACTCGATGCTCCAGAACTAAGACACAACTCGTTTAACTTCATTTAGCTCTACAAACGGTACTCCCAATCAACAACGATTTCACTGGACCTACTACTACACTTTAACAGTCAATATAATTCGATACCTTAATACCACAAGAATCAATACTCCCGAACTCCAGAACTACGATACTTCATCGCCTGCTTTCTCATTTCTCAACTACCAATCAGATTCCTCTAGACCTTCAACTACAAAACAGCCGAATAAAAATTATGACACTTTAACACTTCGATACTTTATACCTACGAAACCATATCAGCAAAAGTCTTTTGCCGTTACTCCCAAATCTAAACGATTCATCAAAACTTACCAAACAAGTACAATACTTTGAACACCCGTCATTACACAGCTCTATACGCCAGGTTAGATTTCTAATTCAAAGTCAGAGAAAACGAGACTTACAAGCCCTATTAAAATTAGATAACTGAAATATTCGTAATTTAAATTACGAACTTATTTAATCGTTTTCTACATCAATTATGTGACACCAAATTAAAAAGGCAATGTGACTGGTAAAAAAGCGCCCCGACCTTTCCAAATTAGGGAGGTGGGATTGCATTTTTGCCATCGCGAATAAATATAGGCCTATATAGACCTAGTTTTTGGGTAGGGGTGCAAATTCGATAGTTCATCCTAGGTGCCAAAATAGATCGCTACTTCTTTATAAAAGTTATTAATTATTAGGTACTTTTTTTATAATAGCGATTAAACCTTTTGCGCCCCCTAGGGATTGCGCTCTAGGCGACCGCCTAGTTCGCCTTATAGATAGCGCCGGCCCTGTACCCGTTAATTAATGAAGTTGCTTTGAAGTTCAACCTTTGTAAATATCCGTTAATTAATGAAGGATGTTATTAACAGAGGCTTCCATTTTGAGGTCACCACATTTTGACACCCACTCTCTACTTTACGGATGGCAATAATTAAAATAAACCGGGAGTGATCTCCCCTAAACTTTCTCGGATATCTATCTATATATATAATTCTCTTCTGGGAGCCGTTAGAAAACAAGCTGCAAGCGCGCCTTTGCATTCCCCTCTCTTCCTCTCTATCACTATCACTACCAACCCCAACCCACCCCCACATGATCTGGTGAGCTGTGGTTCACTCTAAATGCTTAGAAATCGTAGAGCCGGGTTTGTTGACAGCTATTATGGGCAGATAATTTAGTTTGAAACGATTTTAAACTTACAGGAGGTAACTAAGAGGAGGCTGCTATTCACGGGGGGGGGGGGGGGGGTCGGCTCGTTCTTATGTAAAACAACAGGGGATTGGAACTCCATTTTAAATACTAAAAGTTTTTAAAATAGAATAAAATCTCGTAGAAAAAAGAATTGCACACCAGGTGAACGCCAAATGAAATGTGAATAATAGTGCGCAATATTATTAGTACTTTATAAATTTACATGCGTTTTTTGAGAAATCGGAAATAGCGTAAATTAATACTTCCGTTCAACGGAAATTACTCAAAATTTGATAGAAAGTAGAGAATTAGATCTTTTACTTACATGTGAAATTTCATTTATCTACCTAAAATAGTACTCAAGTTATAGGCTTTTGAAAAATTCAAAAAAGAAAAAGGACCACTTCCGGTTATCCGAAATCACTCAAAAGTTGATACGGATCTACGATTTTGATAAAATACTTATATATGAAGTTTCATCAACCTAGCTGTAACGGTACTCAAGTTATCGTGTTTACACACAGACAAACACACACACACACAGACAGACACACAGACATACGGACAAGATTGCAAAATTATGTTTTTCCGTATCGGTGAGGTGTAAAACGTCGAGATTTGTAAAAATTTGGATTTTTTTTTTGCACGATTACAAGACTTCCTCTATAGGCTACTTTGTATATACGAGAAAGTAAAAAACGGTACAAAATATTTAGAAACTGCACGACCAACTGTGATATAAAGTTGAGGTTGATATTTATCATGGAATTCAAGTTAAAAAATATTAACAGTGAGATATAATATATGTTTTTATTAGTGTGATATTTGATGTACAATAACTGCTAAGGTATGATTTAAAGGGTTCCAGGTCATCATTAATGTGTCGGCCGGGACATCTAGTCTTGGGCTCATTATTCAGGTACTATGTTAGAGAATATGATGTCGGGGTGAGGGCAATGTCAAAATCTTTCTTATTATTAATTCAGCATAGTGCTGACCACACCACCCCTTTATTTGCCGATGCCAAGAAACATATAAACTCTACTTCGTCTACACTTATGGATCGTTCGGTCTCAAAGGAGAACTTTACATATATATATATATATATATATATATATATATATATATATATATATATATATATATATATATATATATATATATATATATATATATATATATATATATATATATATACAGTTCGAATATTTTAGTGCACACGCAGCTGTCCTCACCATACACTAACAAGTGACGAACTCGAATCTAAATAGTCGTAATAGTAGGCAGTAATTGTAGGTCATGCATATAAAACACCCGTGTGTGTGAGCGGGAATAGTTAGGTGTAACAAAGTCGTGTAGTTGTCGCGATTAGCTGTGTTGGATGCACGTGTTGAAGAGGATGAGTATTGTCAATCAACGGCGTAGGTTGTTGTTTATTAGGCTTGTGAAGTGATTTCAAAGTAATGTAATAAAATCTTCATGTGGTTGTTCATCAAGAGTTTCGTATTTGGCTATCCGTACACGAACTTCGCGATAAATAAAAACATGCCTTATAGAAATTGGGCTGGCTGTGGGGATTTTCCCCAACCAGTGTTATGTGTATTAAATTATTTTTATATGTTATGTTTTTTGGAAGCTTTTATAAACATTTAAAAGTATTTTGTGCGTTTACAAACACTCATGTTCTCAAATTAAAATGAATTTGATAACTAATTAAGATTAAAATAAACATTTGCAGAGATTGTTACGTGAAAAAAATAAGGATTACACTACATATTTTCTTAAGATGGAACAAAAGAAACTATCTATTTTCATCATAATATTTGTCGGGGGGGGGGGGGGGGGGGGGGGTAAGATATTATATATTAAAAAAACACACAGAAGTCCGTGTATAATTAAAACCTAGCTCGATACTTCAACCCCTAGGGCCCCAATCAATTCCTGTACAGCCAGTTGCGAAGGCCTACATCTATATGATAAATGATGTTGTCTACATTTTGTTTCCTAGTGATACTAGGTTGGGTAAAGGGAAACATGTAGTCTCATTATGTTATCGTGGAGTGGTCAGTGTGTTCTAATCAAATTATAGTTAAATGAAAGAGACAGAAACATGTTTTAGTTTTTATTTCCGGAATTGACTTTAAGTATCTAGGCGATTTTAATTTATATATATATGTTACGGTCAAAGCCCGAAGTCGGCCAATGCGCGGATTGGCCGGCCAATCCGCGCATTGGCCAATATCGTCTCCCATTGGTCGGCCAAAGTCCGAAACTTTGCTTGATTTCGGCCTTTGGCCGGCCAATCCGCGGACTGGCCATGGTGGACCGGCCAAAGTCTGAAATAGCTCTTGATTTCGGCCTTTAGCCGGCCAGTCCGCGGACTGGCCATGGTGGACCGGCCAAAGTCTTAATTAGAAGATCTTGGGCAGATTTTGGCTTTTTTTATGCCGTAAGGATCATGAAATTAAGTCTTTATTGATTATTTATTAAAGTAAATGACAGAAACATTCAAATTTTTTATTGTATAATAGTCTCAATCAATCAATATTATCATTTGTTACAACAATTTGAACTTTTATTGCATTTAGAATTACATAGTAGCTTGTTACTTTTACACTTGCAGCGATTTGTTGTGCACTTGGTTGTGCAATTGCAGCGAGTGTAACCTTGGCCCCCAGTCAATGATTGTGAAGATGCGATGGTTCGTAGTGATTTTTCCTCAGTGCCAACTGAGCAGTTTTTCGTGAAGAATTGAAAACTCACTTCTACCATATAGTTGTTTTAGAACACCATGTTCCGTTCCTAATTTGTAGAAGCCGCCCTCGACTCTCATGACAACTGCAATCACGCTTCGGGGATCACCGCGACCTCTTGTCAACATCTTGAACACGGATGCGTACATTGTCACCCACTTCACCATCTTTAAATTTTGTATTTGATGTTTTAAGCATCTTAGCACCTTGAGTTTGCAAGCCAGCATGAGCTGCTGACCTGTGTTCCATGATGTCTTGTTTGTTGTGACACAATCTGCAGGTAATGTTCCCTCCGTACCCTTCGTCTGCTTCATTGGGTACTCCACAAATAGCATGGACATCTTTGCCACAGGATCCACAAGAATGAGCTGTACAAACAAGAGCTAAACAATACGTTACTCACAATGAAACCGCACCCAGAATAAGGAAAACGCGATCACAACTTAGTCTAGATAGAACATTGGCCAGGACATCCCGGCCAATGCGCGCATTGGCCGGCCAATGTACAAAATACGCTGTCAAGTTTAAGCACTTCGGACTTTGGCCAGTACGTCCCGG